GAGAAAAAACTGGCAAAAACAAAAACAATTTCATTCTCAGGTCCAGAGTGGGATAGCATGCTGGAAGTTTGTGGGCACAACCTAGCAACAGCCTCTGTCCTGCTTGGTTTTCCATCCTGAAAATGCAGGGTGCAGGCAACCATCTGGACACAGTGCATGTTCCACTACTGCCCAAGGGCGGGCTCCCTCTCAAGCTCTGATGTACTGAACACAGACATATCCCAGCAACTGGCTCATAACATAACACTCCCCCTTGAAAACAAAGCAGCTACCTCGTACCCAGCTTTCACCAACATCAATAGCACAACTATGTCTTCTGTAGGCAATCTTCCATCCATCCCTCCACCCAGACATTCAAGTTAGAAAAAAGCCTCTATTCTCTCCTATGGGCCCACTTCCTTTCTTCTAGTTCCCCTTGTCCTACTCTAGTGCACGCCCCCACTGCCTCAAGTCTGCACAAGAACGATAATAAGCTAGCAAATTTCTGTTTCTGTGACCCATTTCAGCTGCAGAAAGTTCTCAATAGCATTTCCATCTCATCATGTTCTCTCTGTGGCTGCATTCCAATTCCTCGTGCAGTCCCACAGGACTGTTCCTCAGACTCCATTACCTTCACTACCTTCCCTGTGTCTGCGGACAAAACAACATCTTCTACCATGAGTCCCCTCCCTCTATTTCTCTTCCTCTTTTGTCCCATATCTTCTATCTCTACTTTCAAAGAATTGTTGCTGATTAACTCCATACTTTTGTCCTGATTATTCTTTTGCTTTGGCTTTCTCTTACTAGGGTACTCTTTGATTTTATAAGCTACATCAACATGTTGGTTTATAAATACTTATTTCCCAATCCCTGCTGGGTATAATCTACCTCACTATCTAGACTCAGAAGCTTCCTCACTCATGGTGGGCCCTCCCTGAGCTCTCCCCAGAGATTGCCCTATGCTCTGCTAATAATATTACTACTCCCCAGTGAAGCAGCTCTCAAGGGACATTCTATTAAACAATCATGAGGAACACAATCTTACTCTCACCTGCCCTGACCTTGGCATTAAGTCTTTGCAAAGTTACAAATTAAAAATAACAAGATTTCAAAACGTTATAAAGCAAACAGAAAAACCAACTATAATTACCAAATGGATTTGTTTGCCCTCCAGATTATGATATATGACCACTATTTATTCTGACGATACCATAGGATGAATAGCCTCATTTTGTTTCCTGTTTTTTAAGATTAAAAATATTCTATTCTCTCAGGTCTTAATCTGTTTTTGTAGGATGAAAATCAATCTCAGAGCCAACAATCATCTTGTTTTCTAACAGCAAGGCCTCAAATCACCATTTTAGGTTTTTAAGAACAGAGAAGTTATTCCTCTCTTTAAACTGGTGAGCACTTAAGATTTACCTCATTCTCAAACACCAAATCCTTGCTATCTCTAGATGAGCCTTGTGTGGTTAAAGAGGAAAAAGTGGCCCACCACTCCCCCTTGCCCATACACCTCATTCAGAACAGCAAAAAGGATTGCCTTTTCCTCTGTCCATTCCTTGTATAAATGCACATAAAAATCAAAATAATTAAAAATGAAGTAGAGTGACCCATAGTAGGAATCTAAATCAGCTCCCTTCTTGCCTCTCTTCCTCCCAACACACCATAGATTTCTCAACCTTTCTGGGCTTATTTTTTCCATCACTGATATGGTACTGAACCACACATCAATGTCCCTTTGCTCTAACATTTCATGACTCTAACTCCCATATTGTGGCTTGTTGGCTCTTCCACACATTGACCTCACTTGGAATTGAAGAAAGAGGTGATGGGGAATACTGGTTCCCAGGCTGACCTAAAATACATAAAACTGCTTCCAGGAAAGCTTTAAGACTTGTTAACACAATGTATCCTTACATTTTACTTATTCTTGTTGTACTCTTGACCCACAGAAGTTAGAAATCAGTGCTAAATAGATGGCCCCACATAAATTAATATTTTGTTTGTATTCTTCAGTTTCCTTAGAGAAAATGTGTTTCCAGTTCTGAAATCCAGAGGACCCCTTAATTCCCAGTGGGGCCGGCTCCAACACAGTGAACCTTTAAACTGTCCCTGAACTTCACTAGCCCTGTCATACATAGTGATCCCTCCCATTAATCATGACTGTCTTCTTCACAAGTGTTTATATTCTAGGTCTCTCCCTGCAGCACAACTACCTGTTTTCCTTTCTTGCTCTTATTTCCATTTTCCTTATATTGCTTAACTTCATATAAAAATTCTGGTCTCCTAACAGAAATTCCAAATAATAACTAAGAGGCCAAACCCGTGTAAGTTTTCAAACTTCCAGAATAGATCCAGCTCCTAAGTTTTGTCTTTGGATTCAGTCTCTTGTCTCCAGGGCTGAAAGCAATCCCAACTGCCTTAGCCTTGGTGAGAAGAGCAGTGTGCCCACAAGCTGATGCTCATCCAGTGTCCTTTGTTGCGCTTCTGAGACACAGGAAGAATCCCTCCTAGAGAAGACAGCCTCCAAAACCCAGGTATTGTTCTTTGTTTAGCTGTTTACATGGTCACTTCTTAAAGAGGTTTCTTCACACTGCCTCTCTTAGAGGTGGCTGGTCTTAGATAAAATGTCCTTCATCCTTTTCAAACTAGCAACACTATTTTAAGTTACAATCAGGCCATACCAAGACACCCCAAAATCTGTCAACTTCCAGGTCTCATGGAACCTGTTTCTAAAAGGATTTTATGCTGTATCTTCTTACTCCAGATAAGTATGTTACAGTTCAAGGTTTACTGAGAAAGCTTCTCTGAAAACAACACATCTGCAGGGTACTAACTCCACATCAGCTTCTTTCTCTCAGACTTGGATTAGTCATTTCTGACATAAGAGTTCTAATGAGACCAATCCAGTGGTCAAGACCTCATGGCCCCTCTGTGATGAACCAACAAGCAGCAAACCTGCTTTATCTGCTTCCTTTTGGACACCAGAATCTTTTCTCAAGCTGTATATCCCACAGATCCTTTCTGTAACTAGCTAGTTTAGAAATGCATCACAGCCACAATCTCAAGCTACGGGAGAGGAGCTGAAGGTTGAAAGGGCAGGCAGGAAGACTGATACCTCTGATTCCCTCCCTGGTCAAAGAATCTTTTACCCCACCAGTAACTTCACTCAACAGCTCCTTTCATAGCTGTTGGCAATAAGGATATTTTGCCTTCTCCTTCACCTCCCACTCCAAAGTTGAAGATCTGGATGGGTATGTACCTTCTAAATTGCCTCAGATCGACTTTCAAAATTGTGAAACAGCATTTACTTTAAATGCCCAGCAGAACTAGTTAAGCAATTGATAACCTTGGTAGGTCAAACTCACTCTAACTGGGTGAGAAAAGAAAAACGGGAAATGAAGAGAGGCAGGGAGTGATGCAGAGTTCACTACTTCTAGTTAAGAGGGTCCAGCATCACCAGTTAGTGACTCCTCCTTTAGGTGCTGTTCCCTTAAGCTTCCAACCTTGCCATGGTGTGATCCTTACTTATCTACAGTATTCCAAAGACTATAGAAACATCGTATCCCCACAGATGAGGAATGCCACACCTGTACAATAAAAATTAATCAATGCCCAGGAATGCTAACCTTGCCTCTCAGGTAAGCAGATAACTTAGCTGAATGGCCTTTCCCATGGAATACTTCAGTACTTCCTCACTTTGAGGAACTCCCCATTCTCATTCCATGAAGCCCTTCAGAATGACTAAGTTGTACAAAGAGAAATCAGTAGCTCAATGAAATCAAACTATGGCGCTATCTTTAATAACAATGCAAATTCTGGTTTAGCATCAAGAGCATTAGCTGTTAACTGCCCACCATACAATTAAGGATGCCTGTCTGGGAGCAGGTAGCACCTAATGTAGGTACTTGAACAGTATGGTTTTTAGTTAGAAATAATTTGGAGTGTGAAAGAGATAAAAACGTCAGGTTCCTAGATTCTCAGTCTTTAGGTTTAGAAGTGAAAAGACAACCAGTGCCACTTAGGGAAAACAACATACTCTAGCAGGTGAAAATTCAAACTCCTAGCCATTCATTTGCAATATATAAAGAACATAAAACTCATCCTTTTCCCCTGGAAATTAAAGAACATGTAATTCTAGGAACTGGAACAATCTTGAGCGCTCCATTTTCCTGGGTAAAGATTGCAGAGCCAATGGGCAATGGAACACCATACAGACTTTGAGGATTCAAACACAGGCTGACAACTATTTTCATTACCAGTTTTCGAATTTAGCTTTCTCCTAATTTCTCTTGTTCTGGTGTATACCCCATTTATAACTTCAGGATACCCTTATCTTCCCTCTTCCTTTCTCCTGATGGATCTTATTTGCTAAGCATTTTCAATGAGCAGCACTGCCTAGAAAAATTAATACTGTGTTCTAGCTTTGCAAGGAAGAGAAAGTAATCTGTCCCCAGATGGAGCCAGGACCAATCTTGGAACTCACATTAAAAAAAAAAAAAAAAAAGTCTGACTTATTTCCAGGGTTTGGCATTCTTCAGGAAATCTGACCTATGTACACTTCTTTCCAGGCTGATTCTGTTCCAGAACACGGGACCTGGGTGGGAAATCTGATCTAAGAGGCTTCCCTTTGGGTCTAAACAGCTTATTCATGACTTCCCCTGAGGACAGTTGAGCTCAAACCCACTTACCTCTCCTGCCAGGAGGAGTCAGGGCACATGAAGCTCAACTCTGGGTGATCTGGGGCCATTATCTGTGTGATTGGTTTCTACCTTCCCCTTCCCCTCCCCACAAAAAAAGTCACAATTCAGTTTCACTTTAAAAATCCTCTAATTCCTAGTTTTTCCAAGTAATTCTTCAAAACCTGAAAACTTCTTTTGTAGTTTATGAGACTACAGCAGTTTTGAGAAGGAGAACCCCTAAGGTTAGGATGGTGGAAAAATGTCCTTTATACATGATCAGATATGCTTAGAAGGTACAGATTAAGAAGGAAATGCAATGGAGCAAAAGTGGTATAGTAGCAGGAAATATTTAATTTTCCAATCTCCACTTTCCATTTTTATAAACTGAAAGAAAAAAATTTAATATATTACAAAATATCTGTACATAGACAAAGTATACCCGATGGGGGCAAAAACAAGAGAGAGAAAGGAATACAGTGTCAGGAACCTAAGTCAGGGAAAATGAGGTGGCAACTGACACTTTTCTGATGCAGCATTCTCTCTCAAAACCTGCTGGTAACCATTGTAGCACTGTAACTATATAAGCATATTATATACATACACACATACAAGTGATTGGGTGATGTCTATGGCATAAGCGAACACAAGTCCTACTTACAGATCTGTGCTAACTGCCCTGCTTTAACCATATCAATCCAATGTCATTTTCAAATCCTTATTATTCCTAGGGCCAGCTGAAGGAGAAAAAACTAAAAACTGGGTCAAACCTTTTTTCAAAACCACAAAAATTATCAATGGTCAAACCAGTTTTGCTTCCCATTCATGAACAGAATTAGATTTCTCATCTGTTCAAAATAATGTATTTAACAGACTTAGTATCTTCCATGGGGCAATAAATAAAATAAAACCAAAACCACTTTTGAATGGAACTGGGTTTGTAATTTTTGAACAGCCAAGCTGAAATTCTGCCAAACCTTCACTTCCATCACATCCATAGATTAACAAGGCTGAAAAATGAACAAATACCTTTTCTTCCTCCACATAGGTTCCAGGGTAGTAAATGAGTTTCTTTTCTCCTCTGCTTTTAGAGATAGTCCAATTACCAAAGGTTTTTTTTTTTTTTTTTTTAATTTTAAGAGTTAAGACTCCCCAAACTGGGGTGGGGTGAGATGGGATCATGTATACACATACACACACTCACACGTACATCCACCCCTACCAGGGATGGGAGAATGGAGGCTTAAGGATTATTCAGAATGTTTGACATAATTTAAAAATAAGGGTGGGAAGGGGAAAGGAAAACATTATTGATGATTGCTGATAACCAAAATGCAATGAAAACATATAAAAATTTTATTCATATTTGGTGGGAAATCAATTTTTTTTTTCACTTAGCAGATACTTTTCCAAGTATCTAAGGCTCAGCTTTTTAATCAAAAACATGGGGATGGGGGAGGGACTGGGGCCCAAGCCAACTAACTGAAATTCTCTAAAATATGACGGTCCACGTCTGAAGACTGTTCAGAAGTCGACAGACCGAAGGTTCCAATGAATTTTCTTGCAATTAACCAATCGCAATATGCCTGGAAAATCTGAACATAGTGGCATAAAAAAAATCATTAATGCCAAAATGGTTGAATGGTTCTCTTTCTAATCCATGTTTGGCCCCAAGGATAAGGGCAGACCAAAAAACCAAAGAATGGTAAAGAAATACACACACCAATAACTACCTATTATAATTAACATGAAAAGTCTTCATCAAGTATCTTAAGTGGATTCTTTTTCATTTCTTTAAAGTTTTCTTTTGTTAACTAATGCACTTTTTTCTTACAAGTGGATTTTATTTAATGTAAGAACTTGGCATTGAAACATGAACTTTCACTTAGGTTTTGAAAACTATTCTCCCAGACGCTGAAGTATGTTTTGTGAAACAGGGCTAACCTAAGCTTCACGAAATAAGTCTGTGCAAATTATATGACATGTAATTGCTTTCTTAAACACTCTTTATGCTGGTACTCACATAGAAATGGAAGACAGAATGAGAAGCCTCTCAAATTATTCAACACTGAGAGTCATTCTCGAATTTTCCATTTCCTGTTTATGTTAATGCAAAGTTCTTGCCAGGAAGTCATACTTTAAACCCCTGTACCAAAACCAAAACCAAATTCCTCTGGTGGAAAGTCTCTAAAAGAATTGGCAGGATATGCATGGCTGGGATGTGTATATGTCAATACTGTTCTTTCTCTCAATATGCAATTTTAAAACTCTCTTATAAAAGGTATCTTCAGAAAAATACCCACCCTAAACTAGGTTACATTTGCACATATTTTTGACAATATCACAATGCTTGGTTTGAAAGATTTTTTTTTTTGGACATAAAAATATTCATGTAAACAATATACTACCTGCTCTCATTACCCCTCTGGGAATGGAGGTATCATCGTTAACCACAGTTCAGCAGCAAAGTCCTAGGCTGTCCACATTTACAAATCAACTTCCCCATCAAAACATGGCTTTAAAAAAAATAGATTCTAGAATTGAAGAGTTACAAAGAACAATGTAAGAGTTTGAATTTCCTTTCTTTTATTTAAAAAAAAAAAAAGTAAATAATTGTTTCAGGTTCTTTGGCATCTCAATGATTACTTTTTTCCAAAGAAATTACTCAAAACAGGAGGGAAAGGGAAAGTGGAGGCAGAAAGAGAACAAAGACTGAGAAGGAAATGGAGAAAGGAAGGGGACAGAGGGAGAAGATGGGAAGAAAGAGGAGAGAGAACATTAATATATACAGGTAAAAACAGAGACTGAGTGTAGTCCACCTATTTGTCCAAAAACTCCACCTTCCACAACCTGCTTTATGTGCAGCAAGGGGCATATTTGTTATCAAAGTTAAACCAACTGTAAGAATGAGTAATTTATTTGGAAAAAGCTATGTTCAAGATGCTCAATGAGGAAAAAAGTGTTCACTTTAAAAGCAAAAAAATGTGAGATGGTGGAGAGGAAGAAAACATTTATTTAAATCAGCCAGGCCACTCTCTGTTTCCCTTTTAACAAAAGCCTATCAGCAGCTCAAATTTTGTGAACACTATTATCTTCAAAAGAAAAACCAAAAACCCAATCTAAAATTTGAAACCATCAAAAAAGTCCCAAAACTTTAAAAACCAAATGGAGCCTCTCCTGAGCCATCTCAAAACTGAAAATGTTCTCTTCCGCTCAAGAATGTAGTCAATAGGTAATAAAACGTTTACTTTTTAATTTAATGACCCTTTTCATATTCTCTACTGTATCTACTAGGCACAGTTGAAGTTCTGGCTTTTACTCATCCAGAAGGAACTGTTGCCAACATCCTTATAAGTCACTTGCTACTAACAAGTGAGCAAGAAATACAATGGACAGCTTTGCACTAGCCAAATGCAGATGATTACCTCAGTCTGGCAAACAATTTCATTTAAGGTTTTGAGGACTGGATGGAAGGATGGATAAGAAAGGAATATTTCAGGACACTGAAGTCTCTGGGCTAGTAAGGAACTCCTCTCCCTCTTCCCCCTCTTGGTGGGATTCTCGTAGGTCCCCGATAGAGTTTTCCGTAAGCAGAAGACTGAGCTGGAGTGCCCCAGTGAAGGCTTGCTCCTGAGCTGCTGGCCCCAGCGGTTGCTGGCCCCAGCTCCCCATAGTTTTGCAATTTGGTCTCTGTATGCATGACAGAGTTGCTGCTTCCCTCAGCCTTCAGGAATGGTTGCCCGACTATTGAGTGTAATAAGGGAACCCTGGCAAAACGGAGGTCCTGGTCACCTGGAAACTGCACTGACCCTGTGCCCTGGTAACTGCTGGACTCCCCAAGGTGGCTCACAGAGCCGGAGAAGGTCCTGTTCTTCACCAGGGCCTGGACCAAGGATTCTGTCAAGGCTGGACCAGAGTTGCGTTCATCAGTGTCAGTGGCACTGAACCCTGTTTCAGGCCCATCAGTGTTTCCGTAAGTCCTGTTTGGATGGGGCCGATTGGAGTACTCCACTGGTCTCAAGGCCTGGTGCTCATGTGGCAGGCGGCCAGGAGGCTCTGCTTCAGGTTGGGATAAAAGTTGCAGCAAGGCGGCTGTCACGGCTGGGTTCAACTCCTGCGGGGCGCTGGAAAGATCGCCTTCAACCAGAGGGGGTGGAGGTGGCGGCGGTGGAGGTCCGGGGGGCTCAGGGGGCCTCTTCTCTGGTGGAAGAATGTGAGGAGGACATGCTGTGGAAGGGTTACTTCTTTTAAACACCATCATAAAAATCATGTGATTATAAACACAGACACACAGACATACGGACACACATGTACTGCCCAACATAAACAAATACCAGCACAAGTAACCAGATACATAAAGAATAAAATATTGGGATTAAGAAATTGCAATTCATAAATAAAACAAGTGTATTTTAGATCTAAGTTAGTATGAAAAGATCATATGTTTTAAAGATTGTCCTGATTTTTGCTCGAGATCTCCATTTTCTTCCTCAAAGAGAACTAATACCCAGGCTGCTGGTAGCCATCTGATCCCTTTTTGCTGTTAGATAAAATCATTAATGAAAATAAAGCAGAAGAAAAAATGAGAGAGAACAATACATATCCTTTGGTCACATTTCTAGCACACAATCTTGGTGTATAATGGAGACCTTGACCTTGAATGGACTTGGCTAATACATTTTACAGACTACTTGATGATATAAGGTTAACCTAAAACAAATCTTAAAGAATACGTAGGAGAGAAGAAATAAAAGCTTTTCATTATCATATACAAAAATATACTTGTTGCTCCAAACTTTAGTCACCTATTCCCATAATCATATTCTCAAAAAAGGAACCACCACAACACCGTCATTTAGCTTCCTGTGTAATTATAACTGAAGCCATCTTCTATCATATTTTTTTTTCTTTTCCAATCTCCTGAATTTTTTTTCCACGCTGTGGAAAAAATACCATGATAGTGGGGTACCATGAAGAATGGTATGTTGATAAACAGCTGCTTATCTTGGAGACCATCTTTAGGAATGTACTGGCCTAATACTGAACTCTATCTTCACAGAGACCTTGGTCTTTGTTGAGTCACTTCCCCATTTTCCTCCCACTGTTTAGTGTGTCTCAACACAGCGATCATTGTCTAATAATGACTCTTGTTAAGGCAGAAAAGGAAAGGCAGAAGATGGCTGAGCTTGAGGACACACAAAACAAGCACATGGTCTGAACAGTGCTTTCAAAGATCTGGAAGTCACTCTGATGAAGGAAAGGTTTAATATTTTGTAATATCTTCCAAGTAGACCATTTTCTTTTCCCCTCTGGAAGAATAAAATAGCCATATAGTCATTCTTCCATTACCTGGGTTAGTGATTTAGTCATTGATCAGATAAACCAAAGTCAGTTTTGAGTTATAATCAGGTATTTCTGCAGCATATTTACCTTAATTATATTTTACCATGAAAATGAATAAATAGGTTTGCATTCCCTTATCAAGTGATGAAAGCACTCCAAAACTGTAAGACTATGCAGAGGATAAGGTCAGGTGTTGCATGTAACATACAAGTAGGGTGATGAATGGTTCCAGTTTGCCCTGGACTGAGGGCGGGTTATCAGGTTTCCTTTCTGACTTTTGGTTTTAAAACCAGGACAATCAAAGAATGAATGGGTCACCCTATATATATTACGTACTACCAAAGTTACTTATTGACTGGCTGGCTGGTTGGCTGGGCAGAAAAGGAAAATGAATTTAGCCAGCGAAAAGTCACAACGTGTAAAGCAGACATGTGAGTAAGCTGGGATAACTGGACTACACCCATCTATGGAATAAGCCTTCTGCTGTCAGCACTATACACCTTTTAAGTAAGCACATCAAGGTACCAGCAGCTTTTTTTAAAAAGTATTTTTTAGATGATACAAAACGGAACACCAGGTTTCTCAATACGAGGGGCAAACTATTAAAATGTATAATTGTAAAAATGGGCAAATCTAAAGGTACATTATTCCAGCTATTTCAATTTCATATTTATGTAGCTCTTGTCTTTAATCTCAATAATTTAATGAAGACTAATTCCTGGGCTCAAATTCTTGCCCAAGTATAAAATTCCTAATCCATAATAGTAAAGCAAATAGATGTAAGGGTAATAAAACTTCTTAAAGGAATTAAAATAAAACATGAAATACACACCAAATTGTTTTATGATTTAAAGTGTTAGGGAAGGTCCTGGCGCAGTGACCTAGTGGCTAAAAGCCCTCACCTTACAGGAGCTGCCAGGATCCCATATGAACGCTGGTTCTAATCCTGACAGCCCCACTTCCCATCTAGCTCCCTGCTTGTGGCCTGGGAAAGCAGTCGAGGACAGCCCAAGGCCTTGGGATCCTGCGCCCGTGTGGGAGACACAGAAGAAGCTCCCGGTTTCAGATCGGCTCAGCTTGTCATTGCAGCTAGTTGGGGAGTGAACCATCGGATGAAGCATCTGCCTCTCCAATAAAAAAATAAATCTTTAAAATATAATAATAATTAATTAAAGTGTTAGGGAAAACAATCAGTCTACTACAGTTAAGACATCAGTTAAGATGCCTGTGCCTCATGTCAGAGTACCTGGGTTCAATACTCAGCTCTGGCTCCTGATTATAGACCCTGAGATGCATCAGTGATGGTTCCAAGTAATGGTCCCAGACTGAACTTCCAGTTCCTGGTTTCAGCCTGACACAGCATCACCTACTGTGGTTATCTGGGGGGAATGAATTGGTGAGTGTGATGTCCTGTCTCTCATAAATAAATGAGAAAATAAAGTTGTAGTTATCAATCCCTAGTAGTCTAATGGAGGATCTAATGAAATGTAAAAATAACTTCAAAACCTCATTTATTAGATTTCAACCAGCACCCATTCATATCAAGTACAGAATAGTTTAATACCAACCAGATTGATAGGTTGTCACTTTTCTCTGGTTTATAGTCTGCCCTCTGGTGGAAGCATGAATGAACAGTGATATGGCCAAGTAAAAGGCAGCAAGGGTCAAACAATAGGTGAGATACCAACTGGATCATCTAAGGGCGGCTGTAGTAATTAGATGTGGATGTTTACACACTAGATTCAACAACTTCTGCTTCAGTTTTACTCCATTTCATTATTTGGCTGATAACTTGCTGATTTAAGTACTGGGTAGATTTCTTTCAATCACTGTGTTATTTTATTTAACTCAACTTCTTCCAGGTATTTTAATTAGAGGTGAATTTGAGGGAGGAGGGACAGAGGGATCAGAGTCTGATAAACGAGACAAAGAGGCCTACTTTAATTCTGGTTAGTTTCTTCTGTTACTTCATGTTCTGCAGCAACTTAAATAACTGGAATCATCATGACAGTACCAAAGCAAATTAAGAAACATGCGTCCTTGTTCTGGTCTCTGTCAACAACCAGCAGTGGCACCATAGGCAGACTTCTTATTCCCTGACTACATTTTTTTATGTAAAGGGCTACTTTTCTTTATTTTATTGTCCAGTTTGGAAAAGCTTTTTATATTAAAAAATGGCTTACAAATTTGACCTTATTCCAACGAAAAGGCATATCCATTTGGCACCATCTCTTAAGAAATGTGAATGTAGGACCCTATGGTTGAAGGTTAGTATATCTCTTCAGCCCTCGTGCTTCTTCTTTTTCCCCAACTCATGGAGTCTTCATTGACAGCAAAAATTTCTCAGGAGTTAAAAATGCATTTTAGATAAATACAAAGTTTACATGTTGTTGAATCAAAACTGATTAGCAAATTTAGCTTCTCTTCCCTTTGATAAATTGCATACTGTGATCACGTTAGGACCAAGACACAACATTCTCCTTTGTCTTCTTTTCTCTTTATATAATGCTCACTTCCTCAACGGTCTCTTTCAGGAACATAAATCTAAAGAAATTGATTTCATATGCTATTATTTTTTGAAAAGAAATATTCCAAAATTAAAATGGTATTTTATTAGGATTTTCTTGACTGTACCTTCCAGGTAAGACTCTGGTATTCAGCATCCACTCCACTACATGTAAAGAAGCACAATGTGACAATGGTTTGTTTGGATGTCAGATTTTCAAGCTGTAGAACTAGATGGTCAACATACAAATGGTGGTTCAAAATGCAACACTAGCTGTGACTGTGGTTTCTTTGTTTAGAGCATGGGGTTTTACTTACCTACCTCCTAGCAAGTGGAAAAACAATTAGCATATATAGAAAAGTGCTTTGAGACTTAAATAAAAGAAGCCAGGCAATATATTGCTTGGTGCTGAGTTCTCCTGTAGACCAGGCTATAGAAAAACTGTTATTGAGGCCATTGATGTGAAAAAGAAAATGTTAAAGAAAATTTTAAGAGGATCAACAGACAGCACCTGAGCTCAACAAGATTCATGACCGGGTCTGTTTACCTGCTGCCTCCTCCTGGGGTATTGTGGGAGTTCTTCGGGGTCCCTGTGGCCCACTGTTCTTGTCACTGTTGTTTTCCTCCAGGTTGCCTGCTGGCTCCTGGGTTTTCATCAGCTGACTCAAGAGAACTGCCAACATATTCTGCATGTCAGCTGGTGTGCTTGAAGCTTCAAGGGTTGTCTGTTCTGCTGAAGGCAGGACCACTGGGGCTGGGGGTGCCTCCTTTAAAGATTCCTCTGGGGCTATGGGCTCTGAGTCCTGCTGCTGGGAATTGGCTTCCGTCAGGGCACTGATGGACTGGTTCAGGGCTTCCAGCTGCTGCTGTATCTCTGGGTTGGAGTGGATGTTAAGCAGCTGTGCCATCTGAGGGATGCTCAGGTCGGTTTGGCTCTGCAGCAGGTTCAATAACACTGCCAATTCACTTTGATTTAGCTGCTGTGTGATGTCACCAAGGCCTGTGGACAGACAGTGGAACCAACATAAGCGGATGGGGCAGGGCAAAGGCCCTTTGCCTTCTTCAACTGGCAAAAGCAACTTACAATATCCAAAGAATGATGGTTCATTTTGAATGTCTCATTTTTCGTGCCTCAAAGTGTCTCAGCAAGGGCAGGCATCTGACTTAACAGTTAAGACATTGATTGGGATGGCCACCTCCCATGCTGGAGTGCCTGGGTGTGAGTCCCAGCTCCTTTCCCAATTTCAACTTCCTGCTGATACAAACCCTGGGAGGCAGCAGGGTAGCTGGGCCGTCACCCAGGTAGGAAACTCGGACTGCGTTCCTGGCCCCCAACTCTGAACTGGCACATGTATACATATGTCATGACACAGGTTGTTATTCTTTACACTTCTGCTTAAAAATACAGGGATTTAAAAAACATCTCTGCTCTGTGTATAAAAGTTGATTATCTGTAGTCTTCAAGCTCGTGATTCTTCAACCCTTATTGTACATAAACATTATCTGGAGAGGTTTTAAAATTCAAATATCTCAAGCCCCATCCCTACAGATGTGGCAGCTGTTATAAGGTATTTATTTTTAAAGCTTCCTGGATGATCTTAATGTGTAGACAATGTAGAGAACCACTACTGCAGCAGAGCAGGGAAGGGAAAGTGAGCCAGAAGAGTATCTATAGTTCAGAAAAATCAGTGTTTCCACAGGAAGATTATTGTGTTGGAGCAGTTCTTCATAACACGTGGCTTTAGATTTAGGAATTTTTAAAAGTTAACAAGTTAACAGTATACAGAACTAATACATTTAGCAAACATAATTTAACATGACTGGATGCTATGATCTTACACAATCTAACATAAACAAGACTCCAGTAGGGGATGAGGGGAGCACGAGAACTGAATTTTGCTTATCTATTTCACTGATTTAAGCCATACATTATACCTCCTTACTGAGAAAAGGAAAATGATTTAATATGACTGCCCTACTGGATAATATGAACCAAATTGAGTTTATCTCCATTTCCCCTTAATGAGCGTATCAACCTTTTTCCTATACTTGTACTGAACAAAAACTAAAAGACAGAAAGACACACACACATTCCTTGCACTTAACCTTCAACACCTGCCAAGATGTGCTTATTCACAGCACCAAGGCCCCATTGCAGCACTGACCTATTGCATCCCCAGCCCCAGGCTCCACCTTGCTGGGAGCAGGCTGAGGTGGTGCTGGGCTGCTGTTCTTCACAGGCTCAGCACTTGTCCCTGAGGTAGTTTCTTTGCGAGCGACTTTGGGTGGAGGAGGTTCTTCCACCAAAACACCACTTTGTCGTTGTCGTCGCCGTTTTTTACTCCACAGTTCATGGCAATCCTGCCAGTGGGGAAGACTGGAAAAGACAAAAAGAAAATGTGGCAGTAAGTAAATGCATGGACAAGTTGTTAAAATGGGAAGGTAAAGATGTGGCGAATGAAAAGAATCAGCAAGACATAAAAATAACCAAGAAAGTTGGTAAGTAGATACTGGTATATAAAAAGACTTCATCAGGCAGATGGTAGCCCAAGAAAATCAAAGTCCAAATGATTTAAACAGTGAGAAATGAAAATCCTGCTAATATTAGGGGCACATTTGCTACATACATAAACTCCAGCATTCTAAATACTGTTCTTCCGGACAAAGATATTGACTTAGGGAGACTCACAAAAAATCCCACAGAGGCCAGCATTGTGGTGTAGCACATTAAGCCTCTGTATGATGCTGACGTCCAATATGAGCTCTAAATTAAGTTCTTCCTGTTTCACCTCCGATCCAGTTCCCTGCTAAAGCACCTGGAAAAGCAGCGGAGGATGGCCCAAGTACTTGGGTCCCTCCACCTACCATGTGCAAGACGAAAGAACTCGTGTCCTGGGGCCTGGGCCTTAGTCCTGGCTATTGCGGCCATTTGAGGAGTAAACCAGCAGATGAAAGATTCTGACTCTCCTTCTATCTACGTAACTGTCTTTCAAATAAATAAAAAAAATAAATATTTTAAAATCTTAAAGAAAAAGTTTAGGAAAGGCAGTAATTTAAATCTTGAAAGCATACAAATATAAGGAAACTTCAAAAAGTTCATGAAAAAATGCAATTAAGAGAATGCAGTTTCCATGGAATAACAAGATTAAGTTATAACAGCACAACAATTAGTTTCCATGCCAGTTGCTGTGTGAGACCAAAGCTGGTTCTTTCCTCTTGCTGCTCCCTACAGTTCTCTGACAGGAATTCTCTTTTCCATCTGTAGAGTTCAGCACCACATTTTATTTGGTATCACGTCTAGACTTCCCATACTCAATAATGCAAATAATTAAAACAAAAACCTCTATAATAAAATCCCAAATTTCAGTAGAAAAGCTATTATTTTAAGTCACATTCAGTGTATCAAAATTCTAGTGGACCTGGCACAGTGGCCTGGCAGCTAAAGTCCTCGCCTTGAACACGCCGGATCCCATATGGGCACCGGTTCTAATCCCAGTTGCCCTGCTTCCCTTCCAGCTCCCTGCTTGTGGCCTGGGAAAGCAGTCGAGGATGGCTCTAAGACTTGGGACCCTGCACCCGTGTGGGAGACCTGGAGGAAGTTCCTGGATCCTGGCTTCGGATCAGCACAGCACTGGCCACTGCGCTCACTTGGGGAGTGAATCATCGGGTGGAAGATCTTCCTCTCTGCCTCTCCTCCTCTCTGAATATATCTGACCTTCCAATAAAAATAAAATAAATCTTTAAAAAAAAATTCTAGTGCAGTATTGGGACCAGCATGATAGCACAGCAGGGAAAGCTAACACCTGTGACAATGGCATCCTGCATGGCAAGGATTCATGTTCCTGGCTGCTCCACTTCTGGAGCAGCCCATGCTAACAGCCTGAGAAAGCACTAGAAGGTACACCAAGTGTTTGGGTCCCTACCATCCAAGCAAGAGAGTTAGATTAAGCTGCTGGCTTCCTCCTGGCTAGGTGCTAACTGTTGTGGTCATCTAGGAAATGATGTGTGGAGGGAAGATCACTCTATGTCCCTCCCTCTAACTCTTTCAAAATTACATAAATATAAAAATCATATATATAATTATTTTTATATAAAAGTATATTTATAATTATATATGTATATATTATATATAAGGTGTACATAACATGCAAATATCAATGTATAATGAAATCTTAAATTATTATATACATATACATATATATACACATATATACATATATATATATATATATATATATAAAATACATCTGAGAAAGAGACAGACATATATGGGAGAGAGTCTTTATTGGTTTACTCCCAAAATGGTTGCAACAGCCAGGGGCCAAGATTTCTTCTGGATCTCCCAAGTGGATGCTAAAGCCCAAGCTGAGTTGTTCTCAGCTGCTTTCCCAGGCACATTAGCAGGGAACTGGATCGGAAGTGAAGCAGCCAAAACTCCCACATGGGATGCTGTTGCTGCTGGTGGCAGCTTTATTCACTATACCACAGTGTCAGCCCCCAAATAAATCTTTAAATGTCTGAAAATGCCAGGTCTGAGCAAGTCAGAAGTCACAAGTTGTGAACTCCACTCTGCTTTCCTACTTGGGTGACAGGGGCGCACATCTGGGCTATCTTCTACTGCTTTCTTCAGTGCATTAGCAGAAATCTGGATTAGAAGCACAGTAGCTGGGATTCAAAGTGGCACACCAATAATGATGTGCCGGTGTTGCAAATGATGGCTTAACCTGCTGCAACAGTCTTTATTAAAGTAAAATTTCTCTAAAGAAGGGTGGGGTCTCTCCTTTCCTCCCCTCCAATCCTTTCCCATCTCATCTCATCCTAAGAACCTGCAAGGGTTTGCAATCCTATGTCCTCTAAAAATCTGACATGAAGGCAATAAATTGACAAATAAAAGACTTTTTGTATGTCAGAATGTGGAATTTAGGTGTAAAACTTTTGAAGATCCTATTGAATACAGAGGATGACATAACTGTGATAAAGGACCATAACCGTGGACCCAGCATGGTAGCCTATTGGCTAAAAGTCCTCACCTTGCATGCACCAGGATCCCATATGGGCACTAGTTCTAATCCCAGCACCCCCACTTCCCATCCAGCTCCCTAATCGTGGCCTGGGAAAGCATTTGAAGACAGCCCGAGGCCTTGGGACCCCGCACTGGTGTGGGAGTCCTGGAATAGATTCCTGGCTCCTGGCTTCGGATCAGCTCAGCTCCGCTTGGGGAGTGAATTAACGGATGGAAGATCTTCCTCTCTGTATATCTGACTTCCCGATATAAAAATAAAATAAATCTTAAAAAAAAAAAACCCACACAATTGTAGATCAATAACCTGAAATGACCTTTTGGTGGAGTGGATAAGGCGCTATCTCTCCTAACAGAGTACCTTATTTATGGCTGGTTACCTCCCTTTCTAACCCAGTTTACTGTTACTGCACGTCTTGTTAAGTATCAGATAGAAGTTCAACTTCTGGGTCCTTGCTACACATGTGAGAGCTGTGGCTTGAAATCTAGGCTATCTTTGACTTGGGCCATCTCCCATCTCAGACTCTTGGATGCATTTGGGGAGTGAACAAGTAAATGGAAGATTTTTTCCATTTTTCTCTTTGAAAATAAATAAACATAGATTTTTTAACAAATTCAATGTTAGGGCCCAAATACTTGGGCCGTCATCTGCTGCCTTCCCAAGCTCATAAGGCAGGAAGGGGCATGAGAAGCTGAACCAGTGAGGACTCAAACTGGCAGTCCAGTATAGGACGACTGTGCTTAAAGTGGTGCCTTAACACACCGTCGAGGAATATTTTTCTTGTTTCTTAAATGTAAATATTTACTTAACAGGCAGAGTGAACACAGAAATTAAGAGAGAGAAAGAGAGAAATAGATTTTTCATCTGTTGATTCATTCCCCAAACTGTAACAATGGCCAGGACCAGGCCAGGCTTAGGTCAGAAACTCACTCTGGATCTCCCACGTAGGTGGCAGGAGCCCAACCACTACAATCATCATCTGCTGCAGTACAAGAAACATCTGGGACCCCAAGGAATAATTTTAAAGGGGTTATATGGAACAATGTGTTCTTTTCCTTATTTAAAAAGTAACCAAAAAACAATGAAATAAGTCTCCTTACCAATCATTAATCCAAGGAAATCTCTCTGTTCAGGACTTATTTGGCTATTAGCAGTTCTTTTGAAAACCTATTCTTTCTTATCTTCCTGAGGCCCAGTGATACTCTTATGGTACTAGACACAGCCACCAGCACTTACTCTGGAGGAGCCATTTTGCTGAGCTCAACATCTTTAAGGAAGTCACTCTGCAGGGTCTGTTCAGCTGTACATCGCTTGCTAGGATCGAGTGTCAGCATGTGGTCCAATAAATCAAGTGCTGCTGAAGGAATGCTATGTAAAGGAAAAGGAAGAAACAGGTTCACAATGACTCTGTGACCGTGGGTCAAGAGCCCTCTGAATTCCTAGCTCTATGCAAAGCTAAGGAAAAAGAGTCCACAACTGGAAGCAATCTGATTTGCTCCCAGACAGAACTGAAGAAAATATTATAATACAGGCAATAATAATGAATAGTTCTATTCTTTTTCTAAAAATAAAAAGGACTATATGAACACTTTCATAGTGTTTAAATTAAAATGGCTTTCTATAATCTAAAATCTTCAGGAAAAAAGATTTATGAATAGGCTATGACAAAAATTCATATACTGTTAAAGAACTAAATGCTATAGTGTACTGCCATAATAAACTGGGACAATACCAACTTTCCACGCCAGAAAAAACTCAAGTTTCAACATCAGTTGGACATAGAAACAAAATCCATATTTTTGCAAGACTCACAAAGAGAATTCTTCTCGTAAACGCCTTCTATACTGCTTCTTCGGTTTCATGGTGTTGAAATAGGGCAACTTGATAACATCAGGCCACACAGCTGGACAAGGAGTCCCACAGAGTCGGCTGAAAACAAAGCAAAGAAAAAGAGCAAGTGAGGACGTACGCATCATGGATTTTGAAGATTTCAGAAGCAGAAATTATTATCCCCTGACATCTGAGAAGTCTTTTTTAAGTTATAAGACAAGCAGAAAGATAAAGCACAAGCTTATTGTTTTTAAGGGCATAAACAATATGACAGACAAGAACTGGTTACAAGAAAAAATACTAATCCAAAATGGTCTGTGTTTGCATTTTGTAAAATATGTTTTTCATACATATTCCAAGTTTTCATTAATGATTTTGTTGTGTACATTATTAATTTCTTTTTTTTTTTATTATTAATTTCAAAGGCTTAAGCTGGTACTGTGGTATCCTTAAGGGAAACTAGGAGGCTAAAACTGAAAACTTCAGCAATTGACACATAATGAGCCAATACTACTCTTTTAAAACGTCTAAATTAGTCTACTGTGTTTCTTCCTATAATTATATTGACAAAAAAAAGTCAATCCAAATTCTATCCCAATACCTGCTCTTCTCCAAATCTTTTATTAGAGAGAGAGAGAGAGAGAGAAAGAGAGAGAGAGAGAAAGAAAGATTCTATTTTATAAGAATCTATTGATGTGCTGTACACCTCACTGAACTGAGTTCCTTCAAGGCAGGGACTATCACAATTATCTGTAAATCCTAAAGTCTAAGAGAAAAAAAGAATCTGTTTCATAAAAGGCTCAATAAACATTGGTAGAATAAATTTAATTATCTAATTAAAAACTTTTTAAAATCATCCTGTAAATGGCATGCTTTTTTATGAAGAATTAAAAATATGCCAGGTAAAGCCTAACAAGTTAGTTAAATTTATATGCATACACATCACATGACAATAGATGCTAAACCCGACTGAGTGAAAATTACTTGTTTCTAAGGATCTTAAAGTCATTTCATATGATGGTGAGTATTCGAGATAGGAATGCAAGATTATCACATCTGGACATTTAAAACACATGAAGAGCCTATACCTGATCAATTCTAGCTGAGCCAGTTCCAGATTAGCTTGAAAGATGGGCTTCTTTGTGAACAGTTCCCCAAGGATGCATCTAGAAAGTAAATTGAGAGGTCAGAAGAGCAATCTATTGCAATATGTCTCAAAAATATTTTATATCTTTTTTAAAAGGTAGAATTATCAGTAGGGAGGCAGGGGAAAGCAGGGGAAGGGAGGGAGGGAGAAAGAGACAGAGCGAGCAAGAAACAGAAATCAATCCATCTATTCTCTACCTACTGGGTTCACTTCCCCAAAACTGAAAGGGCCTGGGTTGGGTCAGATTGCATGCAATTCTAGGGTCTTCCACATGGTTGGCAGCAGTCCAGGTACTTAGGCCACTTTCCAAGTAGCAAAGAGTTGCAACAGAAGTAGAACAAACTGTGAGCTGGCAATCTGACTTGGTATGTAGTCACTATAGCAAAAGTTCAACATGCTGCAGCACAATGCTGGCCCCATCAGAAAATTACAGGGAGCACACTGGGCTGCTTCCAATACAAAATGTTGTAAACTAGCCCAGAACTTTAGTGTCAAGAATTTTTTAAAACAAAATTTTCTCTACAGTGGAAAGAGACAGCTAAAGGATCTGCATTTATCAGCAATCAAACTTTAGCCAACTACAGGGGAGTCTACAAAACCAGAAAAAAGGAGTCAAGAATCCTTTTCTGTTATACTACTATAAATTAAGGAAATAACTAAGGATCTTCACAATTTCTATAATTGGACATTTTTTCTGTCATTAATTTTTCCTTCAGAACATGTAGCTTTCTAATGTATTGACGCTGTATTTGCAAAGAAAACAAGGTACTGACATCTGCAAAATCAGTTTAAACAAGATATTGAAACAAAGTATCCTAAACCATGTATGTCATTTTATAAAGGCTTTTAACACTATGAACGTATTTGCACAAAGCATATCCTTAATTCTTAATTATAAAAGTCATGTACCCCGAGAAGAATATAACATTGCTTCCTGTGTGTTCCAGTCCAAAATGCAAAATCTACGTGTGTAAACAGTAATTGGTCATTATTCTTCAAAACTGGCCTGCACAGCCATTGTGGCCATGTGTGGAGTGAGCCAGCAGATGAAAATCAATCTTTCTCTGTCTCTGCTGCTCCTTTTTTCCAATAAACAAATAAGACCCCATCAAAAAAAAAAAAAAAAAAAAAAACCAGGCTTTCAAATTTCAGGTATAATTTGTTGTACCCGTTTTTCTGGTTTCCCTACTGATATGCACACTGAACTGCTCTACCAATCATCCTATAAAAATACCCTCAGGATAAAATTTAAAAATGACCTCTTAGAAACTACAATGGGTCAACTACCATGGGTCAGTAATTTGATCCACGTTAAGTTCCTGAGTTCAGGCCTGGCAGCGTGGCCTGGCAGCTAAAGTCCTCACCTTCAACGTGCCAGGATCCCATATGGGCACCAGTTCTAATCCCAGTTGCCCTGCTTCCCTTCCAGCTCCCTGCTTGTGGCCTGGGAAAGCAGTCGAGGATGGCTCTAAGACTTGGGACCCTGCACCCATGTGGGAGACCTGGAGGAAGTTCCTGGATCCTGGCTTCGGATCAGCACAGCATTGGCCACTGCGCTCACTTGGGGAGTGAATCATTGGATGGAAGATCTCCCTCACTGTATCTCCTCCTGATACTGTGACCCCTGGGAAGCAGCAGTGATGGCTTAAGCAATTTGGTTTTCCTTGAGTAGACACAAACAGCATTCTAGCTGGAGCTTTAGCCCATCCCATCCCCCTCAACAGTAGATTTCTAGGGAGTGAAAACAGACAATGAGATGCAAGTTTTAATTCTGACATTCTTTGCTTTCTAAAGAAAAATTATATATATTTATTTTATTTGAAAGGCAAAGAGAAGGAAAGACACAGAGAGGTCTTTCATATATGCTGGTCCACTACCCAAACGGTCACATGGTTGGGAAGCAGTCAGCCCAGAGACAGGAGCAAGGAGCTTCTTCTGGGTCTCACGTGTGATTGTAGGGGCCCATGTACTTGAGACCATCCTCCCATGCTTTCCCTGGTGCATTAGCAAAGAGCTGTATTGGAACTGGAGCAGCCAGGACTGGAACAAACACCCAGATGAGATGTCACATTCAAAGATGTTGGTTTAACCCGCTACATCACAACACTGACCCCTTAAAAGGTTTTTACAAGGCAATTAAAAAAAATCTATCATTGATTGCCAAAGTACTAAGTACACATCATGAAAATCAGAGGCAGACGTGAAGACACTAGAAGTGCAATTAAGATGCCAGTCAGGATGCTTGTAAGTCTGCATCAGAGTACCTGCTTTCAATTCCAGTTTCCTTCTAATGCCTACCCTGGGAAGTACCAGGTGATGGTTCAAGTACTCTGCTCCCTGCTACTCATGGGGCACAGCTGGCATCTAGTTCCAGCCTTGCTCAGCCCTGGTTGCTGTCAGCATCTGGAGAGTCAATCAGGTGTCAGATTACTCTCTACCTTACAAATTTAACAAAAAAAAAAAAAACCCACATACCAGAAAAGTAGGGGAAAATCTCAAACATGCATTGGGCTTTAAATAAAGTTTGATTTTTCCATATCTCTAATTTCCAATTGTGTTTCTGTAATTTCCTAATTCTTTGGTGGGGAGGATATTTTCACTATGTAACTAACGCTTTCTAAATGCACTGAGGTGGCAGGTTGCATAGACTTCAAATAATAGAACCAACAGAGCTATGAACTTTCACCATGTATCTTAACGGAATGTTAACTTTAGAGTGTAGTTGTGACAATTTAAATGTTAATACTGTCAAAGTAAATAGTCCAGAACATCAACACACTCAGCTTGAGTCAGTAAAATTTAATTAAAGCTTCATTTCATCTGAGCAGGCTACCACAAATATCCTGTTCTTTTCCCAACACCCTGTTGAATTTTGAAGTAAAACTACAGAGATCTTCTTAAAATCTCACATTACTAGAGGAAGGGAAAGAATTGAAAAGGGGATATGCTCTACTGGGAAGTATACTCATCTCCTAAGGTATGCGATCAGGGACAGTATGCATGGGCACAAATCATACAATGTAAGAAACAATTATCCAACAGGGTCCATTTACAATGTTTACACTCATAACATTAATTGTGGTCTCTACATGATTTTCCTCTAGAACAAAGACTAGAGAAATGGCTGATTATTACAGCTCCAGGTCAGGAAAGACACAATAAGGCTAGAATTAGAATGTAAGGAAGGCTATCACCACTAGGGTGCATTAAAAGTGCTCAAGAAATAATCTGACTAAATATGGTACAGTTTCACAGAAGATAATAAGTACAATGGCTTTTCGTTGTTCATTTCTAGAAATACTAGAAAAACACTTAATTTTGAAAACCGGTAAATAGACTGAAGGAATTAATCTTTTTAAAGACATATATTTGTTTTTGTTTGAAAAGCAGATTTTTACAGAGAGAGGTCCTCCATCTGCTAGATCACTCCCTCTAAATGGCCACAACGGCCAGAAGCTTTTTCCCAGCACTTGAGTCATACTGTTTTGCTTTCCCAGGCCATAAGCAGGGAGCTGGATCAGAAATGGAGCACCCAGAACATGAACTGACACCCACATGCAATGCTGGTGCTCGCAGATGCAGGACTAGGCTAATACATGACCACGCTGGCCCCAGGAATTAATCTTCATCCTATCTTTTCATTTTTATATGATTCGTTATCTCAGATTAGCTAAATATGAAAATTATCTTTACATAAATATTGCAGTAAGAAACAATATGATTAGAACATGAACATTTTAAAACTTCAAATGAATTAATAAATATGTGCAAAAATATGCAATAACTGATAACATTTCATTAAAGTGATGTGTGTAAATCTGCCAGCTGGGCTAAATATTTTATAAAACATCATTTGGAACAGCCCCAATAAGACTGTAATAAAATGCTAGCTAATTTGCACTGAATTCTTTCATGGCTACATTCTCCACAGACACTGAATTCATTTATGGTCTGGACTCTGGGCAGCAGATACTCACTACTCCCTAGTCCCAATTAATAGGTATCAATCATTATGTAACTTCTGTTAGAAGACCTCAAAACCACCTGTAGTTTCAAGGTTGGCTGGTAATTAACACTCAATCTGCATACAATTTACAGAAAACAAGAGATAAAGAATCATGTCTAAAAAAACACCATGCAAATGCAGTCAGAAAAATACAAGCTCACAAAGCTAGAGGACAAATGATCTAGTTTCTTCTAAAGAAACTGAGAGAAAAAAAAAAAAAAAAAAAAAAAGAGGTGATATGACCAAAAGTTGACTCTCCTATTTGGAACTTTAGAACCTCAGAAGACCAATGCTGAAAAAGAAACAAGTCCACAACACATGAGTTACAGACAAAAGAAACAGACAGCCTTACCCACAGCTCCAAACATCTATGGCTGGTGTATAACGTTCCTCTCCGAGCAGTAGTTCTGGAGGTCTGTACCACAGAGTAATAACTTTGTTTGTATAAGGGCGACTGAAATGCAAAAAACCGTGACACAAATTTACTACAGCTTCTGATGATTAAAATAGTTCCAAAGTAACAAAACGCACCAAAAGTAAACTACTACATACACAGGAAAAAGAAAATTTTCATTTCAATTGAGAGTAATTTATTTAGCCTAAGGCTGACTCAAGAATTGAGACAGAATTTACTTCAATCTCAGGAATAAACTTTTAGCTATTTAGGACACTGATTAATTCCAACTTAAGGAATACTAGAGGACCTGGGTGCAGTAGCCTAGCAGCTAAAATCCACACCTTGCATATGTTTGGATCCCATATGGACGCTGGTTCATATCCTGGCAGCCCCACTTCCCATCCAGCTCCCTGTCTGTGGCCTGGGAATGCAGTCGAGGACGGTCCAAAGCCTTGGGACCCTGCAACCGCATGGGAGACCCCAGAAGAAGTTCCTGGCTTCAGATGGGCTCAGCTTCGGCCATTGTACCCTACTTGGGGAGTGAATGAGCAGGAGGAAGATCTTCCTCTCTGCCTCTCCTCCTCTGCAAATATTTGACTTTCCAACAAAGACAAATACTTAAAAACATTACCAGAACATCCAACATTAAAGAGACTCTTTTCTATTCCCCACATGTAATGCTGATGAATAGCTCACCTTTCTTCAGAGTTATAGAGCCGAGCAAGTCCAAAATCTGCAAGTTTTATTTGTCCACTGTAAAACAAAAACAATCATTTTTGTAACAGATGCAGCTTAAAATCTGTTCTTTGAATATTAATAAAAATTTTAAAAGAAAAAAGTAGCTGCAACCTCCCAAACATAACTGAGAAGTCAAGCACCAATTCATAAATTAGAAAGACCATTATTCTTTGCTCTATTTCTACTCTTCACGATGTCTTACAGTTATTCTTAGGCTTTTGTTGAACAGCTACCACATTTTGGTTTTAATCTCTATAATCAAACATTTCTTTTTGTTTTTAAGTTTTCTTATTTTTACTGCAAAGGCTGAGTTACAGAGAGAGGAGAGACAAAAACACATTTCCATCTGTTAGTTCACTCCCCAAATGCCCACAACGGCTGGACTGACCCAATCTGAAGACAGGAGCCAGGAATTTCTTCTGGGTCTCCCACATAGATGCAGGGCCCCAAGAACTTCGGACACCCTCTGCTGCTTTCCCAAGCAATAAGCAGGGAGCTGGATGGGAAGTGAAGAACCTAGGAAATGAACTAGTACCACAGAGAATGCTGGCATCACTGGCAGAGACTTAGCCTTTAATATACCACAGTGCCAACCCCTACTTTTTTTTTTAATACTGGGGGTGAGGGAAGCTGGCACCATAGCTCAATAGGCTAATCCTCCACCCTGTGGTTTTGGCATCCCATGTGGGTGCTGGTTTCTGTTCCAGTTGCTCCACTTCTGATCCACTGCTCTGCATGTGGCCTGGGAAAGTAGCAGAGGATGTCAAGTCCTTGGGTAAGTCCTTGGGACCCTGCACTCACATAGGACAATGAAGAAGACACCTGATTCCTGGCTTCAGATCAGCTTGGTTAAGGCTAATGTGGCCAATGGGGGAGTGAACCAGAGGATGGAAGACATTCTCTCTGCAAACATGTCTTTCAAATTAAGTAAGCCCTTAAAAATTTATTTTTATATATTGTGGCCAGTATAGAGGCTCAACAGGCTAATCTCCATTTGCAAGCACCAGCATCGTGCTGGTTAGTGTCCAGGCTGGGAAAGCAGTGCAAGATATCTCAGGTCAATGGGCTCCTGCAGCCACATGAAAGACCCAGAAGCTCCTGGCTTCTGATTGGTTCAGTCCATCTGGTGTGGCCATCTGAGGGAACCAGCAGACAGAAGAGCTTGTGCTTGTCTCTCCCCTCTGCCTTTCAAATAAAAATAACTAAATCTTTAAAAAAATTATAACACAAAATGTTAGGAAATTTTAAAAAAATTAGGAACAATTTTGATTAATTATTTACATAAATTTGGATAGCGTATTTAATCATCTTTATAGCCTTGTTAACCTCCTGGGAAAGGAAAAGCCAGCTCACTCTTTGAAAGGTATCTGATGGCTCACAACAGGAAGAGATGGTTAAGAGATTGCTGGGAGGATGTTTCTCAAAGTATAAACAATGGGATGAAATAATAAAATAAGGAAATTACTGGCAACAAAATTGCACACGCAAATAACTTTTATCATTCCTGATAAAGATTGAGTACACCTTACCCACTTTCCTGAATACTATTTTATTAAGGTTCATTTACAAGCAAATTCATGGAACAACAAAAAGAAATAAGGGCAATCCTTATTCCTGCTTGGGACACAAGGGTTTCATATCAAGGGGATTAGAACGGAGTCCCCATTACTGTGTTTCTGAAACAGCTTCCAGATAATGCATCCTGAATGTTGACAAAGGCTGGTTCAACAGCTTAGACCCTGCCATCTATGTGAGACACAAGGATGGCATTCCTGGTTGCTGGTTTCTGCCTGGTCAAGCCCTGGGCATTGTAGGCACTTGGGATGTAAGCAAGTAGGCTGAAATAATTTCCTGTCTGTGTCACTCCTTCAAGCTGATGAAGCTTAATAAATATAACATTTTTGTTTTTTTTTAAAAAAAAAAGGACCGGTGAACTTACATTAAGACAAAGTATTTCTTAAATTTCTTGGCATCTTTACTGAAAGCCTGAGGTGACTCAACACTCAAGGCACACAGAAGGATTAAAAGTAAAATGGCAAAAGATGTACAACTACAGACACTAGTCTAGACCTAAATATTGCCAGTCCCTAACAAATTTCCTGAAGGACTTACGCTAAATAAATAAACATGTTTTGGGTGAAATGAATGTTCCATACACATCCTAATAGCATTTTTACTGTGTTTCTTCTTCTAATACTCATAAAAGATTGATATATGAAGTGTAAAAGAATTAGAAAACAGACTTCATAAAATAAAGAAAATGTGCTCACACTTGAGCCATCTTTTCCTTCCTTCCTAGGCACAATAGCAAAGAGCTGGAGCAGAACTGGAGCAGGTGAAATTCAAACCAACATCCACATGGGCTCCCAGAATCACAGGTAGAGCCATATCCAGTATATCAGGAGCCAACTCAAATGAAATATATCTTCAAAAAAATATAAAAAGTAATTTCCCGACTATGGGAAGTGATGGAATAGAAGCTGATCCAACAGAAAGGACAGAAAGGGTACCAGGCAGCACTGCAATCACTCCCTGTCCTGAGAAATCACCCCATGAAGGTGCAAGGAAACTGAAGGAAACAAGCAGGCACTATGGCTCAGTGGGCGAATCCTCTACCTTGAAGTACCAGTTCATGTCCTGGCAGTTTAACTTCCCATCCAGCTCCCTGCTTGTATCCTGGAAGAGCAGAGGAAGATGGTCCACAGTCTTGGGACCCTACATCCACATGGGAGAGCTGGAAAAAGCTCCTGGTCCTGGCTTCAGATTGGCTAAGCTCTGCCCATTGTGGCCACTTGGGGAGTGAACCAGCAGATGGAAGTTATTTCTCCATATATCTCCTTCTCTCTAAATCTGTGTTTCCTACAAAAATAAATAAATCTTAGCAAAAAAGAAGGAAAGAAGGAAGAAAGAAACAGAGCAAGGGAAGAAAGAAGGGAGGAGGGAAAGAAAGGAACTGAAGAATGTATATTAACACTATAGACCAGAAAGCTGCAAGCCGATACTAGCAAAGTACTCACTTAAAAAATATTTTTAAAATTTATTTGAGAAGCAGAGTTGCAGAAAGAGAATAGGAGAGAGAGGCACATCTTCCATCTACTGGTTCACTCCCCAGATGACCACAACAGGCAGTGGTAGGCACAGAGGCTGGAGCTTGCTTTGGGTCACACACTTTGGGGTGGGAGCCCAGGTACTGGGGCCATGCTCTTCTCTGCTGCTTCTCCAGGCACATTAGCAGGGAGCTGGGTCAGAAGCAGAGCAGCTAGGACTCAAACCAGTGCCCGTATGGGATATTAGCATTGCAGGCTGCAGCTTAATTCGCTGTGCCATAATGCCAGCATACATCAAATGTTCCTTTTAAAAAATATTTATTTGAAAGAGAGCCACACACACATACAGAGGAAGAGAATGAATCTTCAACCTGTTGGTTCACTCCCTAAATATCTCCAACAGTCAGGAATTCTATCTGGGCTTTCCCATATAGGTGGGTGGGAAGGACCTAAATACCTGTATGTATTATTGCCAACTTGTTAATAAATCTTAAAAAGAAGAAAAATTCTTATTCATTCCTCAGGCTGCACCTTTCCAAGTGTTTCCAAATTCAAGGAAAAAACCATTGAACACTGCAGTAACCAAACATCCCACATGACATTTTTAAAGCTAAAGCCACAAAAGTCCTACGGAGGGCCTGGCAGACTGGTTCAACTGGCTAAGCCTACCAGTTCAAGCACCAGAATTACAAATGGATGCAATTTCATATCCTGGGTGCCCTGCTTCCCATCCAGCTCCTTGCTTGTGGCCTGGGAAAGCAGCAGACAATGACCCAGAGCCTGGGAACCCTGAACTCATGTGGGGAACCTGGAAGAAGCTCCTCGGTCCTGGCTTCAGATCAGCTCAGCTCCAGCTGTTGTGGCCACTTGGGAAGTGAACCACCAGAGGGAAAACCCATCTCTCTCCTTCTCTCTGTAAATCTGTCTTTCTAAAAAATATATATCTTTAAAGCAAATAAATAAATAAAATTCTAGGCAGGGCCCAGTGGCGTGGCTTAGCAGCTAAAGTCCTCGCCTTGAACGCACCCGAGATTCCATATGAACGCTAGTTGTTATCGCACTAGCTCCACTTCCCATCTACCTCCCTGCTTGTGGCCTGGGAAAGCAGCTGAGGATGGCCCAAAGCCGTGGGACCCTGCACCCCTGTGGGAGACCCGGAAGAAGTTCCTGGATCCTGGCTTCGGATCAGCACAGCACTGGCCATTGCGCTCACTTGGGGAGTGAATCATCGGACAGAAGATCTTCCTCTCTGTCTCTCCTGCTCTCTGTATATCTGAATTTGTAATAAAAAATAAATAAATCTTTAAAAAAAAATTCTAGACAATACCACATTGACAGTTATTTTACTGCAGAAAGCAGAAAAACAGGAAATGTGTCATAATTATTTCCTTTTACTATCTAGTTCACGCTTGTTGGAGTACAACAGAAATATTTAAAATAGTAGGTGAACTACATACAAAACCAAACACTACCTTTACTTCAGTGGTGCCATATTATTTCTTCAACGCTCAACAGGCAGAGATACAACCAAACATTACTGCTTTTACCATGCCATGTGGGTAAATGGAAAGAAAGCAGATGACAAAATCTTCTGAAGAATTAATACCTATTAAAATTGGGGATGTAAAGGCCAAGCCACAGCCATATATGTGTAAGGCAGTAACTAAGTGGGCTCAAAGCAGCTACAGAAACAGGAAACAAAAGTACTTCCCACTGAACAAGAGGACAATTGGTAAGAACTCATTATGTGTCTGAATTTGCTTAGGGCTGCACTACTGAATAGCTGTAACAACCGGCTCTTGTTGATAGGAGATCTGAGTGATTCCCTATCTGTGTTAACTCTTTACCAACACTTGAGTCTGCAGGCTCTGCTGATTAGAATATTCCTATCACAAGGTGTGCCCAAGATACAAATATAAGACATACACAAATGCTAAAAATACACTAGTGGGTCTACTTATAATCCAAACCAGCACAACTCAGAAGAGAAAGTTAACCTTATTTGATAACTATATTACCTGTTGTTCAGCAAAATGTTAGAACATTTAATATCTCGATGCAGGAAATTCTTTTTGTGACAGTAATCCAATCCTTCCATTAGCTGTTTCATGAATGACTTGATATGATCTTCAGAAAAGTGCACCAAACCAGATTCCAGCAGTCCCATTAAGTCATGGTCCATGTACTCAAATACAAGGTAAAAGGCACCTATATAACATGAAAATTTAAAAAAAAAAATTAAAAAGCAGTTTTCAGGAAAAAAGGATGATTAGATCATATTGCCTCATATTTAAATATAAATTTAGAATTGACCCCAAAGCTGTCTTCATATAATAGATCAAGAAACTAGGGGCTGGAACAGTGGCCCAATAGGCTAATCCTTTATCTTCCAGCACTGGTATCTCATGTGACCACTGGTTCCAGTCCTGGTTGTTCCACTTCCAATTCAGCTCCCTGCTTATAGATTGAGAAAGCAGAGGAGTATGGTTCATGTACTAAGGCCCCTACAGCAACATGCGAGACCTGGAAGAAGCTCCTAGCTTCTGGCTTTGGATCAACTCAGCTATTTGGGGAGTGAATTCATAAGATCGAAGATCTCGGGCTCTCCCTTTCTCTGCATATCTGCCTCTCAAATAAAAAAAAATAACTCTATAAAAAGAAAGAGACAGAGAGAAACAAACTAAGATCTGTTGAAAAACTTACCTTCTTCAAGAATAAAACCGAAGTACCATTTGTAATTCTTTTTTTTTTCATAAAGCAAGATTTATTTAATAGAGTGACAGGTCTTCTGCCACAGCAACAGGAAGAAGTTCCAAGAGAACAACCCAATTTGAATTACTTATGACTCTCAATCCAGTGCTCTTTGGGCTACTTTCCTATTCAGTGAACAGCTGTCATAATTGGGATATATTCTAGCTTTCCTTGAGTTAAGTCAATTAGTAAAGTATAGACCTTGGAATAAATCTAGCATGTTGTCTATTATAAAGAAAGTAATATTTGTAAAACAACCATTTTGATGTTACTTATTCTCTAGTTCCATTAAGTTCCTTATCTTAGTTAAAAGGACTCACATAATATACTAAGGTTCGGGCCCAGCACAGTGGCCTCAAAGTGACATTCGTGCCATGGGATGTGGTACCCTAAGTGGTAACTTAACAACACCCATGCCATATCAACTCTTCTTAATTCTATTAACATTTAAATACTAACTTGCCTCAATATTGTTGTATAACCAAAACTTCCTTTTATTTGCTTTAAAGTAATTTCTATTAAGCTCAACACAAGCTTTTTCCCTTGGTATATTTTTTTTAAGGTTCTGTAAAAACGCCCAGCTTCATTTTATTCAATAACTTTCTTTAACTATATCAGACTATACTGAAAGATGTCACCTCATCACTTGACCTTTCAAAATTTTACTGTCCAGGACTCATCAGTGCCAGTACGCCATCCTGGTACTTCCCATCCAGCCCCCTCCTTATGCCCTGTGAAACCAGCAGAGAACGGCTCAAGCCCTTTTCCCAACACCCACATGGGAGAACCAGAAGAAGCTCCTGGCTTCATATCAGCACGGTTCTGGCCAGTGTGGGCATTTGGGGAGTGAACCAGCAGATGGAAGCAGATGGAAGATCTTTCTGTCGAACTGCCAGGTCAAGGGGTGGCAGGTGTTGTGGTACAGCCAATTAAGCTCCCATTTGTGGTGCCAGCATCCAATATTGGGCAGAGGTTCAAGCCCCAGCTGTTGTACTTCTTAAAAAAAAAAAAAAAGATTTATTTATTTTATTGGAAAGTTATATATAGAAAGAGGAGAGACACAAAGGAAGATCTTCACCTACTGACTCAATCCCCAAGTGGCTACAACAGCTGGACCTGAGCCAATCTGAAGTTAGGAGCCCAGAGCTTCCTCCAGGTCTCCACATGAGTGCAGGGTCCCAAGGCTTTGGGCCGTTCTCGACTGCTTTCCCAGGCCACAAGCAGGGAGCTGAATGGGAAGCAGGGCCACCAAGATAAGAACCAGCGCCCATATGGGATCCAAATGTGTACAAGGCAAAGACTTTAGCCATTAGGCTATCACACCGAGCCCAGCTGTTCCACTTCTGATTAAGCTCACTGCTAGTGTGCCTGGGAAAACTAAGAATAGCCCAAGTGCTTGAGTCCCTGAACCAATGTCAGAGACATCAACAATAAGCTCCTGGGGCTGGGTAAGGCGCCAGGATCCCATATTGACACTGGTTCTAACTCCAGCAGCTCCACTTCCCATCCAGCTTCCTGCTTGTGGCCTGGCAAAACAGTCAAGGATGACCCAAAAACTTGGGACCCTGCACCTGTGTGGGAGACCTGTAGGATCCTGGATCCTGGCTTTGGATCGGCGCAGCACCAGCCAATGCGCTCACTTGGGGAGTGAATCATCAGACAGAAGATCTTCCTCTCTGTCTCTCCTCCTCTCTGTAAATCTGCCTTTCCAATAAAAATAAACAAATCTTTAAAAAAAAAAAAAAAAAGAATAAGCTCCTGGCTCCTGATTTCAGCTTAACCCAGCCCCAGCAATTGCAGCCATTTGGGGAGTGAATCACAGTTGAAGAACTCTATCTCTTCCTCCCTTTCTTTGTAACTCTACCTTTCAGACAAATAGATCTTTAAAAAGAAAAAGTAGTACAAGGTTCAAGTGCTTGATACAGCAGCTTAAGTCACTATATATGCCCATATTCCATAATAGAGTATCTCATTCAAGAGGCAGGTATAGGCATCTGTGGAGTGAAATAGTGGATATGTTTCACTCTGTAACTCTTTCAATAAATCTTTACCAAAAAAATAAAAAAAAAAAAGAAGAAGAAGAAGGAGGAGGAGGAGGAACGAGAGGGCCAGGTGGAACAAGGAGGTAAGATACAGACTTCAAAAGTTAGCTGGGAGTTCATCTTCCAAAATTTACCTGCTGGCTTTATTAGATGTTAACAGCAGACTCTATCCTACTAATGGTATTTTACAAATTAACAATGTTTTTTCCTTTTTAATAGCTCCCCAATGAAGAATGGACATTTTATAAAATAAGCACTATTTAGTATTAAAGAATATTGTCAGTATATCTTAATTTTGCTATGGGAATATGCCAATAGATAATGACAGATACAAACAGAAAGTAGTTTGTAGCGCAATCTACCTAACAATTCATACAGGCAGAGCAGGCACCATAACGCAGTAGCTAGGCCTCCACCTGCAGCCCCAGCATCCTATATGGATGCCAGTTCCAGTCCTGTCTGCTCTGCTTCCAATCCCAGTTCCCTGCTCTGGCCTGGGAAAACAGTGCAGGATGGTTCAAATCCTTGGGTCTCTGCACCGATGTTGGAGACTCAGAAGAAGTTCCTGGTTTCTGGCTTCAGATCAGCTCAACTCCACACACTGTGGCCATCTGCGGAGTGAATCAGCACACAGAGCCCCTCTCTGTGTCCTTCCTTCCTCTGTAACTTAATGCAACTTAACAAAAATTAAACTTTTAAAAAAATATTAAGTAAACTAAGAAAATTTCATACAAACAAGCAAAAGAAAGGAAAAATAAAATTTTGCTAATCTGTGTCCTGTAGAAACATGATTCTTTGCTTGTACCTTTGTCCTTCTTAAAATCCAAAGCATCTTGTTTGTCTGTGACGATTTCCTTCATGTTAACAACACTTCGATGGATTAACTGACGAAGGATTTTGATCTCACGGATAGCTGTGATTGGGAAGCCCTCTTTCTCATTGTCTAGTCTCACCTTCTTCAGAGCTACCAGTTCTCCTGCCAAAAAAAAGTCAAAGTGTTATCCTTGTCAATTTGCATTTTTTGGTCACCATTATCAACCAACAATACATTTCTTGCACTGAAAGAGTTTTAGTGCATCCTTTTACAACTTTCAAAACACTTACTATATTCTCTTTTTCTCTTTGATTTCTTTTGAAGTCCTAGTTTTTTTTTTTCTTTATATGACACCATTCCATAGGCTCTAGGTTTTCTTTCCCCGTCCCTCTCGTTTTTAAAAAATTGTTATATTTGAAAGACAGAACATTAGAAAGTAAAGAAGAGAGAAAACACATCTATGTGCTGGTAATGATGTACCAGCCATGACTGGGCCAGGGCTGAAACCACGAGCACTGCTGTCTCAGGCGAGTGTCAGGCAACTTCTGCTGTTGGCTAACATGCATTAGCAGGGAAATGGATAAAAAGCAGAGCATCCAGGACTCAATAATGGCTGTCAGTATCATAAGCACCAGTGTTAAATCCCCTGTACCACAACATCAGCTCCACCAGAGTTTATTTTTAATTCAATATAGCCAATTCTAAAAGTTTTGTATTATTTGGGCCAGGGTTATAGTATATTAGGCTAAGCCTGTGTCTATGGTGCTGGAACCCCATGTGGGCACCAGTTCTAGACCTGAATGCTCCACTCTTCATTCAGCTCCCTGGATGCCTGGCTCCTACATTTAAAACAGCTCAGCTCTAGTTGCTATGGCCATTTAGGGAGTGAGTGAGTCAGCGGACAGAAGACCTCTCTCTCTGTTTCCTTCTTTCCATAAATCTGCCTTTCCCATAAAAGTAAGTAAATCTCTTTCTCTTTAAAAAAAAAAAAAAAAAAAAAAAGTACCACTTTGTCTATCCACATCCCATACGGGAGCACACATGGTTGAGTCAGTTTTACTGCCGATTCTAGCTTCTTCCTAATGCATACCCCAGAAGGAGATGACTGACATCCATGTGGGAGACCTCAGTTAAGTTCATGACTCTTGGCATTGGCCTATCTGAGTCCTAGTTATTGCATTTGGGGAGTGAACTGGTACAAATGAGACCACTTTCCGCCTGTCTCTAAAAATAGATAAGAAAAAATTTTGAGCCCAGCATGATGGCTCAATTGGGAATTACTCCTCTTTCAAGCATGGGTATCCTAAATGGGTACTGGTTCATGTCCTAGCTACTCCAGACCCATTCAGCTCCCTGCTTGTGGCCTGAAAAAAGCAGGATGACCTAAAGCCTTAGGACCCTTTACCTATGTGCCAGACCCGAAAGATCTCATTCCAAACTTCCAATCATCTCAGTTCTGGTCTTTATGGCCATTTGGGGAGGAAACCAGCAGATGGAAGATTCTCTCTCTCCTTCTCTGTAAATATGCCTTTCCAATAAATATAAACAAATCATTATTTTAAAAAGTACAAATTTTAAAACTGCATAAGAAATTTGAGTATTCCATTGTATCTTTAAGTATGCTACTTTAACAACTGAATTTTAAAAATCAGTAAACTATGCAATGTTTTGAAAAGTTTGTTACTTTTTCTTTTTTAAAGAATTATTTATTGAACTATGGTTATGCAGCAAGGTGGAGGAATCCACCATGGGGGGAGGGGTATGGGAGGGGTGGGGGGAATCCCCCGCGCCTATAAAACTGTACTACATAATACAATGTAAGCAACAATAAAAAAAAAAAAAAAAAAAAAAGAATTATTTAGTTATTTCCTTAAATAGCAGAGCAATGCTAGTACACTCATCAAATAGCTATCACAGTTGGGTTGTGTCAAGACAAATTAGGGAGCCTTGAATTCTATCATGGGCCTCCCATGTGAATAGCAGGAGGCCACGTTTTTAGGCTACTATCCAATGCTCTCCCGGCATATCAGCAGGTAGCTGAACTAGAAGTGGAATGGTCAGAACTAAAACTGACACTCTGGTTTGGGGTACCAGTGTCTCAAGCAGATTAACCCACTGTGCCATAATGCCTATCACAAAGGGAGGGTTTCAAAAGAGCAATGAGGTGGTTGGTACTATGGCACAAATGTTAGGATGCTCCTTGCAATAAGCAACAGTTCAAGTTCAGGCCATCCCAGTTCTGATGCAACTGCCTACTGATGTACCAGGGAAGCAAAGCAGCAGAGGGCTTGAGTGCTTGAATTCCTACCTTCTATGTGAAAGATGTGGATGGAGTCTTCAAAATTTACAAGTTCCACATTCGTGCATTATTTAGTTAACTATGGTTGCAAAATATTTGGAAGAAAAAAACTGCCTATACTTACAATGTATAGACTTTCTCTTATTATCCCTAAAACAAGGTGGTATAACAGGTATTAACACAGCAGTTACAATTTTTTAAACACTAATAAGGATATTGTAAGTTATATATAAATATTACGTCATTTAACCTAAAAAACTTAAAATATTTGTAGATTCTGTCATGGAAAAAGGGTGTCCTGGAACCAATAACCTGGAGATAACGAGGAGTTCTATAGCTAATTCTCTGTAGAGTACACTATTCCTCAGGTATATCTTAGCCTAGTAATCTTGGAAGACCACTTCAGAAATCAAAATTTACTTGGTCTTATTAGCATAAAAAAATTAGCATTGCTAAATTGTCAACCTTCTAATACTTAAAGTTTTGTGGCTTTATTTACCTGTATCTTTATCCTTGGCTTTATATACTTGGCCATAGGTTCCCTCTCCAATAATTCCAATGATATCAAACTTGTCCACACAGCGCTTCCCCCAGTCGCTTTCTGTTTGCCTTCTCTCTCCATATCGAGGACAACAAATTCTAAAATAAAAACAGCAAAAATGTTATCCTTATGATTTCAATATCTCCCATATTTTCTGTGAATTTTTTTTACTAGTAACAACAAAATTAATGAAATAGTTTCAAGTCTCTCATAGTGGCTACAACTTCCAGATTCAGAAAAACATATAAGCAAATGATTTGTTGCTTATATTCTGACCTCTCCTATTGCCTTAAATTATGAAATGGAGGAGAAAATCCATACAATAGGGCAATTATGAAAATAATCATAAGCATTGGTAATTATATATACATTTTCATAATTTTTTTCAAAAATAACAATATTATCAAGAGAGAAGCATCAACAATCAGAACAGTAGCTACACTTCATAAAATTATGCAACAATTTGTATGCTTTAAAAAAAATTTTTTTTCAGGCTTGTGTGGTGGCCTAGTGAGTAAAGTTCTCATCTTGCATACATCAGGATTCCATATTGGTGCCAGTTTGTATCCTGGCTACTTCACTTCCCTTTCAACTCCATGCCTTTGGCCTGAGAAAGCAGTCGAGGACAGCCCAAAGGTTTGAAACCCTGCATCTGCATGGGAGACCCAGAAGATGCTCCAGGCTTCTGGCTGCAAACTGGCTTAGCTCAGGCCATTGTGGTTACTCGCGAAGAGAATCAGCAGACGGGAGATTTTTTTTTTTTTTTAAGATTTATTTTTATTGGAAAGGCAGATATACAGAGAAAAGAAGAGACAAAGAGGAAGATGCTTAGTTCGATGGTTCACTCCCCAAGCAGCCACAACAGCCGGACCTGAGCCAATCCGAAGCCAGGAGCCAGGAGCCTCCAACAGGTCTCCCACACAAGTACAGGATCCCAAAGCTTTGGGCCGTCTTTTGACTGCTTTCCCAGGCCACAAGCAGGAAGCTGGATGGAAAGCAGGGTCGCCAGGATTAGAATTGGCACCGATACGGGATCCTGCCATGTTCACTGAGAGGACTTTAACTGCTACACTCTCATGCCAGGACCAGAAGATCTTTCTCTTTGTGTCTGCTTCTCTCTGTAAATCTTACTTTCCAATAAAAATCAATACATATTAAAAAAGTTTATAGAGACTTTCCACATTTGGGGCTGGCATTGTGGCACAGCAAGTGAAGCCATTTCGGTACCAGCATTTCATAGGGGCTGAGATTCAAGTTCTGTTTGCTCCATTTCCAAATGGCTTCCTCCTAACACACCTAGGAAACAGCAGAATGTACCCGATGTTGGGATCCATTGAACCCATATTGGAAATCCAGATGCAGCTTCTGCCTTCAGCCTGGATCAGCCCAGGTTATTGCAGTCATATGGAGAGCAAACTAGTGGATGAAAGATCCCTGCCTCTCCCTCTTGCTCTGTAACTTTTTTTCTAATGATGAATACATAAATCTTTCTTAAAAGTTATCACATCATTTTTCATTAATACACACACACACGGAAAAACAAAGTTTTTCCTTCTTTGCTATTCTAAGCAGTAGAAATACAAAAGACATGCAGAAGAAGACAGTCTCCACCATACATGAGTATATGACCACCTACTGCTTTTCTAGAAGCACAGCTTGGTATCTGCAAGTCAGATGAACCGGCCTCCTAGAGAGGCTTTTATTCATGAAAATAAAAAATACACTTTAGGCCAAACTTTTGTGATCTTACTCGTGTGGGTTGTGTAAAATACATGTGAGATTTAGCCCCAAAAGCAAGCAAAGGGCAATTAAGCATAGATCCAAACAAACACTCACTTTGGTCTCTTTTTATATGGTTGCTGAGGTGGTGTGATAGCCTTTGGTTCTGGAGAGTCAGGCGGAGAAGGATCCCCACCAGGGAGTTCAGGAGGGAGAGGGAGGTCTGTGAGTAAGTGTCGGGGTCTCTGTTCCTTCTCTCTCTTGACAGGTTTTGAAGGGAGAGTTTCTTTTGGACTAAACAACAGAGGAAGAGAAAAACAAAGCCAATAATTATTTAAAGGACATGGAGATAAAAATAGTACAAACAACATTTTTAAGGGAAAAAACAAACCTGTAAACTGGTATAAGAAAATGGAGTTTATCACAGCTACAGATATATAAATTGGCAAGAAGAATTCCAGAGCATATTAAAGAAACAATGAAAATTAAGGTATTTTAGATTTTTTTTTTTTAATCAAACTCTGGCCTTCGCAGGACTGTACTGAGATTTTTAACATGAAGTAACGTGCAGGAAATAAGCTATTTATTTCAGAAAATAACACTCCAATTCATGTAGTTCACCAATTCTACTGCACATTTTTTTCTTTTTTTTCTTTCTACTGTACTTTAAAAAAAATTTTTTTTTTAATTTTATTGGAGCATCAGATTTATAGAGGAGACACGGAGACAAAGATGCTCCATCCATGGATTCGATTCATGCCCTAAATGGCCGCAATGGCTGAAGCTGAGCCCATCTGAAACCAGGACCCCAGAACCTTCTCCAAATTTCCAATGTGGTCGCAGGGTCCCAAGGCTTTGAGCCATTGTCAACTGCTTTGCCATAGGGAGCTGGATGGCAAGCCGAAAAGCCAGGATATGAACTGCTGCTCAACATGGGATTTCGGTGCATGCAAGTTGAGGATTTAACCCACTAGGAGACTGTGCCAGGCCCTCTAATGTACATTTTTTATTTTTAAAGTTTTATTTATTATTATTATTATATTAATTTGAAAGTCAGATATAGAGAGAGGAAAAAAAAAGAGAGGAAGATCTTCATCCACCGATTCAATCCCCAAGTGGCTGAGCCTATCTGAAGTCAAGCCGAAGCCAGCTCTTCCAGGTCTCCCACACAGGAGCAGGGTCACAAGGCTTTGGGCTGTCCTGGACTGCTTTCCCAAGCCACAAGCAGAGTACTGGATGGGAAACAGGGCCACCAAGATAAGAACCAGTGCCCATATGGGAACCCAGTGCATGCAAGGTGAGGACTTTAGGCACTAGGCTATTGTGTCAGGTCCTTAACTGTACATTGTAATGAACAAAGACTGCAGTAATAAGAGTATCAGTAATACTAACTGAGCAATTTAACACATTACCAAATACGTGAAAAAAAAATTTAGAGAGGGCATTGCTAAAAATACATATAAGCATAAAAACAAAATTAATGAGAAATTTACTGAACTATATTTGCTCACCTTTCAAATGAAAATAAATCCTTTAAATTGCTTCACTGAAAAACAAAAACTTCTTCAACCACAGGAGAAATTTACATAGGAGATAAAAAAGACACCACCTCTTGTACAAATTGGAAAAGGCAATTTATAGATTCAACTTTCTTAATCATCTCCATTTATGTGTAAAAAGTGAATTTTGTGCCATGAACATTCACAGACTAGACACTCACAGTGCAGTACACTAATTCACAACTATAAACAAAACCATATAGATGGTCTTTTAAATTTTATTTATTTCATTTTATTGGAAATATTTAAAAAAAAAGAGAGAGACACAGAGATTGATCTCCCAATCACTGGCTTCTCAAAAGTCCAAAATAGCTTAGGCAGGGACAAGTCAAAGCCAGTGTGAAGAATTTTATATAATTTTTTTTTTAAATTTAAGTTTATGTATGTGTGTGTGTGTGTGTATTTTTGTTGTTGGTGGTGGTAGTGTTGTTTTGTTTGGGGTGGCTGGGACCTAAGTCCTCAAGCTGCTTCCCAGGATAGTATTAGCAAGGAGGAAGCTGGTAAAGATGAACACACAATATAATCTACACTCAGATTTTTCTACTCTCAAAACAAAACTTACCACTTACTTTGTTAAGAATTAAAACAGGGTGTAATACAGATTGCAAGTTCCTCCAATTTTTAAGATATTCTGAGGCCAGCATGGTGATGCAATGTCTTTTTTAAAGATTTCTTTACTTGAAACAAGAGAGAGTGAGAAACACAGAGACTTTGTACTTGCTAGCTCACTCTCTAAATGGCACCAATGCCCAGGAGCCTCATTCAGGGCCTCCATGGCCCAAGGATCTGGGCAACCATCTGCTTTTCTCAGCCACATTAGTAGGGTGCTGGATTGGAAGTGGAGCAGCCAGGATTCAAACAGTGTCCATATGGCACTGCAGGTCGCAGCTTTGCTCTTTATACTACAGACCAGCCCCAAGGTGTAGCTAATAATCCCCTACTTGCAACACAGCTTATAATGATTGGATGCCGGTTTCTGTCCAGCTGCTCAGACTTTAACCTAACTTTCTGCTAGTGTGTCTGGGAAAGCAGCAGATACAAAGTGAAGAATTTAGGTCACTGTCACCGATGTGAGAGGCCCAGATGCATTTCCCAGCTCCTGTTCTGCTCTGGCAGTGCATGTATTTGGGCAGTGAACCAGCAGATGAAAGCTGTCACTTTGCCTTTTGAATAAATTAACAACTAAATTTTTAAAAAGACATTCAAGGAAGGAAAACTCCTAAAAACACAACTCAAAATATTCTTGATAAATCTCAATACCACACGATTTGGAAATTGATTTCTTCTTAGTCTGTCTCATTTAGAGAAAACTGGAAATACCTGAATTATTTCACTACTGTTCTGATTTTTGTTTTCTCCAGGCTTTATTTTAAAAGTTCACAGTTTATTATGAAAAATGTGCATTTCATTTGAACAACCGCATTTTTATCTTGCTTATCTCAGAAAGAATGCACAGTAAGATAGGTGTCACAAGTGGAGAGCATACAATCTAAACAGGGGCTAAATATTGTTTCAACAGATTCCAATATACTGAAAACCTTAAAAACTTCACAATGGACTAGTGCAAAACACTGAGTTCACATGATGGACAGAGTGTCTAATCTAGGGAAGCAGACACTGTACGCCAGCACCATTAAGATTCCACAGCAGGGCCTGCTGATGGGTCTGCTCAGTATCAGAAGTTTCTGGTTCCCCATTTTCACCTGTACACAGTTTACCTGTGGAGATCAGTTTGCAAAACGCTTCTATCCAAAACCAAAAAACTAAAGTGGCCAGGTCCCAAGACTATTCGCATTTTAGAATCTGGGTAACATCTTGGAATTTACAATGATAGGTTTCAATCTATAGGTACGACACAAATGCTTCTGGTAAGAAAGAATATCAACTTTAAATTAGTTATGAATATTTTTAAGTTTTAAAATTTTAAAGAGCATCAACTAATTGAATTACAATAATGTATTCCTTGAGGCACATTCTTTCACTGGGGATTGGTATTGTGGCAGAGTAGGTTGATCACAACAGCAGGTTTGGGTCTCACTCTACTGTCACTCCAGCTCCCTGCTAATACAACTGGGAAGACAAACATGGCCTGTCACCAGGTGGGAGATCATCCTGACAAAATGTAGTTGCTAGCTTCTGGTTTCCTCCTGGCTCAGATCTGGCTGCTGTGGCTACATGGGAGTCAACCAGTGACCAGATTTCTCTCCCTCCTCTATAACTTTGCCCTTCAAATAAACTACTAAATAAGTTATTTAAAATAGTAGTGGTATAGTAGGCTAAATTGAAGCCCACCAAGACAACATCCCATATGGGCGCCAACTGGGGGACTGTGCCGCAGCATAGTGGGTCTTGCCTCTGCCTTCCACCCAATTTTCTGTTAATTTGCCTGGGAAATAGCACATAATGTCTCAAATCCTTGAGTTCCTGCCATCCATGTGGGAGCCTCACATGGAATTCCTGGCCTGGGCAATGGCTTGGCTCAGCCATGCCTGTTTGCAGGTATTTGTGGGAATGAACGAGTATGAGAGAGATAAATCTTGTGTCCTCTGTCACTGTTTTTCAAATACATTATAAGGAAAATTATACATATATATAAAGTTGATGTCAATTTCTCAATCATGGCTTAACCTACTACGTACACAAACAGCTTTCCGCTTCGGCCAGGATCCACTCCTGACTGTTGTACATTTTTTAAAAGACTTATTTATTTTAAAAATATTTACTTATTTTTATTTCAAAGTCAAATATAGAGAGGAGGAGAGACAGATATATCTTCCATTCAATAGTTCACTCCCCAAGTGACCACAATGGCTGGTGCTGCTCCAATCTGAAGCCAGAAGCCAAGAGCTCTTCTGGGTCTCCCACATGGGTGCAGAGTCCCAAGGCTTTGGGCCATCCTGTTATACATTCCAATGATAAAAGTTGGTACATTATATAGTAGAAACAACATGTTAACTTTAAATCTTAAATTTTGAAAATTTTTTCACTTTTAATAACTTTCTTATATGTGGAAACAATCAACAACAAATAATTATACACTTTTGATAATAATGATGGGATTGATATTGAGAGGCAGCTAGTTGAGTGGCTGTTGGAGGGACCAGCATGGTGGCCTAGCAGCTAAAATCCTCGCCTTGAACGTGCCGGGATCCAATATGGGCACCAGTTCTAACCCTGGCAGCTCCACTTCCCATCCAGCTCCCTACTTGTGGCCTGGGAAAGCAGTCAAGCACAGCCCAAAGCCGTGGGACCCTGCACCCATGTGGGAGACCTGGAGGAAGTTCCTGGCTCCTCGCTCCGAACTAGCGCAGCACCAGCCGTTGCGCTCACTTGGGGAGTGAATCATCGGATGGAAGATCTTCCTCTCTGTCTCTCCTCCTCTCTGTATATCTGACTTTGTAAAAAAAAAAAAAAAAAAAGGTGGTGTTGGAGATGCCCACATACTGTATCGGAAGGCCTGGGATCAAGCCCCACCTGGCTTCACATCCAGGTTCTTAATACAGCTGAAAGCAGAAAGCGGCCAGGCTACTTGGGTTCCCACCACCCTCAATGAAACCTGGATGGAATTGTAGGCTTCTTTGTTTTGGCCCAGCCCTGATTATTGTGGCCATTTCACTAATGAACCAGTGGTGAACCAGCTGTTACCTCTATCCCTGTCACTCTTTCAAAAAACTAATCAAAATAAAAGTAGCTGGCATGAACTAATTCTCTGTCTGATCCCATGAGCATCCCATACGGGTGATGGTTCACATCCTGGCTGCTTCATTTCCCATCTAGCTCTCTTCTTACAGCTTGGGAAAGCAGCAGAGAATGTGCCAAGGCCATGGAATCCTTCTTCCACGTGGGAAGCATAGAAGAGCTCCTGCCTCTTGACTGGCTCAGCTCCAGCCACTGAGGCCACGGGGGAGTTAACAAGTGGACTGATCCTTTCTTTTCTGTAAATCTACCTTTCAAATAAAAATAAGCAAATCTTAAATAAATAAATAAATAAATAAATGAATAACGATTACACTGAACTAAGAAATCAAAAGTGATAAAACAGTTTTGCTCATCTAATTCTGTCTTTACCAGACAGCCACAAAGCAAGTAAACATTAAGTGGTTTTACTTCCTCTCTAATTGGAACGGTAGAAATCCCTTACTGCCTCACAACAGTCATCCGACCTCTGCAAATCCACACTCTCTCTGGACACATACAAGTTCAGTAGTGACAGGTAAACTGGGTCAGCCAAGAAAACAGGATTCTCCCTTCTGCTGCTGACTTATTTACCAAATTGCTGCAAATTAGGCCAGGTCAAAGCCAGGAGTTGGGAACGCTTATCAGAATCTCCCATGGGAATTACAGGGGCCCAAGTACCTGGGTTATCTTCTGTTGCTTTGCCAGCCACATCAGCAGGGAATTGGATTGAAAGTAAAACAGTGGGGACACAAACTAGCCTCCAAATAGGATGCCAGCGCTGCAGGTTGTAACCTTACCAGCCTAGCCACGACATTAGCACTCCTCCCCAGAAAAGTCAAGATTCTTACAGCCACAAGGATATTCTAGCTATTATATGAACTAATACATTTTTAAAAGATTTTATTTATTTTTATTGGAAAGTCATATATACAGAGAAGAGGAGAGATAGGAAGATCTTCCATCTGCTGATTCACTCCCCAAGCAGCCTCAATGGCAGGAGCTGAGCAAATCTGAAGCCAGGAGCCCAGAAAATTCTCCGGGTCTCCCATGAGGGTACAAGGTCCCAAGAGTTTGGGTCATCTTCAACTGCTTTCCCAGGCCACAAGCAGGGAGTTGAATGGGAAGCTTGGCTGCTGGGATTAAAATCAGCACCCATACAGGATCCTGGGGTATTCGAGGTGAGGACTTTAGTAACTAGGCTACAGCACCAGGATTAATAAATGAAACTGAAAAGTCTCTTTGGGTTAGGATCCTTTTGGACAAAGCTTAACTACTGTCTTTTTGAACAAAATCTATGAGTTTACTGTGTGATTACAGCAAATTTTTCTAATAGAAGGTTCTAATCTTCTGTTTGGGATTTCTTACCATGTGGAACCATTTGTAAAGAGTCTTCTTTTTGGGGGGGGTTCTGGTGCTATAGCATAGTGGTTAAAGTCCTTGCCTTGCACGCGCCAGGATCCCATATGGGCGCCGGTTCTAAACCCCAGTGGCCCCGCTTCCCATCCAGCTCCCTGCCTGTGGCCTGGGAAAGCAGTCGAGGACGGCCCAACACCTTGTGACCCTGAACCCATTTGAGAGACCTGGAGGAAGAGCTCCTGGCCCCTGGCTTCAGATGGGCTCAGCACCAGCCATTGCGGTCATTCTGGGGAGTGAACCATCAGATGGAGGATCTTCCTCTCTGTCTCTCCTCTTCTCTGTATATCAGCCTTTCCAATAAAAACAAATCTTTAAAAAAAAAAAGTCTTCTTTTTTCATTCCATTTACTGAATTTACCTGCTTCTCAAACGGCAGTGAAAGGTCTGACAAAAATTTAGGCCTCAAGGGATGAAATAAATCATTCTAATCACTAATATCATTGAGACAATAACACAGGTATGGAAATTAGTCTCAGATGCAAGATCAGTGACACATAACTTACAATTCAATTTGTTATAATAAATGCAGATTATTTACTAAATAAGCAGGATCTCAGTGGAGGTTGGGAGTAATAGGGACTGCCATGGTCTATGTAATTGCTAAAGCAGGTTCGCTTGGTTATACTTGCCTAACGATCCTCTGACTACATGTATTTTTCCAAATGTTTTTTACAATGTCAGATTCATGTTTCATACTCATTTCAGTTCTCATTATTTAAAAGACTTCCTTGAACTAAATCATGTGGCTTGCATGTAAAGCCTCTGCCAGAAACACCATAAAGGTGCTGGTTTGTGCCCAGGCTGCTCTCATTCAGGGCCAGCTCACTGCTGATGGCTTGGGAAAAGCAGAGGGATACAGAACAAGTGCTAGGACCCCCGTTATATCCAATTGAAGACCTGGAAGAAGCTCCTGGATCCCGGTTTCAGCATGGCCCAGCCCTGGGAAATGTAACTGTATATCCCTCCTTTTCTGTAACTCTGACAATCAAATAAATAAAGATATCTTTAAAAATAAATTAATTTGGGCCCAGCGTGATGGCGCAGTGGTTAAGGTCCTCACCTTGCATGCCCGGGATCCAATATGGGTGCCGGTTCTAATCCCGGCAGCCCTGCTTCCCATCCAGCTCCCTGCCTGTGGCCCGGGAAAGCAGTTGAGGACGGCCCAAAGCTTTGGGACCCTACAACCGCGTGGGAGACCTGGAAGAGGCTCCTGGCTTTGGATTGGCTCAGCTCTAGCCGTTGCAGCCGCCTGGGGAGTGAAATATTGGACGGAAGATCTTCCTCTCTGTCTCTCCTTTCTGCATATCCACCTTTCCAATAAAAATAAAATAAATCTTTTAAAAAAAATTAATTCAGGTCTGGCACAGCAGCCTAGTTAGTGACGTAAGTCCTCGCCTTGCACGCCTGCCAGGATCCCACGTGGACACCAGTTTGTGTACCTGTGCCCCGCTTCCCATCCAGCTCCCTGGTTGTGGCCTGGGAAAGCAGTCGAGGACAGTCCAAAGCCTTGGGACCCTGCACCCGTGTGCGAGAGCCAAAGAAAGCTCGCTGCACCTGGCTTCGGACTAATGTAACACTGGCTATTGTAGCCGCTTGGGGAGTGAATCAATGGACGGAAGATCTTCCTTTGTCTCTCCTCCGCTCTTTTCCAATAAAAATAAAACAACTTTTTAAAATGAATTAATTTAAGCCCTTCCCATCACTCCACTGGGAATTATATTAGAAGTAGTAAACATTCTACACACTTCCTTTTGCTTCATGCAGCATAAATAAATTTTTAAAAACAGTATCCCTGCTCAAAATAATCTTGCTTAGACACTAGATCAAGAAGCAAAAAATAAATTAAAAAAACAAACAGGGCCCAGCGCGGTGGCACAGTGGTTAAGGTCCTCGCCTTGCACGCCCGGGATCCCATATGGGCGCCGGTTCTAATCCCGGCAGCCCCGCTTCCCTTCCAGCTCCCTGCCTGTGGCCTGGGAAAGCAGTCGAGGACGGCCCAAAGCTTTGGGACCCTGCACCCGTGTGGGAGACCCGGAAGAGGCTCCTGGCTTCGGATCAGCATAGCATCAAGTGCGCTCACTTGAGGAGTGAATCATCGGACGGAAGATCTTCCTCTCCGTCTCTCCTCTTTGTACATCCGCCTTGCCAATAAAAAAATAATAAAAATAAATCTTAAAAAAAAAAAAAACAGGTGTAAAAGGTATTTTGGGGGCCCAGCACAGTGCTTCAATGCCTCGCTGCCTAACCCTTTGCCTCGCAAGCACTGGTAGCCCATTTGGGAACCAGTACATATTCCAACTGCTCCACTTCCCATCCAGCTCCCTGCTTGTATCCTGGGAGAGCAGTTGAGGACGGCCCAAAGCCTTGGAACCCTGCACCCACATGGGAGACCCAGAAGAAGCTCCTGGCTCTGGCTTTAGATGAGCTGAGCTCGTCATTTGTGGCCACTTGGAGAGTGAACCAGAGGATGGAAACTCTTTCCATGTCTCCTTCTCTCTGTAAATCTGATTTTCCAATAAAAATTAATAAATCTCAGGCCCGGCGTGATTGCCTAGCAGCTAAACTCCTCGCCTTGAATGCCCCAGGATCCCATATGGGCACCAGTTCTAGTCCCGGTGGCCCTGCTTACCATCCATCTCCCTGCCTGTGGCCTGAAAAAGCAGTCGAGGATGGCCTGGGGCCTTGGGACCCTATCCCCCTCCCCGCATGGGAGACCCCAAGGAGGCTCCTGGTTCCTGGCTTTGGATTGGCTCAGCTCTGGCTTTTGTGGCCCCTTGGGGAATGAATCATCAGACAGTAGATCTTCCTGTCTCTCCTCCTCTATATCTGTCTTTACAATAAAAATACATGAATTTTTAAAATAAATAAATAAATCTCAAAATATATAAATAAAGAAGTAACAACTGATAGTTCAAGTCCTTGGGTCCCTGCCACCCACATGGAAGACACAGGCCGAGTTCCAAGAACCTGCCTTTGGCTGACACAGCCCTGGCTGTAATGGGCATCTGTGTAGTGAGCCAGAAGAAGGGGAAAACTCTGTTGCCATGTGTTCAAAATATACTTGGAGAAAATAGGTTCACTACTTCACAATCTGTAATTCTCTTCTCCTCTACAGACTTTTCCAGTGAAAAACAAACATTAAAGGTACTTCCTAACTATGACAACATTCTGAATAGCCAAGTAGTAGAGTAATGCTAACAGAGTATAAAAACAGAAAATGCATTACACTTAGAGCAAGGTTACTATGGTACTTACCTATCCAAGTCATCCTCTCCAGGTAGTAAGGGTGGGAGAGGCAGAGGAGGCAACGTCGAAGTTTTCAGGTGTGGAATAGCAGCTGTTACAGATACTTGTGTCTTCACAGAAACCTGTACAGGAGGCTGAGAATTTGCCTGAGAGGACAGGGCAGATGTCCGTGGGTGAGAAGTGCTGGAAGCCGAAGCCTGACTGGCTGCTGGCTGGGGAGGTGGCAGAGGTGGTTGCGGTGGAATAGCTGGTAGTGGAGGCAAAGGTGGCAAAGGGGGTGTCCTAGGTGGAGGGGTAGTAGTTGGCAAGGGGGGTGGAGAGGTAACTGTGGGAAGAGGTGGAGGGGTCTCCTTTTCTGATGTCTCTGTCTCCTTCGCAGTAACATTCTCTTCTTTAGGAGCTATGGGTTTAGAGTCTCTTGTTCCCTGTGCTTTCAAATCTTTAAGAACAGGATGCTTCTCAGAGTTTTCATCCACCTTTACCTTCCCTGTATCTAACGAATTCTTGACTTCTGCATTCAGCTGTGTTACATTCACCAGTTCTGTATCTGCAGATTTTTCCAATTTTATACCCTTGGATAACTTCTTAGATTCCAAGTTTGAATCCTTAGCCTCTATTGAACTGCTGTTCTCTTTCTTCGGCAAAAATAGAGGTGAACCTTTGGATTCCTTCCCATCCAGTTTGGCTGCTGCTGCAGCAGCTGCACGTTCCTTCTTCTTCCTACTAAGTTCAGCTCCCAGACTGGAATTCAACGGAAGCCTGACAGGTGAGATACTGGAGTGACGACTGCGGGACCCCGATCTCTTCTTTTTACTGTGAGAAGATGAGTGTCTTGAATATGCAGGACTTCTACTTCTAGACTTCATGGATTTCCTAGGGGAATGGGAAAAATACATTTCTCTAAATGGATAAACAGGTTTATACAAAAAAAAAAAATAGACCAAACTGTAGAGAAGCAAAAGTTTAAATCTGAAGTTTAAAAATGAGAAAAAAAAAAGCCTATTCTGAATAGTTTATCAGTCTTAAAATAAGTACAATGAAAAACAAAGGAAATGGTGAACAGCCAAAATAAAGGAACTCCATGATGATGAAGTGGCATCATAGACAGAATTTTGGAATAAAGAATGCCACTAGGGTAAAGACTATGTATTCTGACTAAAGTATGCACTCCCAATCAGGAACTGTAACAAATGCAACACATTGCTGTGAGATGACCAACAAGGAAACCGGGAAGGGAGAATACCAGGGATGCAGGAGAATTCCTTGCACTATTTTCACAATTTTTTTGCATGTCTAGAAATTTTTTTGTATATCTTAAAAAAAAAACACCTCATCTCAAAAATAGGTAAGAAACCAAGTCCTGCATGAAAACAGTTTGAATCACGATATTAAAATATCCATTCCTTACTCTGCAGATCAATGTTTCTTTCCCAATGCTAGAGGAACGACTGCTTCTAGAGCTTTGGTTTTTAGTTTTGATAAAGCAATTTCAAAGAACTCATACCCTACAGTACAGGTAGCATTCTGAGGGGAGGGACACCATGAGTGGGTTAAGGAGCTGCCTCAGACCCCAAGCCCCGCATCTAATTTTCTTTGCCTTCGATCCAGCTTTCTGTCAACACAGCTGCAAAGCAGTAGAGAACAGACTGCCATTCCTGCCACCTATGGGAGATACCCAGAGCTCTTGGTTATGGCTTCAGCCTGGCCCCAGCCCTGCTTCTGCGAGCCTCTGGGAAGTGAACCAGCACACAGAAGCTCTCGCTGTCATCTTGCCTATCAAATAAATAAAAATGAGTATCTTTTAAAATACTACTCTTCACCAAAACCTAAATTTTTAACTAGGGAGCTATTTAATTGGCAGATCCCTTTTATCCTCTACAATAAAGTTGTGGTTATCATAAACAAACTCCCAATATACAGCAGTTAAGATTTATAAGACTAGGGCCCGGCGCGGTGGCATAGTGGTTAAAGGTCCTCGCCTTGCACGCGCCAGGATCCCATATGGGCGCCGGTTCTATCCTGGCAGCCCTGCTTCCCTTCCAGCTCCCTGCCTGTGGCCTGGGAAAGCAGTCGAGGACGGCCCAAAGCTTTGGGAACCTGCACCCGCGTGGGAGACCTGGAAGAGGCTCCTGGCTTCGGATCAGCATAGCATCGGCTGTTGCGCTCACTTGGGGAGTGAATCATCAGAAGGATGATCTTCCTCTCTGTCTCTCCTCTCTGTATATCCTCCTTTCCAATAAAAAAATAATAAAAATAAATCTTTAAAAAAAAAAAAGATTTATAAGACTAGAAAAAATATTAGAAGCATTCAAGGATATAATGGCCCTGCTTGTTTTGAAATAAAATAATTTCCAGTATGGTTTTTCAAAACTCATAAAGTAAGGCATTACCTATGGCATCTTTACGTAAACTTTCTTCTGGAATTCATTTATTTATATAACTACTTGAAAGGCACAATAATAGGGAAAGATGGGAACAGATACATACACACATCTCTTTTACCTACTGGTTTCCTTCCCTACTGGCCACAACAACCAGAGCCGGGCCAGGGTGAAACCAGCAGTCAGAACTCACCCTCTCCAGGCCTCCCCATGGGCAGAAGGGGCCTCAGCACTCAGGCCGTCACCTGCTGCCCCTGAAGCGCATCACCAGGAAGCTGGTTCCAGAGTGGGCTCTCCAGGCCTTGAACTGACACTCGGACACAGGATGCCAGCATCACAAGTGCCACCTGACCCTGCTGTGCAGTACCAGGCCCTCAATGACTAGAAAACAAAATCTGTGAATCCACAGGAAGGTTATTAAAGAACCAACTATCCTACTGCAAACTTTAATTTCTGAACACAAGCCTACTGCTAAAAGGAAATTTGATTGCTATGTACTTGTATTTTAATGATACAAACGTGGTATTTGACTTTCAGATTAACTCTTCAAGAAAAAAATGGAAGAGGGGGAAACAAATTGGTAAATACAGGCAGCAGTAAGCAGCACTGTTTACAAAACAAAGGTACTGGGCCCGGCGCAGTAGCATAGTGGCTATTCCCTCACCTTAAATGTACCTGGATCCTACATTAATCCTGGCAGCCCCACTTCCCATCCAGCTCCCTGCTTGTGGCCTGGGATAGCAGTCAAGAATGGCCCAAAGCCTTGGGACCATGCACTCCAGTTGAAGATCCAGAAGAGGCTCCTGGCTCCTGATTGGCACAGCTCCGGCTGTTGCAGCCATTTGGGGAGCGAAAGAGCAGACAAAGAACTTCTCGTCTCTCCTCCTCTCCGTATATCTGATTTCCCAATAAAAAAAAATTTTTAATCTTAAAAAAAAAAAAGGTACTCTCCCCACCTCCACAATGAATTAAGGTTCCATTCATTTGTAATGAAATTGTTATTATGAAATGCTAATTCGGTAGATGCAAATAAAGTCTATTTCTTTCTAAGCATTTCAGCCTTATAAAAATTACGGACCATATTTAGGGCCCAGTGCATTGCTTAGTAGCTGAAGTCCTTGCCTTGCACACAGCCAGATCCCTTGTGAGTGCCCTAGCTTCCCCACTTTCCTTCCAGCTCCCAGCCTGTGGCCTGAGGAAGTAGTGGAGGATGGCCCAAAGCCTCGCGACCCTGCACCTGTATTAGGGGACTCCCTCTTGCTGTCTACATATAAATGCCTCAAACTCTCCTCCCTTGTGCCTCGGTGACCCTCAGTCCTTAAAAGTCTGAGGCAGGGGGCCCCTCTGCAGTAGTCTATTGACTAAAGTCCTCACCTTGCATGCGCCAGGATCCCATATGGGCACCTGTTCTATTCCTGGCTGTATGGGCAACCTGGAAGAAGCTCCTAACTCCTGGCTTCAGACTGGCGCGGCTCTGGCTAGATCTTCCTCTCTGTCTTTCCTCCTCTCTGTATATCTGACTTTCCAAAAAAAAAAAAGCCTGATGTTGCTAATAAACCTTGGCTACTGACCATCAGTTGGGCTAGTAGCCCACATGAGTTATTACAGGCTCTGTGTGCACCAAGTCCATGTCTGCTGGACAGCAAACAATATTTACATCAAAGCTATCACATTATGTCTCCAACTCTCCATATGTATGAACAGAACTTTAAAAAGTTCACAGAACTGGATTATTTGAATGTAAAAAGCTTTTGAAATCCATTTAGTTATTTCACAGTATGCATCTTCCATGAGCTTCTTGAAAATTACTCATAATTTTGTGCTACAATATTGGGGTATATTAAGTGAACCTGAGATATGCTCTCTTTTCTAAGAAGCATATTGCCAAGCCCCACAACTGCAAAAATTCTTAAAACAGCCTCAACAGAAACACTCTCTCAAAAAGACAAATATTCTACAATACTCCTCACGTTTCCTTAAAAACTAAGGAACTTTACAAATGCTACATGTAAGATTTATGCATCTATGGACCCGGCGGTGTGGCCTAGCGGCTAAAGTCCTCGCCTTGAACACGTCAGATCCCATATGGGCACCGGTTCTAATCCCGGCTGCTCCACATCCCTTCCAGCTCCCTGCTTGTGGCCTGGGAAAGCAGTCGAGGATAGCCCAAAGCTTTGGGACCCTACACCCGTGTGGGATACCCGGAAAGAGGTTCCTGGATCCTGGCTTTGGATCAGCGCAGCACCAGCCAATGTGGTCACTTGGGGAGTGAATCATCGTACAGAAGATCTTTCTCTCTGTCTCTCCTCCTCTCTGTATATCTGACTTCCCAATAAAAATAAATAAATCTAAAAAAAAAAAAAAACTTTGTATAAAAAAAAAAAAATGTATGCATCTGAATGTAAAAATTTGAACTCTAGAAATTGGTCTATGTGCCAATGCTGTGGGGTGCAAGCAAGATCATGCCAGACTCCTCCTAAGGGTCAGTGTGAATCCTGTGAGCCAGAAAGCCAGGATCGGAGCGGCAGCCATGTTAACCATTATGGTGGCCTCCCCAGCTTACCGAGCCAGGTTCCAGAGCACAGGATGGCCACTGCCCTCTGACCAAGGATCTCTATCTCACTGGGGCCTCTCCAAAACGTTGCAGGGTGCAAGTGAGATCACACCATGTCTAAGGCATATTAAGAAGTCTGTATTAACCAAGCTTGGTGATAACAGAGCCCACTAGAAATAACAAATCACAAGTCCATCTAGCAACCCAGTCAACTGAAACCCCAAGAGGAACAAATGGTCATTATCCTGAAGTCCATCCATTAAACTGAAGACCTATGTCCCAGCTTCCTCAGTTTTCCTAAGTTATCCTAGGAGACATACAGCAAGCAACCTGGGGCACACTTACAAAGCTGCAAACATTCACCTTTCCCTGGCTTCTCTACCCACATCCCATTACTGCTAGGCCCCACCTCTGATGAACTCTTGATAGTACCCAAATTAGATAAACAAAGCATCTTAGTATTGCTATCTTTACTGTCCCACCCAAGCAATGAACAGAGGGTGAGGAATACAGACATAAAGGGGCCATGCTTCAGGGGCCACCTGTTCTGGGAGTCTGTCTGCGGGAAGCCAGAGAGCAAGCCAGTACTGGGGAGGCCACGAGTAGCAGTGGTAGAGCTATGGAAGCACAAGACCAAAACAGCAAACCCCTCTCTATCATGGGCCTTTATAGGGGCTTGTGAGAGGAATGTCAATATCGTCCCCTCTCAAATTTCAGGTGATGACAGGTGAGAATCACAGGTGGGCTGGAGGGAACACCTGGGGGTGGGGGGGCGACTGGCTTCCAAGCAAGCTGGTGACCCTGAACTAGCTGCCTACCCCACCGAAAGGGTTCAGACAGAAAAGTTCTGATGCATTTAACTTATTTTGAGAAAAAACAAGATAAACTAATGAAGAACAAATAATATGTGGAAAAGTACTCAATCCAGGTGCTAGATGCATGGATTTCACTGTAATTTTCTCAACTTTCCTGTTAAAGTTTCTGAAGCTAAAATTGGGGGAAAGAACTTTAGTCTTTGAAGCTAAAGAAATTCACACAAATTTTTTTATATAATTATAATGCAAAAACTGCAATATTGTAAAAGATGTGTGGATTTTTTTTTTTTTCAAATCACTTAACTCCTATTCTGGAGTTTAATAAAAGTATCCTCGTTTTAGACAGAATTAACTTAGTAGTATCATGTATAAGGCAGAGTACAAGACCCTTAATTTCTCACTAGGAATAGGTAAATTATTACTCCCATTTTATACATAAATAAAATCAGGCATGGAGCAGTTAAATCATTTAGCAAAGGCCACAAAACACCATTAATATTCTAGTCAGGCCTAAGCAAAGCCCACATTCTGCTTTTGTGGACAGAGGTGAGTCTACAAAACAGATCTCATTACTCGGGAGCAGGAACGGATCAGGGATTCCTAAGATGAAATTTCAAGTCAACCTGGCTTTTTTTTTTTTAAATGTCACAGTAAAGGCATCACAATCCCACTTCTTAGAGATTCTGAAAATTGCCAGTAGCAAGCACACAGGTCCATGGTGATGTAAAGGAAACCAAACTGGCTTTGGCACCAACTTCTAGGCTACACACTGTCAACAAGAACATGGGCTAACTAGTGAATTATCATTAAGCCATCAGTTCAAGATAGGACAGTTCTAAGTTACTAAAACATCGTCATCAGGCAAATAATGAGCTTCCAGATATGGACTCTCTCAAGAGAGGCACCTGATAAGAACACAAACAAAGAATGTATCATTCCTCGCGTCTCCAGGTACACTCAATCCTGAAGTACTGACACCGAGGCGACTTGCAACAAAGCCAGGGCGGCTGTGGGTGATGCCCACGCACGGGCTTGCCCCTGGCAGTACCTACCTTTGGCAGTCTGGGGCCCGTGCAGGCGTCCCCGGGTCCGGAGGGTTCAGGGGAGCTCAGCTACAGCCCCGCCACCCATAGCCCACCCGTCCGGTCCCCGGAGGCGCGGAGAGGGGGCTCACCTGGGCAGGGGGCTGCGGCTGAGCGAGCGCTTGCTCAGGAAGGGGCTGCTGGAGCGCCGCCGGCTGTAGGGGCTGGGCGAGCGGCCGCTGTACGAGCCGCTCCTCTCGTAGCTGGACGAGCGTCTGCGGCTGTAGGGGCTCACGGAGCGCTGGCGCCGGCTGTAGGGGCTGGGCGAGCGGGTGCTGGACTGGTAGGCCGAGGGCTCCTTGTAGGGCGGGCTCAGCGACGGCCTGCGGGACGCGCTGCCGGGGCTGCGCTTGTACGAGTCGTAGTTGCTGGACGCGTGCGATCGCGGGGGGCTCAGGTCGTAGTCCTGACCGTAGGACGCTCCGGAGGGGCTGTCGTCGGGTTTGGAGCTGTCGGACCACTTCCGGTGGGGACTCCGGGATCGCCGCTTGGGGCTGTCGAGCGTCTTGTAACTTTTGGGGGTCTCCCTTTTGCGATGACTCTTACTCCGGTCTTTGTGGCCGGATTTGAGCTCCCCGCGCTCCTTGCGGCTCTTCTCCTTGTGCAGCTTGGACGAGCGGGACTCCTTGCCGCCGCCGCCCTTGGACCCCTGCGCCTTGCCGTGGTCGTCGCTGTCCTCGTGGGTCCGCTTCGAACCGCCCGCCGTGCCCTCCTTGCCGGCCCCCGACCTGCTGCCCGCCTCCTGGCTCCTGGCTCTGTCGCTCGGCTTGCTGCGGATCGACTCCCGGGAGCGCCGGTGCTGGTGGTGGCGATGCTTGTGCAGCCGCTCGCTGCGCTCCGTCCCGCGCCGCTCCTCGTTCTCCCGCCGCACCAGCTTGAAGGCCGTGTCATCCGAGAAGGTGTCCGAATCAGAGCTGATGTCATCGTACTCCACCAGAGGTTTGATGGCCGTCCCCAAGGCCGCCGCCTCGAGGGCCACCACCCCCGTGTCTTTGGAGGAAGAGTGCTTGGACTTGTGCCGCTTGTGCTTCGACACCAAGCGGTGACGCTCTCGGCTGTTGGAGCCGCCGCCGCCGCCGCCGCCTCCTCCCGAGGACGGCTGTAAAGTTCCAGAAGCTCCTCCACTGCCGTCCTTCTTGCCCCCGTGTCTCTCGGAATTGGGCATTCCCTTTCCCGGCGCCTGAGGAAGGGGAAAAAGTTCCCCAGCACTCCAAAAAGTAATCCCCACCCTCCCCCCTCGAGCCCCAACTCCACGCCCACCGAAGCGCCCCGGGAAGGGGGTGGGGAGGGCAGGGACGCTCAAGCCCGGGCTCCTCCTCCCTCCCGACTCCTCGGCACCCTCCTACATGAGGTGGGGGGTGGGCGCAGGAGCCGAGGAAGAAAGGAGAATTCCTCAGCAGTGGGGCGGAGGGGGCACGGAGAGCGGCTCCAGTCGCCTTGGCCCCCTCTCCCCACGCCGAGCCGGTCGGTCCTCAGGCCCGGGCGCCCAGGAGGTCGAGGAAGTAGGAAGCTCCCGGGGCTGTGGGGCCGACTCCGGCTCTGGAGCCCCGGAGGACAGCGCGGGCCCTTCCCCTACCCGGTAGCCTAAGTGCCTCGCGACCCCTTTGTCCCTCGTCCTGAGGGAGCCCCTTGGCGAGCGTCGGCCTCAGCTAAGGACCGCTCACACACCCCACACACACACACTCCTCGCTCGCCCTCTCGCTCGCTCGCTTCGCTCCCAGACTCAGTCACACACTAGATTAAACCGAAACGGCCCAGCGAGGAGGGGGAGGGGCAGGGCCGCGAAGCCTCGCGAGACCCGGCACTTCCCGTTCCGTTCGCTCTCTGCGGCTGGCTGGCGATCGCGCGAGAACAAAGCGCAGGCAAGAAACGCATCCTGCCAGACTCTCGCGAGAAGCTTCCCGTTTTTTTTTTTCCCCGTTCGAACAAAGCTTTATTGAAACTCAACTACCACGACATTTTTTTTTTACCAAAACTTTATTGATACTTTCTGGAACGCGTATTACCAAGTTTGCAGACAAACTGACTTTAAGTATGCTTTCTAACAAGAGCTCTTTGAACTGTCAAGTTTTTTTTTAACCGTAGAAAAGGACCAATGTGGAGATTTTGAATACGAGTATCGGGTGTTTTAAAGAAAAATCTTTTTTTTTTTTTTTACCCCGACGTGAATACGTACCAGACATTTTACATTTCGTTATCTCCAGTGCCCACAGGCACCTGCCCAGGAACGATATCCTTATCCTTGTTGTACAGAGAAAGAAACCCAGACTCAGGAAAGTGAAACAATTTCGGGTAGGAAAGCTAGTCCAGGGCCCAGTACGGCAGCCTAGTGGCAAAATCCTCCCCTTGCAAGCGCTAGGATCCCATGTGGGCGCTGGTTCTAATCCCAGCTGCTCCACTTTCCATTCAGCTCCCTGCTTGTGGCCTGGGAAAGCAGTAGAGGATGGCCCAAAGCCTTGGAACCCTGCACCTGCATGGGAGACCTGGAAAGAACTCCTGGCTCCTGGTTGCAGATTGGCTTTCTCTGGCCATTGTGGCTACTTGGGGAGAGAATCAACAGACAGAAGATCTTCCTCTCTGCTTCTCCTCCTCTCTGAATATCTAACGTTGCAATAAAAATAAATAAATCTTTTTTAAAAAACATCCTAATTGCTATTGCATGTTTCATTTTTGACAGGACTTTTTCCCCCCCAAAGAACTTTTTAAAGCCTGTCAATAAATATCAATTGAACGAATAAACTGGTGAAGTGACAAGATAAGCACTCCATCAAACAAGGGTGTAACTCAGGCTTACAAGTGCAGCATTTGATCCTGTCAAAATACACACAGGAAGGAGAGTTCTCTTCTTTTTTTTTTCTAAGATTTATTTTATTTTTATTGCAATGTCAGATATACAGAGAGGAGGAGACACAGAAACAGAGAGGAAGATCTTCCATCTGATGAGTCACTCCCCAAATGAGCGCATCAGCTGGTGCTGTGCTGATCCAAAGCCAGGAGCCAGGAACTTCCTATAGGTCTCCCACACAGGTGCAGGCTCCCAAATCTTTGAGCCATCAAGTGCTTTCCCAGGCCACAAGCAGGGAGCTGGATGGGAAGTGGAGCTGCCGGGACCAGAACCAGCATCCATATGGGATCCGGCGCGTTCAAGGCAAGAAATTTAGCCGCTAGGCTACCAGACCGGGCCTGACAGTTCTCAATCCAATATATTTTCATTTCCTTTTGGTGGTTAAATTCTTTTTTTTTTTTTTTTAATAAAGACTTATGTTTAGGGCCCAGCACAGTAGCCTAGTGGCTAAAGTCCTCACCTTGCACGTGCCAGGACCCCATGGGTTATGTCCTGGCTGCTCCACTCCTCATCCATCCCCCTGCTTGTGGCCTGGGAAAGCAGTTGAGGAAGGCCCAAATCCTTCCATGTGGGACACCCTGAGGAAGCTCCTGGCTTTGGATTGGCTCAGCTCCAGTCTTGTGGTCACTTGGGCAGTAAACTAGCAAATGGAAGATCTTTCTCTTTCCTTCTCTTTGTAAATCTGACTTTCCAATTTTAAAAAATCTTTTAAGAAAAGATATAATTTTTATCAGAAAAGCAGGTCAGATTTACGGAGAGAAGGACAGAAATATTTTCCATCCTCTGGTTCACGCCTTAAATGGGTGTAACAGCTGGAGCTCAGCCTTTCATCTGATCAACTAGCAGATGGCAATTCTTTCTCTCTAAATCCTCCAAAATATATTACAAAGTTTCTATTTAGCTTGTTCAGAGAGGAAATATTTGGGGTTTTGGCTTGTGGCACCACTGGCTAAGACACCACCTGAAATACTGACATCCCCTGTGGGCACCAGTTGGAATTCCAACTACTCCACTTCCACACTTGATCCTGGGCAAAAGACTGAGAAAAGTTTGCTCCACTTCCAATCAAGATCCCTGCTACTGTTCCAGGAAACATAGAAAAGGATGGCATGGATCCTTGGGCTTCTGCTCTACATAGGAAAGCAGGCTGAAATACTAGGCTCCTGGCTTCAGTATACATTGAACAAATCATCATACAGCTGTATTTAGTGTGAAAAAGGTGTGAATGTGTGGCAAAGCTGGCTAAGCCTCTGCCTCTGACAGCTACATCCTATAACAGAATGGCAGCTGCAAGTGCCAATCACTCTGGACTTCCAATCCAGTTTCCTACTAATAAACTGGGAGGCTGTGGACCATCTATGTGCCTAAGTTCCTGCCACCCATATTGGAGATAGGCATAGAGTTTATGGTTCCTGGGAGTAAACCAGGAGACAGAAGCTCATTCTCTCTGTCATTTTGGTTTTCAAATAAATAAATAGTTAAAACTTTTTAAAAGTCATTGCTGTGGTCCTGCATGGTAGCATTGCAAGCCAATTCTCTGCTTGCAGGGTTGGCATTCCATAGGGGGCACTGGCTCAAATCTCAGCTGTTCTGTGTCACATCCAGCTCTTTGCTATTGCAACAAGGAAAGTAGCAGAAGATGGCCCAAGCCCTTGGGAACCTGCATCCACATGGTAGACTCAGAAGAACTCCTGGTTCCTGGCTTTAGATCGGCTCAGTTCTGACCATTCTGGCAACTTGGGAGAATGAAACAACAGATGAAAGATCTTTCTTTCTCTCTCTCCTTTTTTTTTTTTAATTTTCAAAATTTGTTTTACTTATTTATTTTTCTTTATTTTTGACAATCTTTACACGGTTAATTAGGGCCCAAAAAAATTCAAGGGCTACAGGAAAGTGGGTAAGATTATTATTTCCACATTCTCTCTTTTTTTTTTTTTTTCTGTATCTGGGGTAAAGGGAGTAGCCCCACCCAGTCTCCCACCCATCCTAGGTCCCTGATATGGGGCATGCTCTGAGGGTTTTGCTCAAGTGGTTTTGATTGTTCAACAGATATGGATTGCTGCCAATCTCGCCATTCCAAGCACGATGAAGTTGCTGCAGAATCCACTGATGGACACAGTCCATTGCCCAATTTTTCATTTATCTATGTAAATCAGACTTTCTAATAAAAATAACTTTTTTGTTGTTTTTAAAGATTTAGGTATTTTTTATTAGAAAGTCAGATAAAACAGAGAGGAGGAGATATACAGAGGAAGACCTTCTGTCTGATGTCCAATGATTCACCCCCCAAGGAGCCACAGCAGTTGGAACTAAACCAAGCCAAAACCAGGAGCCCGGAGCCTCTTCTGGGCCTCCCACATGAGCACAGGGTCCTAAGCCCTTGGGCCGCCCTGGACCACAAGCAGGGAGCTGGATGGGAAGTAGCTGCTGGGATTAGAACTGGTGCCCATATGGGATCCTGGCGTATGGGAGCCAAGGACTTACTCGCTAAGCTACCTTGTGGATACTGGTGTTTTCATTTTTTAAAAAAGATTAATTTTATTTTTTTTTGGAAAGTCAGATATACAGAGAGGAGGAAAGACAGAGAGCTGGATGGGAGGGAAATGGAGCTGCCAGGATTAGAACTGGCGCCCATATAGGATCCCGGCAGGTTCAAGGCAAGGACTTTAGCTGCTAGGCCACACCACTGGACTCCGGTGTTTCCATTTTTAAACAAGATAAATAAATCTTAAAAAAAAATTAAATTTGGAAATAATACCACCCAGGACCTCAAGTCAGAAGTCAGAAAAGCCTTGCTTCCCTTGCTTACTATAAAAAATGTTCGCTTTGTTAGGTTGGAGGCAGCCAGTCAGTCAGAGCAAGCTGCCATCCCCTGGCTCACTCCCCAGTTGTCCCCAATGCCATGAGCTGAACCAGGAGCCAGGAATTCCACAGGGTGGTGGTAGTAGGGACCAAGGGCTGCAACTGTACCTACTGAGGCTGAGGGGAGCCCTGAGCATCCTATGCTGAGGTGTAGGTGGCTGAGGGAAGGCTTGTATCCTGCAGTGTATGTTAACCACTACACAGAACATCTGTTTAAAGAACAGGTGTCTCAGAGCCCCTTCTTTGTCTCTACATTCAAGAAACCCAGGGGCTCTGACTTAGATGCAAATGCCCTCATTGGAAGAAACATTTAACTTAAGATTTGAATAATAGAGGTGAAGGGGTTGGGAAAAGAAAAGGATTGTCAGTAGTTAAAGGACTGCAGAAGGAGCTTTCCTGGGCAGAGTAGTTGAGTCCAGAGGGGCTCTCTAACCTGCAAGGTGGGCTCCCAGGCCCAGGTACAATGCTGGATGGTGATGAAAGTCGGGGCAATTTCTGTTCTGAGAAATTCATAGAATAGTAATTCCAAGGAATGAAGTGTATGAGATAAAATACACAATTTAAATTGCACTTTCATGGATATGTTACATGAACCGTTGTGGTAGTAGGTAAACATGTTGGCAGATTTTTTTCCAGGATGTGTTTTATTTAGACTGCCTACTCATCTGAATTGCAGTTATCAGATGAGATGTCTTTGGACATGTGAACACCTTTGAAATCGGGGGAAAAACCACAGATTGGAGATTCTTAGAAATTCCCTGCTTAGGGCCCAGCGGCGTGGCCTAGCAGCTAAAATCCTTGCCCTGAATGTGCCGGGATCCCATATAGGTGCCAGTTTTAATCATGACAGCTCCACATCCCATCTAGTTCCCCGCTTGTAGCTTGGGAGAGCAGTCGAGGTTGGCCTAAAGCCTTGGGACCCTGCACCTATATGGGACACCTGGAAAAACTCTTGGCTTCAGATCTGCACAGCACCGGCTATTGCAGCCGCTAGGGGAGTGAATCGTTGGATGGAACATCTTCCTCTCTCTCTCTTCTCCTCTGTGCATATCTGACTTTCCGATAAAGATAAAATCTGATAAAAAAAAAAAAAAGCGCCTAGGTGTTGGCATTGTGCTGTGTACAAAGCTGGCATCCCATAGGAGTGCCAATTAGTGTCTTGGCTGCTCCACCTCTGATCTAGCTCCCTGCTTAAGGCCTGGGGAAAGTAGCTGAAAACGGCCCAAGGGTTTGGGAGATCTGCTTGAAGCAGCTGGCTCATACCCTGCCACAGCCTGGGGCCTTTGTAAACCTTTGGGGAGTGAATCATTGGACTGAAGATCTTTGTTTCTGTCTCTCCTCTCTGTATATCTGCCTTTCCAATAAAAGTAATAAATCTTAAAAAAAAAAAAAAAAGAACAAGAGAAACCAAACCTATGTTTCACCAATACTACAAACTGAGGACAAAACAGCTGCTGCAAAGTTGACCTTAATCAAAAATCTCCCAGATGTTCAGAAGACTACAACTCCTCAAGATATACTTGTGAAATTAGCAGAGATTAAGTGTGCTAGGTGGCATTCAAATGTCGTGTTTCATTATTGTTGCATCTAGTGTAATAAGTAAAAAAAAATTTTTTTTTGTTAAAATAGATGATACCAATATTATAAAACCTAGCCGTTCAGTCAAGGGATCTGTGGATTTAGTTTTTAAACTGTTTAACTGTCACAAGGAAAAGGCAGGTTTCCAAACATGCAAACTCCACCTGTGCAAACCAGAGAACCCAGGAGCAAGGTTGCAAGAAACGCACAACGCTCACTTCTCGCGAGACTTTCGTCTCCCGGCCCTTCCTTCTCGAGCAGGATTCCGTTGTATCTCGCGAGCATTGGGAAGTTCCGTTGGGGAAGATGGCGGCGGCCGCAGGTACCCTTCTCTTCTTGCCACCGGGGACTAAAGACTGAGACCCCGGGAGGAGCAGGGACTGCTTGTGCCTGCGTCCCCGGGAGCCCGCCCGCTCCCTCGGCTTCCGTGTCCGTGCCGGGGAGCGGCTGACCCTCTCGTGGCGGACCCAGGCCCTGCCCGTCGTCAGGATGAAGGCACAGGGGGAGACCGAGGGTGAGTGACAGAGGGGGGCGGAGGGGCGGGACACGGTGGGAGCAGCCAATCTGTGCGAGGAGGTGCGGGCTCGGGGCTCGGGCTGCGGGGCGTGCGTGGCCGGGCCGTGATCGGCGGTGCCAGAGCTCAGATTTGGGGGTGAGGGATAGTGGTGGCGGGGCGGACTACCACCTCGGGCACAGGTCTTCTTTTTCATCCAGGCACGGTCCCTGAGGTCTCTGGGCACGCTGAGCCTAAAAGTGGTGAGAGATGGGGGAGTGATGCCTGTTCCCTGCTGGCTGCTCGTTCCGGAAGAGACGGCTCAATAATGACAGGAAGGCTTTTGCCTACGGAAAACTGTCAGCATACTGCCAGCCTGTCTGCCTCCGAATGACAGGATCTCGCCCCAGGATGCCAGATGCCGCCTACAACGGCACGAGGCTCTATCCCGTGCCTGGCCAGACTTCGGTGTGCAACTTTTGACTCTGAAGTCCCGTACTTCTGCTTTAGTGAGAGGGTAGCTTTTGGGACACAGCTGTATGAATACAGCTTACTTTGTTATCATTGTTTGTTTATCTTCTACAGTTTATTCACAGCTGTGTGGATCTGGGGCCCTGCCTTTATCTTTGTTTCATCTCTGCACATAGTGGTAGTCCCTGCAAGAAAAAAAATGTGTGGACTTCAGAGTGAGGCTGCTTAATAGAAGGCTGGTCAGGAAAAATAAAGGGTTTGATTTGATGGGGAGAAAGAGGAAAGGAATATCCCTGGAGTGTGAGGGAACAACCATTATAAAGTGGGAACTCATGGAAGTCAGGATGGTATGGTTTGCTCACTGCTGTGTCTGCCGCACTTAGGATTGTTGTACTTGACCGAATGACTTGCAAGTGGGAAGTGGCAAGAAAGCGTCAGAGCAATGAGCTAACTGAAACAGCCTAAAAACCAAATTTTCAGAAACCACTGTATCATGAGAGCATGAAAGAAGCTTGAATTTTTTAAAAAAAGATTTATTTTTATCGAAAGGCACATTTACAGAGATGAAGAGATACAGAGAGAAAGATCTTCCGCCTGCTGGTTCACTCCCCTAGCGTCCTCAGTGACTGGAGCTGAGCCTAGTTATTTATTTATTGAGATGCATTTTATTTTTGGGCCCGGCATGGTAGCATAGTGGTTAAAGTCCTCCTCTTGCACACGCTGAGATCCATATGGGCGTCGGTTCTAATTCCGGCGGCACCGCTTCCCATCCAGCTCCCTGCTTGTGCCACGGGAAAGCAGTTAAGGATGGCCCAAATCCTTGGGACCCTGTACCTGCTTGGGAGACCTGCAAGAGCTCCTGGCTCCTGGCTTCGGAATAGCTCAGCTCCAGCCGTTTAAAAAAAAAAAAGATTTATTTTATTTTTATTGGAAAGTCAGATATAAAGCAAGGAGAGACAGAGGAAGATCATCCGTCTGATGGTTCACTCCCCAAGGACTGCAACGGCCGGCTGTGCTGATCCGAAGCCAGGAGCCAGGAGCTCTTCCTGGTCTCCCACACGAGTGCAGGGTCCCAAGTCTTTGGGCTCTCCTTGACTGCATTCCCAGGCCACAAGCAGGGAGCTGGACGGGAAGTGGAGCAGCCGGCACACAGGTGTCCTCATGGGATTCCCACACGGTCAAGTCGAGGGTTCAGCCACTAGGCTACCGTACTGAGCCCTGAAATTTTTGTTTTGAAGATTTATTTTTTGTTTATTTGAAAGGCAGAGTTACAGAGAAATGATTGGGATCTTTCATGTGCTAATTCACTCCCCAGATGGCTCCAACAGTAAAGGCTGGGCTACACCAAAGCCAGCGGCCTGGAGCTTTTTCTGATTTTCCTGTGTGGGTGCAGGGGCCCAAGTACCTGGTCCTGCTGCTGCTTCCCCAGGCTCGTTGGCAGGGAGCTGGATCCAAATGGAGCAGCCAGGACTTGAATGAGTACCCATATGAGATTCCTGAATTGTAGGTGAACGTTTAGCTTGCTGTGTCATAGCTGGCTTAACTTGCTAAACCAGCTGAAGGAGTTTTACTCTTGATTTAGATCTCTTCAGTGCCTTAACTCTGATTAAATTTATTTTTCAGTGCCAGTGTTAAACTTTTTGTAATCTCCCTATGCTGATGATGTCCTTTCTTTGCTGTTCAGTAATAATGTATTTGTTTTGTTTTCTTTTGATTCGCTTTTTAAAAATATTTATTTATTTATTTTTTTTAAAGATTTATTTTTATTATTTTTTTATTGGAAAGGCGGATATACAGAGAGGAGAGACAGAGAGGAAGATCTTCCGTCCGATGATTCACTCCCCAAGTGCGCGCAACGGGTCGATACTATGCCGATCCGAAGCCAGGAGCCTCTTCCTGGTCTCCCACGCGGGTGCAGGTTCCCAAAGCCTTGGGCCGTCCTCGACTGCTTTCCCAGGCCACAGGCAGGGAGCTGGAAGGGAAGCGGGGCTGCCGGGATTAGAACCGGCGCCCATATGGGATCCCAGGCGTGCAAGGCGAGGACCTTTAATCACTTGCGCCACCGCGCTGGGCCCTAAAATATTTATTTTTATTGGAAAGGCTGATATATAGAGAGGAGGAGAGACAGAGACAAAGATCTTCCATCTGTTGATTCACTCCTCAGATGGTCATCATGGCCATCGCTATGCAGATCAGAAGCCTGATCTAGGAGTTATACCTGGTCTCCCATGCATGCCAGTTCAGGGTCCCCAAAACATGAGCCATCCGCTTTTGCTTTCCTAGGCCATACACAGAGAGCTAGATGCGAAGCAGAGCAGCTGGACACAAAGCAATGTTGTGTTGGACCATGGGGCTGGCCCCCATAATGTCTGTTTTTAAGAGTATTTCTCAATTTTCATTATCATGGTAATATCCATATTAATTTACTCTCAGTGCCTCATAGATGTCTTCTCAGACACGTGTTTATTCATCTCCAGTGGTTTGTACCATGGATCTTTGCTTACACAAGACTGTTCCAGAACTAAGGGAGATTTGAAGGGTTTAAGATTCATTCACAGGGCCCGGTGCGATAGCATAGTGGTTAAAGTCCTCGCCTTGCACACGTCGGGATCCCATATGGGCGCCGGTTCTAATCCCGGCAGCCCCGCTTCCCTTCCAGCTCCCTGCCTGTGGCCTGGGAAAGCAGTTGAGGATGGCCCAAATCCTTGGGAGAACTCATTCCTTCCAAATTTACTATTTCTTTAGTTGTTTCTGGGGGAGGGGAGAAACAAAGGGGGACACCCCACATGACTTTCAACATGTCCCAGAGGGCCTGTTTTCTTTTTTTTTTTTTTTTAAGATTTATTTTTATTGAAAGGCGGATATACAGAGAGTAGGAGAGACAGAGAGGAAATCTTCCATTCGATGATTTACTCCCCAAGTGAGCGTAATGGCCGATGCTATGCTGATCCGGAGCCAGGAGCCACTTCCGGGTCTCACACGCTGGTACAGGTTCCCAAGGCTTTGGGCCGTCCTCGACTGCTTTCCTGGGCCACAGGCAGGGAGCTGGATGGGAAGCGGGGCTGCCGGGATTAGAATCAGTGCCCATATGGGAACCCAGCGCATGCAAGGCTAGGACCTTAACCACTTGCGCTACCGCGCCGGGCCCAGGTCTATTTTCTTAATCACACTTAACAACCAATCTGTTAAAATCATGGCCAAAAATGAAGAATTTCAAAATTTTTACATTGAGGAACCTGTAATCATAGTAGGACTGTTCACACATGTGGTCTACATACATTATACAAGGGATTGCAGGCATGTCAGAAAATAATTTTTTCCTTAAATTGCCATGTAATGTTCCTTTCTGGGTTCCCATGAAAAGCTTGAATAGAATGAGTTACTCTATTATGTTGCTGAAATAAGACCCATATCTTCTTTATATGATTTGAAGTAAATTATTATTAAAATTTATTTATCATTTTTAAAAAATAAGAATTATATGGTTGATCAGATTGGGAAGGATCAAGATTTAGGAAAAATTGGGTGAATTCATTGCTTCCAGATTTGCTATTTCTTCTTGTTGTTCCTTGGGGAAGGGGAGAGACAAAGGGGGAAACCGCTTGTGACTTTTCCATATATCCCAATATCTAGGGATGAGGAACCGCCACCTCATATAAACCCAGAGTCTCAAAGGGCACATATTCCAAGGGTTCTTTCCAAGTGGTTTGGATAGTTCTGAAATGCTGCCATTTTCACCGATCCAAGGATGATGTCACCTTCTCAATGTCCATTGGCTCCATTCACTGAAATTTTTTGCTGTCATCATTTGTTTGGGGTTGTTTCCAGTTATTTCTGTTCTTCTGCTATAGCACCAAATGTGCTGCCTTATTCTCCTTTTACAACATGGCCTGTGTCCACTGCTCCATCTTTTTCATTAAGTAAGGCATGTTCTTGCAGGTGAGTCCAAGTACCTGGGCCAGGTGTCCCAAGCATCACTGAATTCCCCACCCCTCGGGCTCACGAACCTGGCACCCACCTAGAATGTGGACCCTGGTACTTTGGGTCAGGAAACTCAAGCCCTGCAAGATTTCTCACCCCAGGGTTCAGGAAACCAATACCCACCTATCAGGCGGGCCCCAGGATCTAGTCCAGCTGACCAATATCTCAGCAATTCCCCTGTCCCTGGGGCTCAGGAACCCATCTCCCACCTCACGTTGAAGTAAATTATAGTGGGAAGTATTTTAGCTGAATTTCTAGTGCAATGAAATGTGGGGATTCCTTTTCCAAGAAAAATGAGAAGGTCTTGATAGAAAATTTCTAATGATGTTTTCTGATTTATATCGTAGAGTCGGAAAAGCTGAGTAAAATGAGTTCTCTGTTGGAACGGCTTCATGCGAAATTTAACCAAAATAGGCCTTGGAGTGAGACCATTAAGCTTGTGCGCCAAGTCATGGTGAGGATTGTGGCAAAGTGGGTAAAGTGTTGTACTTGGATGATTTGATAAGCTAAGCTTCTTGTGTCTGTATCAGTTACAATGGTGTCTTCAGGTGTGTGCCTCATAGAGCGTGGGATATCCTGCAGTTCTTCAGGGGCCTTCCTAGGAGAGGGATTGTGTCAGTGCCCTCAAGAATACCTTATGTAGAATGGCAGGATATTTGAATATAGCATGCTCACATCCTCCTGTATACTAGAAATCACCTCTAGATTACTTAAAATACCTGGTAAATTGGAATGCTACGTAAATAGTTGTAATACTGTATTATTTAGGAAATAATGACAGGAAAAAAAAATCTGTGTTTAGTATAGAAGCAATTCTTTTTTCTTGAATCGTTTTAGACTTGATTTGGTTGAATTTGCACATGTGGGACCAAGTATCAAGGTCTGTTTGTCCTGATTTTTGTTACCCAAGAAGACATTCTTCATTCCCTGTCAAGCTCCCTGATCGTAATGTGATATGTTCATTGTATCTGCAGAGTAAATACTGCTAGTAGACTTTTCAATCCATTTTAAAAAATAGTTTTACTTGAAAAGCAGAATTACAGAGATGGGAGACAAGACAGATAAGTGTTTACTCCACAAGTGGCTACAATGACTGGAACTAGTTGAGGACAAAGCCAGGAGCCGAGAACTCCATCCAGGTCTCTCACAAGGGTGCCAGGGGAAGAGGTGCTTGCATTAACCATAATGAGCTGCCCTGCCAGTACCATTAGCAGGTAGCTGGGTTGGAGTAGCTGGGCCTTAAACCAGCACTTGGAAATGGGATGCTGGCATTGCAAGTGGTAGTTAGCCACTGTGCTATAACATGGCCCACCTGTAATTTATTCTTAATCCAAGTGAATTCTGGGGTTTTATCTGTTGACTGTTAACTTTTTTCTCTGTAGTATTATTTGTCTTTGCTGGGTGATTCCCCAATACTAGAATTGCATAGCAGTGCAGTGCAAGACTGGGGAAGTGTAGTATGACACGTTACAGAACTAAAACTAAAAGTTCATCCAAATGATTCAGGTGGTAGTAGAATGGGCAAGAAAAGTTTACTTCTGTGTTTTGACCTGGGCGGTGGTAGGTGTGCTCACTCTGTGATTTCTTAAGATTCATTTCTTTTCTGTATAAATAAAAGCACTGCTTTTTTTTTTTTTTTAAGATTTATTTATTTATTGGAAAGTCAGATATACAGAGAGGAGGAGAGACAGAGGAAGGTCTTCCATCCGATGATTCACTCCCCAAGTGAGTGCAACGGTCGGTGCTGTGCTGATCCAAAGCCAGGAGCCAGGAACTTCTTCCGGGTCTCCCACACGGGTGCAGGGTCCCAAGGCTTTGGGCCGTCCTCGACTGCTTTCCCAGGCCACAAGCAGGGAGGTGGATGGGAAGTGGAGCTGGTGGGATTAGAACCAATGTCCATATGGGATCTGACGTGTTCAAGGCGAGGACCTTAGCCGCTAAGCCACGCCACTGGGCCCACTGCTTTTTTTTTAAATCAGATTTTCACTTTGGGATCAGAATAAGTTCAGCTTAGACTTATATGTAAGTTTGTGTGTTTTAACATTTTATAAATTTTTCATTGAAAGGAAGTTAAAAAAGTGAGACAGAAATTTTTCTTCCGCTGGTTCACTTCCCAAATGGCTAAAATGGCTGGAGGTGGGAGTGCCTTTCCGATCTTCCTTATGAGTGGCAGGGGCTCAGGGAGCTGGGCATCTGCTGCTCCTTCCCCAGTACCTCAGCAGGGAGTTGGATCAGAAGTGGAACATTTAGAGTTTGAAGTACTGCAGATATGAGATTTCGGCAATGCAGTTGGCAGTCTTATTGACTATGCCACAATGCTGGCCCTAAATTTAAACCTTTCTGAGTCTCAGTTTCGTCATCTTGATTGTGGAGGCATATTATACCAGTTTGTTTTTCTAAACAATTTTGATGTAAGGAAGAAGTGAGAAAGTAGATGTTATGTGATGTTGCTGAAAGAATTCTGTAACTGTAAATTCTACAAATACATGTGCATCTTTCTGGTTCAGGTTTTTATACAAAGAAGCTTTCTTTTTTTAAAAAGATTTATTTATTTGAAAGGCAATGTTACAAAGAGAAGAGGAGAGACAGAGAAAGAGAGAGATCTTCCATCCTTATTTCACTCCAAGTGACTACAACAACTGGAACTGGGCCAGACCAAAGCCAGGAGCCAAACTTTTCTTTCCTCTGGGTCCCCCACATAGGTGTAGGAACTGAAGCACCTGTACCATCTTCTATGCTTTCTAAGGTGTATTAGGTAGCTGGATTGTAAGTGGATCAGCTGGGTCGTGAACTGGTGCCCACATGGATGCCAGTGTCATCGGCAGGAGCTTTATTTACTACCCCACAGTGCTGGCCCCAGAGAAGTTGTGTTTTTTTGTTTGTTTGTTTTGTTTTTTAAATATGTTGAATAAAAATGTCAGTTTTCCCAGTTTAAGAATTTAAAAGTTGTCATTTTATTTATTTTTAAAGGTTTTATTATATTTGTATCGGAAAGGCAGTTTTAACAGACAGATGGAGAGAGACAGATCTTCCATCCACTGATTCACTCCCCAAATGGTGGTAATGGCCAGAGCTGACCCAATCTGAAGCCAGCAGCCTCTGAAGGGTGTCCTGCACAGGTGTGGGTCCCAAGGACTTGAGCCATCCTCCACTCCCTTTCTGAGGCCATAAGCAGGTGTTTGGATGAGAAGTGAAACAGCTGGGACAGAAACTGGTTTTCATATGAGATGTTGGTACTTGCAGGCATAGGATTACCCAGTTGAGCGATCGCACTGGTCCCAAAAGTTGTCATTTTAATACTCTAAAGCAGCCATATGCTAGTTTGAAGCTTTTTCTAAAAGTTATAAATACTTATATTTTGATTTAGCTACACTGGAAATATGTTAATATTCAAGTGACCCCTTGCTGAAAAAAGTTTCCTCACCCATGATTTTGGAAATAGAAAATTATAATTTGTAGATTTATTTATTTATTTATTTTATTTGAAAGGCAGAGTTACACAGAAAGATGAGGGAGAGACTAAGATCTTCCATTCACTGGTTCACTCCCCAGATGACTACAATGGCCCAGGGCTGGGCATGCCAGAGAAGCCAGAAGCTTCCTTCTGGTCTCCCACATGGGTACAGGGGCTCAGATACTTGCACCATTTTCCACTACTTTTCCAGGTGTGTAACCAGGGAGCTGGATTGGAAGTGGAGGAGCTAGAACTCAAATCAGCATCCATAAGAGATACAGGCGTGCTAGTCAGCTTAACTGTGCCACAGCACCAGCCCCTGAAAAACTGTTCTTGTACTGTAAAATTATTACTGTTTCCAGGGACTAGAATGTTAGAAACTATTTTTTTAGGAAAAAAGTATTCTAAATATTTTGATATTTGGATCTGTTTCTTAGAGTCAGTCTAGTTTGACCAAGATTTGATTTTATTTCTTACATTACATGTAGATTTCCTTGTTACATTTGGGAATTCTCAGTCTCTTAAGTCACTTCATTTAACTGTAAATCTAAAGAAGTAATTGCTTCTTTAGGAGGTAGATCTTTTGTGTTTATTTTGATTTTCCATGATATTTTCTTATCTTATTTTAAATCTGGGATTTCATTTTTCTGTCTTTGTGCATGTAGATAAGGATCTGTCCATGGGTGTGTCTGTTTCTTCCTTGGTTGTGTGCACAGATGACAAGCGTGTAAACCAGACAGAGTATATATATATGAGGCCAGGATAATGTGTATGTTTACTTGAGACATCATTTTCTTGGCTAATGTTCACCTTCACTGTTTTTCCTAATTAATGCAGGAGAAAAGGGTTGTGATGAGTTCTGGAGGGCATCAACATTTGGTCAGCTGTTTGGAGACTTTGCAGAAGGCTCTCAAAGGTTTGTAAACATGAGGAATCTGCTGGTTTCTTAAAACCCCAGTTTAAGTGTGATTTTTTTTTTATACTTATGTTGACAGTATGAATTGAAGCAGGTCAACCTAGTCTGTAAAATATTGTTCCTATTTGATTTATGGAGTTGAAATAAGCTCTTAAACTCTGGAATCATTTGGTTTTTTAGAAATACCTATTGATTTATTTGAAAGAGAGAGCATAAGATAGAAACTCCCATCTCCTGGCTCACTCCCAAAAATGCCTGCAGTGACTGCTTGTTGAAACTGTGACCCAGAAACCCAGCCGAGGTTTAGCACAGGGTAGCTTAACACAGGGAGCCTGCTGCTGGAGCCAGTGCTGCCACCTCCAAGGCTCTGCATTAGTAGGAAGCTGGAGTCCCAAGCCAGAGTCAGAAATTGAACCTAGGTACTCTGATGTGGAACAGAAACATCTTAACTGCTAGATTGTTTCTGCTCCCCAAAGCATTTCTTTGGAAAGTAATAGGGACTTGAAGAAAATTGCTAAATGCTAACTTAAAAGATGGAAAGAAAAAAAATCTTTTCTTCATATATTCTCTTGTAATTAACTTTCAAATTTTAACTATCTAAAAAGATGTTTACAATGTTTCTGGAGAGAGTTCCTGGAAAACATTTAAATTCTGAACTTAATTACTCATGGTATTTGTAATTGATTAACTCTGCTTGTTTGGGTGGGAGAAATGAGTGCAGAAACAATTTTACCAACAAAGTTGATCCTGATTAAGCTGAGCATTATTTTGTTTTCATGTTGAAATTGTGGTAAAATACAAAATTACTACTTAAACATTTTTAAAGAACAATTGTTTTTTTAAAAAATGAGAGTTAAAAAAGTAAAAGGAGAGAGGGAGAAAGATCTTCCATTTGCTAGGCCATTCCCCAGGTACCTGCAGTGGCCCATTCTGGGCCATGTCCAAGCCAGGTGCTTTTTCTAGGTCTCCCAATGTGGGTGACAAGAGTGGAAGCATTTGACCCTCCCACACTGCTTTTCCCAGGCCATTAGTGGGGAGCCGAATTGGAAGTGGAGCAGCTGGAACACAGTGCAGGCGGTGGATTTACTGACTGCACCACAGTGCCAGTCCCAGCAATTTTAAGGGTACAACTAGCAGCAATTACGTTTACCTTTTTTTTTTTTTTTTTTAAGTGACTGATGAAAGCTTTATTGACTGGGGGCCATAATGGAAGTAGATAGTAGCAGGAAGGTCAGGCTTCCACAATGGCAGTACGTTTACATTTTTTTGTGAAATCACCAATATACAGTCCAAGACCATTTCTCTCCTTCCCAAGTGGGAGCTGTGCAGCATACCTAGTCTTTTTTTTTTTTTTTTTTTTTTTAAGATTTATTTTTATTGGAAAGTCAGATATACAGAGAGGACAGGCAGAGAGGAATATCTTCTATTTTCTGGTTTACTCCCCAGGTGGCAGCAGTGACCGGAGCAGAGCCAATCTGAAGCCAGGAGCTAGGGGCTGCTTCTGGGTTTCCCACACAGATGCAGGGTCCCAAGGCTTTCTACTGCTTTTCCAGGCCACAAGGAGGGAGCTGGATGGAAAGTAGAAAAGCTGGGACATGAACCAGTTCCCATATGGGAACCTGGCAGGTGTGCAAGGCTAGGACTTTAGCTAGTAGGCTACTGCTCTGTGCCCAGCATTCCCATTCTTGACAACCACTTTTCTACTTTTCTGCTTTTATATAGTTATGTATGTGAAATTGTATTTATCCTTAACTGGTTTTTGTGTCTTCAAGATTCATCCATTTTGAAGCATGTATCAGAATTTCTTTTTTAAGGTCCAGGAATATTCCATTATGTATATGTGCCACATTTTGTTTATCATCTGTTAATGGGTATTTGGGTCATTTTTTTTCTTTTTTTTAAAAGGCAGAGAGACATTTCTCCCATCTGCTGGTTAACCTCTGAAACACCTGCAACAGTTGGGATGGGCCAGATTGAAGACAGCAATTAAATCTGGGTCACCCATGTGGGTGGCAGGGACTCAACAATGTAAACCATCACCTGCTGCTTCCCAGAATATTCATCAGGAGGAACCTGACATTGGGTGCAAAGCTGGGGTTCAAAATCATTATTGCCAGTATGGACTGTAGGCATATCAGGAGCCACGTAACTTAACAGCCCAAATGCTCAGGGGCAGGGATTTCCAACTATTGACTGTTTTTGAATAATTCTGCTGTGAATATTTATTGGTTTAGATGTTAATCTTATTTATTCTAGAATTACCAGAGAAATTTGTTCAAGAGCTTGTTACAAGTAATGAGTAGTGAAAAAGAAAGAAAGAAGCTCCAATAATTGTTTTTTTTTTTCCTAAATACCTTTTTAATTCATTGGCCAGAGCTAAGCCTTACCATTAAACATTGTCAAATGACAAGCATTTGAATCACTGAATGTATTTATGGTTTTGGAAGGATGAATATACTCCAGAGAATGTTTCTGTCTTTGAAGAATACTATCTCAGTTTTGGAGCATCCTTTATGATTTCCGTTTTCACCTTTTCATAGTAACATCTTTACCAGCAATGACTGATCGTTTGGAGTCTATAGCAAGACAGAATGGGTAAGTAGTCTCTGTGGGCAGAAATGATTAGCTTAGTGTTAACTTTGGGTGGCCTTATTTATGTCTTCTATTAATTTTTGTTTTGATTTGTTCCTGCTAGACTGGGCTCTCATCTCAGTGCCAGTGGCACTGAATGTTACATCACGTCAGATATGTTCTATGTGGAAGTGCAGTTAGATCCTGCAGGACAGCTTTGTGATGTAAAAGTGGCTCACCATGGGGAGAATCCTGTGGTATGTGTTGATATTTCACTGAAATCTGTGGGGTTTAATAGGAACATTTATTGAAAAATGAATTGTTGGGGCTTAAATGACTTTGGGTTTAGTTTTTCCTGAGCCACTGTAAAGATGATGTGATGGGCTACAGCATCAACAGCTACAAAATGCGGGCCCGTCTCTGACATCATCAAGGGCTTTCTAAGTGAAAACACCAGAGGAACCCTTGTCATTTCACAGCAACAAGCATGAGCCGCAATTGAATAATAGGTGCTCGGAGTACAGAAATAAATTTTAGGGTTCCCATTCTTAAAGAATTATAATCAAGAAGGATCTGAAAGTTCATATCATGGAGATGAATGTAAAATATGTGTAACCAGATAGTTTGATATGGGTTTCAGTGATGTCAGTAAAAAGAGTTCTTAATGTTTTGAGCAAGCTATAGAGATTTGATTCTTTATAAACTTATACATATTTTAATTTTAAATTTCTCAGTTCAACCCCATGGTTCATCAGTTAAGAAGAAGGTGCTTTTTGGTATCTTCACTGAAGGACCTTCTATAGTTTTAATGTTTGTATTATAAAGCATGTTCTGTTAATTAAAAAAAAAAAAAAGCTTTTAATGTCTTCAGAGATGTTAAAGCAGTTTTCTGTTTTAACATAATGTTCTTTGATTTCAGAGCTGCCCAGAGCTTGTACAGCATTTAAGGTAAGCAACTGACATTGATACTCCTTGATGTTGATAGATAGTGCTGTTTGTTAAAGTGTTTTGAGATCGTTTAAAAATTATTTTCCTCACCAAAAATTTTATTCTCTTGGGCCAAGACTTATCAGACTTTGCATGTGCACTTTCAGAACTGACTTAACATGTTTTGTTTTTCTTTTTTAGTCCTACTCAGTCTATCCTAGGGTTTCTCACCTTGTTGCTATTGGCAGTTTAGATTGGAAAATTCTTGGCTTTAGAGTAGTGACTTTTGCATTCCAGGAAATATAACAACATCTGATCTCTCCCCACTGGTTCCTTCCAGTTATTACAATCAAAAAATATCTCCAGGCATTGTCAAAAGTCTCCCAATGGAGGAAAATCATTCCTGTTTCAGAACTATTGATCTAGTGTTCTTAGGAGTTCTGTATGTAATAAAAATAAGTAGAACCTAATAATTGAACAAAAGAGGTATGAGAAAACTGAATCTGTATTACAAAAATAATTTTAGTTTAGAGTATGAGAAAAATTGGTTTATGTTTAAGGAGTATGTATATAATAAATCCTGTTGCAGTAATAGAGTTAGATTTGAAAAGATTCCTTTTTGGCAGTTGGTGGTTTTTTTTTCACTGACTTGTGTTTTGCCTTTGAGTTGATTAAGGATTTCTGTTTAAACCTGGAATTAAGACTGGGGATGGCCAAGTCGAGAGGCACGCGCATTCTAAGGGCATGTCTTTCTTGTTGGGCGATGGGTCGCTTGAGGCAGAGAGGAGAGTGAGTGGGCCTGAGAACCCCTATAATCTGAGGCCCGTTTTCCAGCAAAGATTCAGAACCTCTGGTTACAGAATACTGTGTTCAAGGAGGAGCTGGTAAACGCTGAATATTCTCCAGAAGAGGTGCCTCGGTTCATGAAACGTTGGTTAGAGACCATTAAGAATCAATTAAAAGAAATGGGATTTGACTGATATAAAATGGTGATACGAGTAGTGATTGGAGAACAAAGAGGAGAAGGAATGCTCATGGCTGCCCAATGATTCTGATGTTTTCATGAATGACAGTTTATTTTGCATTGCAGCAGCATTTGGCTGTTTCTACTTGACTCTGAGAAGCAGATGAGGATATTACCATGAAGATATTTGAAAATAAATACTTGGACAAAATAAAGATGAGTTAGCAGTTTGGGGGAAAAAAGAAATTTACGAGAAATGTAAGAAAGCCTCCAAGTCAGTTCTTTTTGGAAGATTTATTTTATTTTTACTGGAAAGTCAGATATATAGAGAGGAGGAGGAGAGAGAGAGAAAGATTTTCCATCTGCCGATTCACTCCTCCCCACAAGTGACTGCAAGGGCTGGAGCTGAGCTGATCTGAAGCCAGAAGCCAGGATCCTTCTTCGGGTCTTTTACATAGGTGCAGGGTCCCAAGGCTTTGGGCTGTCTTTGACAGCTTTCCCAGGCCAAAAGCAGGGAGTTGGATGGGAAGCAGAGCCATTGGGACTAGAAATGACACCCACATGGAATCCTGGCATGTGCAAGGCGAGGACTTTAGTTGCTAGGCTACTGTGCTGGGCCCGTCAGTTTTGTTTTAAACTTGGTGACATTCTCATACACTGTAATGGCTGGGAGGAAGTGGTGTATGAGTCTCGGGATAGAAACACTGAAGAAACATCTCATAGTTAGCCTTCTCAAGCATCAGTGCACTGTGCTCATAGCCAAAGAGTCCCAGGTTTAATTTAGCTTTAAAAAATTAATATATCTTAAAATTTCCTTTTTTTGTTTATTTTAAAGGAAACCCTAATTTTATTAAAGTTCTTTTTTCCAGAATAATCCAAAAACTACTAGTATTTCTGGCTCATACCAAGAATAGGAGACTTTACTAACTGATGAACTCAGGGTGTTTTCAAGTTCATTTGGAAGTGTGTTTGGAAATGGCAGCTTCAGGAAGAATGTTAATCTCTGATACCTTTCAATTCCTTAGTGCAGATGGTAATATAGAGGTAGTGTATATGCAAGGGTACCTCAGAAACTTCATGGAAAGTGGAATTAAATTTTTTAAAAAGTAGGTTCATTTTGGTGTATAAAGATGAAAGCTTACAGGCCCAATGCAATAACCTAGTGGTTAAATCCTTGCCTTGCATGTGCCAGGATCCCATATGGGCACTAGTTTGTATCCTGCTGCTCTACTTTCCATCCAGCTCCCTGCATATGGCCTGGGAAAGCAATTGAGGATGACCCAAAGCATTGGGACCCTGCACTGATTTGGGAGACCCAGAAGAAGCTCCTGGCTGTTGGCTTTAGATTGGCTCAGCTGCAGCCAATTGGGGAGTGAACCAGTGAATGGATCTTTCTATACTTATCTCCATCTCTCTATATATCTGCCTTTTCAATTAAAAAAAAAAAAAGTAAGCTTACTAATTTGATGGTAAGAATAGAGTATGGTACCTTGAGAGTAACTGAAAGCCTACTGCCTATTGCTGAGGTCATGTGGGCAGAGATCCCATGTGTTTTATGCATATCAAAGCATACATTCTCCACGAACTTTTTTTAATATTTATTTTTATTAGAAAGGCAGATTTACAGAGAGTGAAGAGACAGAAAGCTCTTCTGTCTGCTGGTTCACTCCCTAAATGGCTGCATCAGCCAGAAACAAACCATTCCAAGCCAGGAACCAGGAGCCCCATCCATGTCTCCCACATGGGTGAAGGACCCCAGGGCCTTGGGCCATCTTTTACTACTTTCCCAGGCCACAAATAGGGATGTAATGGGAAATGGAGCAGTTGAGATGCAAACAAACTCCCATTTGGGATGCTGGTGTTACATGGCAGAGGACTAGCAGTTGAGGTACTGTGCTGGCCCCAAACCTTGTGACATGTCAAAGTATTTTTCTGTTATTTACTTACTTATTTGTTGCTGTTTTCATAGTAATATGGGCTCTAAGTGTTTATTAATGTTCATGAATGTCTAGTAAGTCACTTTGTCTAGTAAGTCAAGTTTTGTTTTTCCAATTTAATTTTTAAGTTTGAGAAAAAATGAAGGGCTTGAGCATTGCTTAGAATCTAAAGGATACCTTAAGAGATCATTGGGTCAAGAATAGAAACCAAAATGTTGGGTCCTGGGAGGCTAGAAGGCATGTCCTGCTGTTTCGTAGCTTGGAGCCAATTTGGGATCAGGAAGATTTTGTACCTTTTTTTTTGGCCTCCTGTCCACACCTCCTCTCTAGTAGTCTCTCATCTCCCTATCTCCCACTTGCTTTTTTCTTTCTAGTTATTTACTTCTTATTCCCTTAATAATTCAAAGTTTAATTTCGTAAGAAAATCTAATCTCAGCTATATATTAAGAGGGGTTAAAAAGTGGTTTACTTATATCATGTTTCATTATTTAGGAGCTAATTATTTGAATTTTCAGATCTTTTAACTGTCCCTGCCATTGAATTTTATGCTATTTGTTAGCCTCTTCTTAAGAAAAAAGAGGCAAAGAGAAAATATTTATCCCCACCACTGCCTCTGGTTTTGATTGACTCTAGAAAACTTCAGGAGGAAAAACATTGTAGTAGGTTATTAAACTGGCTTCACTATAGCAATGATTTTTTGGACACTTTGTTGTAAGACTGAGTAGTAATTGTATATTCTTCTTTTCTTTCTCTTTCCTGAATTCTTATAGGGAAAAAAATTTTGATGAGTTTTCTAAGCACCTTAAGGGCCTTGTTAATCTGTATAACCTTCCAGGAGACAAGTGAGTATTTTAAATTATTTATTTATTTATTTGTATTTTGGAAAGTAAGGATTCATTGGCAAATCATTTTGTGGTTAGAAATTTACCAAGTCTTGTACCATAGGAAAGTACTTGGTTTTGTTTTGTTTTGTTTTTAGATTTTTATTGTGTTTATTTAAAAGGAAAAGTTAAAGATTGAGAGGGAGAGCTCTTTTGTCCACTCGATCATTCCTCAAATGGCTCAAACAGTTTACTCCTCACAGAACAAGGGCTAGGCTAGATCAAAGTCAAGAGCCTATAGGTTTCTCACATGTGCGGCAGGGGCCCAAGCACTCAGGCCGCATTCTGCCACTTTCCCAGGTTCATTAGTGGGGAGCTGGATGGAAGTGGACTAGCCAGGACTTGAACTGTTGTTTATGTGGGATGCTGGCAGTGCAAGTGGTAGTTTAAACCACTGTACCCGCTGCTAAAGGTGATTTTGTTTTTTTACATTTATTTATTTATTTGAAATAATTATATATAAAGAGATCTTCTGTCTGCTGGTTCACTCTCCAAATGGCCACAACAGCCAGAGCAGGGCTTTCAGGAGAGTCTCTCATGAGGTGCAAAGGCCAGTAGTCTTGAGCCATCTCTTACTGCTTTTCAGTCCATAATTAGGAAGCTGGATTGGAAGTGGAGCAGCTGGTATACAAACTGGCACCTATAAGGGTATCCAGTGCACAAATGGCATGCCAGTGTTGCAGATGGATGATTAGTGTGCTAATGTACTGTGCCAACCCCAAGCTGATTTTTGTAAAAAATACTTTTGTTGCTTCTTACGTAGATTTTGTTGTGTATATCAATTTTATGTGTGTATGTATGTATATTTTTCAAATATTCTTATTTACTCTCCAGCAAACTGAAGACTAAAATGTACTTGGCTCTCCAGTCTTTGGAACAAGATCTATCTAAAATGGCAATTATGTACTGGTAAGAGAGGCTTAAGAGTCAGTTCTGTATGACTTCTCCTTTTTCATACAGGGATTTTTAGGATGCTAAGTAATACCTATTTTAAAGATGTGTCTTATGTTATATACACACACATTAATACATATGTTACACATAGTTGTATATAATTTATATATCTGTATTATACCTAAATTATACTTCCTTTTTTATCTGTTTTAAGATTAATTTAGTTATTTATTTGAAAGGCAGGGTGACAGAGGGAGGTAAATCTTCCATATCTTCTGGTTCATTCCCAAATGCCTGCAATAACTGGGGCTGGGCCAGATTAAAGGCAAGAGCCATGAACTCCATCCAGGTCTCCACAGAGTATATAAGGGTCTCAAGTATTTGACCATCACTTGCTGCCTCTTTGGATATGCATTAGCAATTAAGGTTGATGCAGTGGCTCAACTGGCTAATTCTGCACCTCCAAGCGCCAGGAGCCAATATGGGTGCTTGTTTGTGCACTGGTTGCTCCATTTTTTTTTTTTTAAGATTTATTTATTTTTATTACAAAGTCAGATATACAGCGAGGAGGAGACAGAGAAGATCTTCCGTCCAATGATTCACTCTCTAAGTGAGCTCAACAGCCAGTGCTGTGCCAATCAGAGCCAGGAGCCAGAAACCTCCTCTAGGTCTCCCACATGGGTGCAGGGTACCAAGGCCCTAGGCCATCCTCGACTGCTTTCCCAGGCCACAAGCAGGGAGCTGGATGGAAAATGGAGCTGCCTGGATTAGAACTGGCGCCCATATGGGATCCCGGAGCATTCAAGGCGAGGACTTTAGCCAGTACGCCACCTCACCACTGGAGGAGGTGGAACCAGTGGATGGCAGATCTTTGTCCTTGTTTCTCCTTGGCTCTGTAAATCTGCCTTTCCAATGAAAATAAATATATCTTTTTTAAAAAAGAAGTTACAGTCAGTCACAGAGCATCCAGGACTGAAAGTGACACTCTGATATGTCCTCAGTGCAACAACTCGCACCCATGTCTTTTACATCTTAATAATCTCCTTTCCCTTCTGAGATGATGCTTGCATTCAATCTTCTGAGTATGTTATATTGATTACTGTTTGATGAGTTTTATTGGAAAATCTTTTAATGTTTCAACTTCATCTGATACATAATAGTTATAACTTTTGAATATTACATGCTGCTGTGTGCTTGGATATAACATCTTTGAAGGTAAAATGGTTTTGCCCTATGCTTTACTACAGAGCAAAGCCTTTGTGATAATATTAATGACTTTTAAGCACTAATCTCAAGATCACATCTTCCACTGAGAAATTCAGGGCTTAAATATGCAAACAAACATACATCATTCATCTTGTAGGAAAGCCACCAATGCCAGTCCATTGGATAAGATTCTTCATGGAAGTGTTGGCTATCTTACTCCAAGGAGTGGGGGTATGTCATGCTATTTTGGTTACTTAGAAAAATGTCTAATTTTAGTTGCAGGGTCATTACTTTTCAGTTACCTTGGGTTTATAACGATATAAATTGAGGGTGAAAACTGTTAGGTATGTGTGTATTTTGTGATGATTTCTGGGTGTGAACATCTGGGGTTGTTCAAACTATTTCAGTTGTTGGAGGTACACTGATGCTCCCAGAATCAATACTTTAGTATTTTAAAGTTCCTTTGGAGCATCACTTCTCTTATCTGTGTAACTGCTTTCTAGTTTATATGTCTGTATAGAAATGTGCATGTTTTCCTTTATTTAAAATGTACTTGACGAAGCTGCAATGATGAGTTTCATTTTACATAGGCCATTTAATGAACATAAAGTACTATGCTTCTCCCTCTGATTTGCTGGATGATAAGACTGCATCTCCCATCATTTTGCATGAGAATAATGGTAAGACTTGAAAGTAATTGAAGCTGTTTTCTGTTAAATACTAATTTTTTTCCTTTTTTTTTAATGCAGCAGAGAGACAGGTGTATATCTGCTAGTTCACCACTTAAATGCCTGCAGAGGCTGCTAGCTGGAGCTAGGAGCTGGGGACTCAATCTAAGTCTGCACTGAGGGAGCAGGAACCCACCTTCTTGAGTCATTACTGGGCCTCCCAGGGTCTGTATTTGCAGGCAGCTAGAATCAGGAGCAGCAAGTGGTTTTGAACGTGGCTACTTCAGTATGCATGTGGGTGGGCTGTGGGTATCTTTACATCTAAGCCAAGTGCCAGCTCCTTAGTGAATTTCTTTTTAAGATTGATTAATTCAAGAAACCAAAAAAGATTTATTTATTTATTTGAAAGAGAGAGAGAGAGAGAGATTAAGATCAATCATCTTCCTTTCTCGTCTCCTACTTCGGTCATAGGGGCTCAAGTACTTGTCCTGCTGCCTTTCCAGTACATTAGCAGGAAGCTGAGTTAGAAGTAGTATGGTCGAACTATACCAGGTGTTCCCTGTGAGCTGGAATGCAATTTATTTAGCCATGCCCCAATGCTGCCCTCCCCTTAGAGTTTTAACAATATTCTAAAAATTTGATTGTCCAGTGTAACTGTAAGTTCTGGTTTGCTATTCCCTAGTGAGTTTACTGTTTTTACTGTTTGCACTTAATAAAGCATACACATATTTTCATACATGTACAATACATATATAAAAATGTATGAAATGTATATGGCAGGGTGGTATATTTGGTCAAGCCATACCACTTGCAGTGCTTATATAAATGCTTGTCCCATCTGCTCTACTTCCAGCAGATAGAAATCTGTCTCTTCACCTGTGTAACTGCCTTCCTCATAAATATTTCTAAAAATACATTCAACACAGCAACTTAATTACTTTTTAATATGTGAAAGGATAGAAAGCTTCTTGCTGGAAATAATCACCCTGATTATTTAGTGCTTCAAAGGTGAAGTTAGAGAACTCAGTAAAGAACTACAGTAATGTGTGTTCTTTTCTGTTTGAACCTAAATCGCTGAAACATGAGAAATGGCTTTCATACCTCATTTGAACCCTTAGTAATTTTACTCAGTGACTGTTCCACATCATTATGATCTTACTTATAAATGCAGTTTAAAGTTTTATAAAGTAAATACATACTTGTAATGAGCTTTCTTTCCTTGGACTGTATTGTTTCTTGTGTTTCATTTTATTTACTACAAAAGAAATACTGGTGCTCTAAAAGGTATATTCTAACATTCTAAGTTAGGAAGGAATTACAGTATCAGATATGTAATACAGAAGTTGTTTTTTTTTGTTTGTTTGGTTTAGATTTATTTCATTTATTTGAACGAGAGAATTAGACAGAAGGGGGGAAACAGATCTTCCATCCACTAGTTTCAAATGGATGCAGTGGTCAAGGCTGTTCAAGACTGTAACCAGGAGCTGTGAATTTGATCCAGGTCTCCACAGGGGTGCAGAGGCCCAAGTACTTGGGCCATTTCCCCCTGCTTTCTTGAGTGCATTAATAGGCAGCTGGATTGAAAGTTGAACCTGTGCCTGTAGAGGATGCCTGCATCACAGGCAGTAACATATCCTCAAAGTATAATTCATAATTCAGGTGCCTTTTCTCTCTCTCTCTTAAATATGCTGTGATTTCCATAATTTGTGGTAAAGAATATGCTTTTCTTTTTCCTATTCCTAGTTCCTCGATCTTTGGGCATGAATGTATCAGTGACAATTGAAGGGACGTCTGCTATGTACAAACTTCCAATTGCACCATTAATTATGGGTTCACATCCAGTTGATAATAAATGGTAAGTTAAACATAATTTTAGTGTATGTGAAGTCGATTTTTCTACCCTAAGTCCAGAATGAAACTAATACATTTTTAAAAAATGATTAATTCATTCTTCTTGAAAGAGTTATGGGGGGTGTGGCAGAAAGATATCCTCCATCCACTGGTTCATTTCCCACATGGCCACAGCGACTAGAGTTGGGCCAGTCTGAAGCTGGGAGCCAGGTAACCTCCAGATTTCCTACATTGATACAAGGGTCCAACACCTGGGGCCATCCTCCGCTGCCTCTTCAGGGATTCAGCAGAGAGGTCGACTGGAAGTGGAGCAGCTGACACTCGAATTAGTGCTCATATGGGATGCAGGTGCCACAGGCAGAAGACCAGAGTTATGGTATAGTGTCAGCCCCACATATACATTTTTTCAAAAGGACTTATTATGCTTATTTCAAAGAGATAAGATTGGGCAGTGAGAATGACAGAGAGGTCCTGCTTCTGCTGTTTTATTCCATATGGCCACAACAGCCAGTGCTGGGCCCGGTTGAAACCAGGAGTCAGGAACCAGGAACCAGGAACCAGGAGCTTCTTTCATATCTCCAATGAGAGTGCAGAGGTTCAAGTATTTGCGCCATTCTCTGCTGCCTTGCCAGGCTGTCAGCAGGTAGCCGGGTGGGAAGTGAAGCAGCCAGAACTCAAACCAATGTCTACAGGAATGTCAGCCTCGCAGGCTGCTGCTCAACCTTAATGCCACAGTAGCAGCCCCAAAATAAGTATTTTATTTTGCTCTTCCCCTAGTTGAATTTCTAGAAGCTGGATTTTTGTTTAATACATTCCTTTATCTTTTGTTCTTTCTATATTTTCAATGTTTCTGTTTTGAGGTCTGCTTATAGAATACATTCTCTGCTGAGAAATAGAACTGTGCTGATTCCTCTGGTTGAATGATTTCTCCATTTTAACTTATGTTGATTTGAAGTAATAATTGGAACACATGCTTCAGGATAAATCTTTGACTACTTCAGCATTAGCAAATAGCATGGTTTGGAATTATGGGAAGAAAGTTCAAAGAATGGTAGAGTTTTGATAGACTTTATATGTATTTGTGATACATACGTGTCTGGGAATACGTATTTGCATTTTCCTTTTTCGTATTCAGTCAAAATCCAACCATTGCTCTATGTTTGTTTTCAAGGACTCCCTCCTTCTCCTCGATCACCAGTGCCAACAGTGTTGATCTTCCTGCTTGTTTTTTCCTGAAATTTCCCCAGCCGATCCCAGTATCAAGGGCATTTGTTCAAAAACTACAGAACTGCACAGGTGAGTTTTTAGAATTAGGAGCTAATGCTGTTTATATTTTAAGTTTTATTTACTTGAGAAACAGATAAAGAGGTACAGAGAGAATTCCCACCTTCTGATTGGCTCCCAAAATACCAGCATTAGCCAATGGCTAAGTTGGTTGGAGTTGGGGGCTGAAATTGTATACTCAGTTCAGACCTCCTACGCAGGGATGATAGAAACTTAAGTCACTTCAGCCATCAGCACTTCCTGCTAGGGTCTGCATTGGTGGGAAACTGGAAGTAGGAGGGAGACCGCAGGTGTTCTACTCTAGGACTAAGCATCTTAGCCTCTGTGCTAAATGTCTGTCTACTCAATTGTTGCCAGTATGAAAAGGAAACCTTCAATGTCAATTATTGTAGACTCCTTTTAAGTTTTGTAGGTTTCAAAAAAGTACTTGTAGGTATAGATGTTATGGTACTTCTTACCAATAAATACAGAATATTTTTTTTAATAAATCATCCAAAGAATTTAGAAATCATGAAGGAAAACTGATTATTTGTATATTAATGAGATCATTATTGGTTTTTGCTTTCCCAGGAATTCCATTGTTTGAAACTCAGCCAACCTATGTACCCCTGTATGAACTGATCACTCAGTTTGAGCTATCAAAGGACCCTGACCCAATACCTTTGAATCACAACATGCGATTTTATGCTGTGAGTAAGACTCAATAAAGCTATAATGTAATATGTTGTATTTAGACCCAAGATGAGAAGCCCTTGATAGTTAAATGATTTCCTTTTAAACTCTGCATCATAACTTGTTTCCTCATTTAGGCAAGAAACTAGAGGGAAAAAAAAAAGATTAAAATCGCTAAAACTTATTGAAGATAAAGGGCATGAGTTTCCAAGTCAGGAAACAATAATATTCAATTATTTGTTCAAATTTTGTATCAAGTTTGTAAAATTTAGCAAGTTTATAAATGTGTTGAGAATTCATAATGCTGAATTCTTTAATTGCCATGAATTTATTCTGTGGAAAGCCCCAACAGTACCCAAAGAGAAGAAAATGTATAAATTATGAGTTTTAAAAGTCATGCTTGGGCTTAAAATTCAGTTTTTGATGATAGTCTCAGATGAAAATAATAGTTTCCAACTTCTGTGTTATATAGGGTGTTTTACTTAGAAAAATACAGGTTTTGTACTAACAGTTTAGAACCCTTTTTAATATAGATTTCTGATGTAATTTTTTCTTTTATTTATATAATAGGCCGAATGGCAAACAGACACATACATCCCATGTGCTACTTCATTTCCCTACTACCACCATGGCCAGGAAGCCAGGAATACTGAATTCAGCTGAGTCTCCTGCACGGGTGGCAAGAATACAACTACTTGACCCATGACTGCTGCCTCCCAGGGTGCCCATTAGCAGGCTAGAATCTACAGTGGAACTGGGACTTAAACCCCACCGCTTTGAAATGGGAGGCTGGCACCACCCTACAGCATCTTCACCACCATTCCAAATGCCCATTCCTGTGTTAACTACTAACCCAGAAGCATAGAGCTTTCACTAATTAGGGGTCTGTTCAGCCAAATGAGTAATTGATTAGCATTTATAATATCAGCTTCTCGAAGCATTCACTGTGGAGTTTTATTGCTGAATTTTTCTGAATAGCAGGTTTTTTCCAGGACAGCTTGTGGTGGGAGCACAAAGGGTGAGTTAATAAGTACTCTGTGCTGTTCTTTTCACCCAGGCTCTTCCAGGTCAGCAGCACTGTTATTTTCTCAACAAGGATGCTCCTCTTCCAGATGGTCGAAGTCTGCAGGGAACCCTTGTTAGCAAAATCACCTTTCAGCATCCTGGTCGAATTCCTCTTATCCTAAATATAATCAGACACCAAGTTGCCTACAACACCCTAATTGGAAGCTGTGTCAAAAGGACTATTCTGAAAGAAGGTACTGCCTTTCATTTTGATAGAGTTAGTGAAAGACACTACAGAGGAGTTTTTGTTGTTTTTAATTTAATTTTTTTAAAAAGATTTATTTTTATTGGAAAGGCAGAGTTACACAGAGAGAGAGAGATGTCATCTCCACACTGGTTCACTCCGCAGATGGCCTGACCTGAACTGGTACAAGTTAAGAAGCCAGGAGTTTCTTAGGGTCTCCCACATAGGTGCAATGACTTGGTCCACTCTATGCCAATTTCCCAGGCCATTAGGTTGGAAGTGGAACAGCTAGGATTATAACTGATGCCCATATGGCATGTCTACTGAAACTGGAGGCTTGCTGTACCACAACATCATTTTTTTTTTTAAGATATCATTTTTGGGCCCGGTGAAACAGCCTAGTGGCTAAAGTCCTCACCTTGCATGCACTGGGATCCCATATGGGCGCTGGTTCTAATGCTGGCAGCACAGCTTCCCATCCAGCTTCCTGCTTGTGGTCTGGGAAAGCAGTTGAGAATGGCCCCAATGCCTGGCTTCAGATGAGCACAGCTCCGACCATTGCAGCCGCTTGGGGAGTGAATCAATGGATGGAAGATCTTCCTCTCTGTCTCTCCTCCTCTCTGTATATCTGACTTTACAGTAAAAATAAATCTTAAAAAAAAAATGAGGCAGTAATACCAGAGAGTAGCATCATTCCAGAAAGATAAATTAGGATAGTTCTTTCATGGAAAATAGAAATTCCTTATAAATCAAATCTTTGACTCGGATTACTGACATATAGCATACACAAACAAACAATGACCCTTTGCCTGTTTTAACCCTGGAATTGACCCACGTGGCTTCAGTGCATCTAAAAAAATGAGTTTTCATAGGGTAAAGAGGTAATCCTATAGAAATGTATGCTGTTCCCCCAAGAAACTGTGATCCTGTGTCTTGGCTGCCAGAATCTTTAGTCCAGCAGCCTATGATGATGGTTAGGTACATAGGTGTATTTGACTTGAATATACTCATCATTTTAGAGGGTAGCGTCTGCTTAGTTATGGTCTGCATAGCTAAAAGCTGCAGACAGTGACAGAAAGCTGGGCTGAGGACGGTGGTTATTCATGTTTGCTTATGAAACGTTTCGGCCATTTTTGTTTTCAGGATTCACTTTCAATGCAGTGTGTTTATAACTAGCAAAACCTCCATTCTAGAGATTATACCTCTTCATGTAGAAAATTGAAAGTTTTTTTTTTAATTCTTGGTCTGGAGAAATTTGTAATACATTGGCAGTTCCTTGTATTCCTTCTATCTGTGGATAATGAAGGCAGGTTTTCTGTGTGAAAGCATAGAATTTTGGAGGGATAGAATTTCCCATTATATATATAAGAATAATTATTTATTTCAATCTTCCATTTGATTGACTGTTTTGTCATCTTTTTTTGTATTGCCTTTTAGATTCTCCTGGGCTCCTCCAGTTTGAAGTATGTCCTCTCTCAGAGTCACGTTTTAGCATATCTTTTCAGCACCCTGTGAATGACTCCTTGGTGTGTGGTGAGTTATGTGGGTGGCTGACACTCCGTATATCTTTTTTGCAAAGTCATGAACTGTATCTATCCTAGATATTTCCTATGTATTTTGTCTTTCAGTTGTGATGGATGTGCAGGACTCAACCCATGTGAGCTGTAAACTTTACAAGGGGCTGTCAGATGCACTTATCTGCACAGATGACTTCATTGCCAAAGTTGTTCAAAGGTAGCTCTGGCCCTCCATCCAAACCCCATTAAGAGATGTGTGAAGAATGTATTAGAGTGATTAAAAAGCATTTAGTCATTGCTTTGAATTCATGTGTCCTATTCTCAGATTCAAAAGTGACATGAGTTTTGGTATTTTTAAAATCAATATGAGAGTAACAGGAGTTAAGGTAGGTAACTTCAATCTTGGTGTTAGGGTACTTTAAGGTAGCAAAGACTAGGCTGCAATGTTTCCAAAAGATTACCCTTTTTTTGTGATATTCTTAACTGAAGTAGCATGTTAAATGGCAGTATACTAGATGATGCTTAACCTACTCAACTGCCCAGATATTGCTATGTAATTTTGAGATTTTCTTGTAAATATGTTTTGTTGGAATACTAGTGTTTTTAATGTGTGTGTGTGTGTGTGTGTGTGTGTGTGTGTGTGTGTGTGTCATTTTACAAGCTAAGTTGGCAGAGTAGATGGATAGAACATACAATCTTCTAAACTTTAAAAAATAATACTTTCAGGATCTATAAGAGTTTCCTGACATTTTTTTGGGAAATATTTTTGCCTGTATGTTTATAAGTACATATTTAAGAAAAGTGCTTTGCTTTAAATAAACAAGGTTTTACAATAACAGTGGTAGTGCTTTTCATAACAATGTGACTTTGTGTTGATCTAAACCATTAAATTTTAGAGCTTGTTGCGTAAAGAAATTTATCTAGTGGCTCTTTAGTTAAAATAATCATTTATTCCTTTAGTTACCATGTATCCCACAAAGAAGACTTTTTAACTGAGTTTCATGATTACTAATTTTCTTTTACTTCAAAATGAAGTATAATTGTTTAGATTCTTATATATGGTTTGCTTTTAGTGTTTGTTTTATAAGATTAATGATCACCTACTCAGTCTAATTCTTTTGGGATGTATTTACTTAAACTTCTGCTATTAGAGTCATCTTTCCTTTCAGATTTCTTGCTTTAATTGAAAACTGCAGCAAGCCTCTGGTGGCTTATCTAAGTCTTGGGCAAAATTATAACCTCTGTTCCAAAATCAAAAACTGGTTTCCTTCAGCAAGTGGTGATACTGAAAGCTTTGTTGTTTGTATTTTATCTTTTAGGTGTATGTCCATCCCAGTGACGATGAGAGCTATTCGGAGGAAAGCTGAAACCATTCAGGCCGACACCCCAGCACTGTCCCTCATTGCAGAAACAGTTGAAGACATGGTGAAAAAGAACCTGCCCCCGGCTAGCAGCCCAGGGTATGGCATGACCACAGGCAACAACCCAATGAGTGGTACCACTACACCAACCAACACCTTTCCGGGGGGTCCCATTACCACCTTGTTTAATATGAGCATGAGCATCAAAGATCGGCATGAGTCGGTGGGCCATGGGGAGGACTTCAGCAAGGTATCTCAGAACCCAATTCTTACCAGTTTGTTGCAAATCACAGGGAACGGGGGGTCTACCATTGGCTCGAGTCCGACCCCTCCTCATCACACGCCGCCACCTGTCTCTTCGATGGCCGGCAACACCAAGAACCACCCGATGCTCATGAACCTTCTTAAAGATAATCCTGCCCAGGATTTCTCAACCCTTTATGGAAGCAGCCCTTTAGAAAGGCAGAACTCCTCTTCCGGCTCACCCCGGATGGAAATGTGTTCAGGGAGTAACAAGACCAAGAAGAAGAAGTCATCAAGAATACCACCTGATAAACCTAAGCACCAGACTGAAGATGACTTTCAGAGGGAACTATTTTCAATGGATGTTGACTCACAGAATCCTATCTTTGATGTCAACATGACAGCCGACACACTGGACACACCGCACATCACTCCAGCCCCAAGCCAGTGTAGTACTCCCCCAACAACTTATCCTCAACCAGTACCTCACCCCCAACCCAGTATTCAAAGGATGGTCCGCCTGTCCAGTTCAGACAGCATTGGCCCAGATGTTACTGATATCCTTTCAGACATTGCAGAAGAAGCCTCTAAGCTTCCCAGCACTAGTGATGATTGCCCACCCATTGGCACCCCTGTTCGTGATTCTTCAAGCTCTGCGCATTCTCAGAATGCCCTCTTTGATTCTGATGTCTTTCAAACTAATAATAATGAAAATCCGTATACTGATCCGGCTGATCTTATTGCAGACGCTGCTGGTAGCCCCAGTAGCGATTCACCTACCAACCATTTCTTTCCTGAAGGAGTAGATTTCAATCCTGATTTATTGAACAGTCAGAGCCAAAGTGGTTTTGGAGAAGAATATTTCGATGAAAGCAGCCAAAGTGGGGACAATGATGATTTCAAAGGATTTGCATCTCAGGCCCTGAATACTCTGGGGGTGCCAATGCTTGGAGGTGATAATGGGGAAACAAAGTTTAAAGGCAACAGCCAAGCTGACACAGTTGATTTCAGTATTATATCAGTAGCTGGTAAGGCACTGGGTCCTGCAGATCTTATGGAGCATCACAGTGGTAGTCAGAGTCCTTTATTAGCCACTGGGGACTTAGGGAAAGACAAGACTCAAAAGAGAATAAAAGAAGGCAATGGCACCAGTAATAGCAGTCTCCCAGGGCCGGGATTAGACAGTAAACCTGGGAAACGCAGTCGGACTCCTTCTAATGACGGGAAGAGCAAAGATAAACCTCCAAAGCGGAAGAAGGCAGACACGGAAGGAAAGTCCCCATCTCACAGTTCTTCTAATCGACCTTTTACCCCACCTACCAGTACAGGTGGATCCAAATCTCCTGGCAGTTCAGGAAGATCTCAGACTCCCCCAGGTGTTGCCACACCACCCATTCCCAAAATCACTATTCAGATTCCTAAGGGAACAGTGATGGTGGGAAAGCCTTCCTCTCACAGTCAGTATACCAGCAGCGGTTCTGTGTCTTCCTCAGGCAGCAAAAGCCACCATAGCCATTCTTCCTCCTCCTCTTCTTTGTCTTCTGCTTCCACCTCAGGCAAGATGAAAAGCAGTAAATCAGAAGGCGCATCAAGTTCCAAGTTAAGTGGCAGTATGTACTCTACCCAAGGGTCTTCTGGATCTGGCCAGTCCAAAAACTCATCCCAGTCTGGGGGGAAGCCAGGATCCTCTCCCATTACAAAGCATGGGCTAAGTAGCAGCTCCAGCAGCACCAAGATGAAACCTCAAGGGAAGCCATCATCACTTATGAATCCCTCTTTAAGCAAACCAAACATATCCCCTTCCCACTCAAGGCCACCTGGGAGCTCTGATAAGCTCTCTTCTCCAATGAAGCCTGTTCCTGGAACTCCCCCATCTAAAGCCAAGTCCCCTATCAGTTCAGGTTCTGGTGGTTCTCATATTTCTGGAACTAGTTCAAGCTCTGGCATGAAGTCATCTTCAGGGTTAGGATCCTCAGGCTCATTATCCCAAAAAACTCCCCCCTCATCTAATTCTTGTACAGCATCTTCAGCCTCCTTTTCCTCAAGTGGATCTTCCATGTCATCTTCTCAGAACCAGCATGGGAGTTCCAAAGGGAAGTCTCCCAGCAGAAATAAGAAGCCGTCTTTGACAGCTGTCATAGATAAACTGAAGCATGGAGTTGTCACCAGTGGCCCTGGGAGTGAAGATCCAATGGATGGCCAGATGGCAGTAAGCACCAATTCTTCCAGCCATCCTATGTCCTCCAAACATAACATGTCAGGAGGAGAGTTCCAGGGCAAGCGTGAGAAAAGTGATAAAGACAAATCAAAGGCTTCCACCTCGGGGGGCTCGGTGGATTCTTCTAAGAAGACTTCAGAGTCAAAAAATGTGGGGAGCACGGGGGTAGCAAAAATCATCATTAGCAAGCATGATGGAGGCTCCCCCAGCATTAAAGCCAAAGTGACACTGCAGAAACCTGGGGAGAGCAGTGGAGAAGGGCTCAGGCCTCAGATGGCCTCTTCCAAAAACTATGGCTCTCCACTCATCAGTGGTTCCACTCCAAAGCACGAGCGTGGCTCTCCCAGCCATAGTAAATCACCAGCGTATACTCCCCAGAATCTGGACAGTGAAAGTGAGTCTGGCTCCTCTATAGCAGAGAAGTCGTATCAGAACAGTCCCAGCTCAGATGACGGCATCCGACCACTCCCAGAATACAGCACAGAGAAGCACAAGAAGCACAAAAAAGACAAGAAGAAAGTCAAAGACAAAGACAGGGATCGGGACAAAGACCGAGACAAGAAGAAATCTCATAGCATCAAGCCTGAGAGTTGGTCTAAATCACCTATCTCTTCAGACCAGTCCTTGTCTATGACAAGTAACACAATCTTATCTACAGACAGGCCCTCAAGGCTCAGCCCTGACTTTATGATTGGGGAAGAAGATGATGATCTCATGGATGTAGCCCTGATTGGCAATTAGGAACCTTATTTTCTAAAACAAACATAGCCAGAGAAAAATAACAGGTTTATAGGAAACCATCACAAGGGATGATGACATGGCTTTAACACCAAGCTGGGTGAATTTCTACAGGCGTATTCAGACCCTACTAAAAAGACCACACCACAGGGTTTGAGTTTTGTTTTCGAGAATTTCTCATTCCTTTTCCAGAAAGAAAAACTTAAAATATTTGCTTAAGGAAGGGGGGAGGGTGGGAAGGGCATGGGAAGGATTCAAGGAGAGGGAAGGGTATGAAAACAGTTTCGTGGGAAATATTCATATATATTTTTCTCCCTTTTTTCCATTTTTAGGCCACGTTTTAAACTCATTTTAGTGCATGTATTTGAAGGGCTGGGCAGAAAATGAAAAAGCAATACATTCCTTGATGCGTTTGCATAAAGGTGTTTCATCTTTATTTTGGTAGTTGTCCATTTGAGGCATGGGCAAATGAAGGACTTGGGACATTTTGGACACTTCAGTAATGTTCAGTGTCTGTCTTAGGAGTGATTGGGGGAGGGAAGAAAATTTTAGCTATTTATTTGTAATATTTTGACCCTTAATCTGTTTGTTTTTTATAGAATGTTTCTTTCTAAATCTATGAAGTTTAGGGTTCAAAATGATGGGAGGAAGAAGAGCAAGGCATATTTGATAGTAGGGAGCCTGCAGCTTGTGCTGACATGGTAACATCAAGCCCAGGCAGATTAGTCAGGACCTGCCTTTGGAGTTACATAGAGAAACCAAAATGGTGTTTTTATTTTACTACTTCTTTTGCTAGGCTTCAGACATCACAGGAATATTATGAGTTAACTTCCTGTGGAGGTATTACTTTATAATCTTTTCGTTAGAAAAAAAAAAGCTGGGGTGGCTTTTAGGGATATTAATGTTTTCAGGTGAGTAAGGTTGGTGAGTAAGCCTTCCTGACTCAGTGACATTACAGAGTTAATAGTTCTCCGAGTTCCACAATGTGCCAAAAGTGTGCATCCCAGAAGTTTTTTTTTTTTGCAGGAGAACTGTTGCCATTCCTATGAGCTGGGCTTCTTGTCTCTCTTTATCACAAGGAAGGAGTCCAGATTTTATGTACCCTGAGATTAAAACAGTGAAAATTTTGCAGCCATAGTTCACTTAAACCAATTTCAAGCTCACTTGAATTAATGGGGCCTGGAATACTAGGTGAGCATTAAGATAAACCCTTGCTACTATGTAGCAACACAGTGGGACCTTTTTGGATAACTAGGTCTGAGTCTGGATTCTGGGGGACATCAATAAGAAGCCCTTCTCCTTAAATATTGAAATCCAGGAGACCGTTTTAAGTGCAACACAACTTCTCAGTATTTGGAGGGTCCTCTCAAAATTCTGCGGCCTTACTTTGATTTTGACACCTGCACTGTGCCATTCCTGATGATTCTGTTCAGGATCTGTATCAGCGGGATGGGGCCTAGTACCCAGCACACTCTTCTGGATTTAAAAAAAAAAAAAAAAGCCAGGTGATTTCTACGTGTTTGTGTGTGTCATAAACTGGAGTGACTTCATCAGATATGGAAGATTTTTATATTGAGGTCTTTCTGCAGGTTGGATTAGCATAGAGTTGGAAAATCAGCTTTGGCTCTCTTTCCTGACTCTCATTTCCTCTGGTGTTCTCCCCTCTCTGGCCATCAGCTCTCAACAACTCTGCCACTCTTGTGTCCCAAGGTAATAAAACAAGTAGGAAACAAAACATTTCAAAGTGGAGCAAGAAAAGTTATCAGTTACCGTATCAGAGTCAAATGTCTTTGGGGGACACTAAGGTGATACCAGAGTGTTTTATCTTGTGATGCTGATCCAGTAGCAACCTCTGACATGCAACCAGGTTGGATTTCTCACAAGTCTGTCACCTAGTTTTGAATCCTATCCCATTGGTATTTGCAGGGAAAAAAAAAGTTACATGGTTTTTAAAGTTTGTTCTGGGTGGGGAAAATCTTATGGGGAATGTACTGTATAATATCAGGGGCTCAGCTCCCCAAAGCTGAGCCAATAAGTACCAAAATGAGTAAACTGGGAAGCTTTTTTCTCTCTTTCTGTCTTCATCCCAGATCAAAGAATCCCGAGTTAGGATCTGGATGAAGGATAAGCCCCTGAATTGCCGATGGGCACACCCCACACACTGACCCAGCATCTGAACTTGCTTAACAGGGAGCCGGGGCTAAACTGCTTCACCCTGCCTGAGAACCAGGGAGCACTGCATTTCTCCACAGGGTGGAGGAGAAGAGGCAGAATAAAGCAAGCCTGGGACACCTCCCTCCTGTCTAGGTGTACTCATTCTCCTGTGTCAAAAGACGGCAAGGACTCATGTCAACTCGTAGTCAACTTCTACCTATCTTCTGCGGCTGTGTGTTATGTTATTGTTAGTTTGACCTGATTTGTCTTTTGGCTTTATATTAGGGGTTCTTGGTCAAAACCTGCTCTGATGTACATGAAGATTTCAGATTCAAATTCAGTGTGTCTTAAAATAAGTATTAGAAGTGGGGGCGGGGGAGAAGCTGGATAATTGCCAAAACCAGGGTGATGACTTTTCGATTTTCCTCCTTCAGGCCTAACTCTGATAATCTAGTGCAGCAATATCATGAATTCTCAGAAGCCCTTTCAGAGAACCAGTGAATCATACAGCATCCACTTAAAGCAGATGTCAGTATAGGAAACAACCACTGGGAAATCACATTGTGTGTGTGTGTTTGTTTTTTTTTTTTTTCCATTTCTGTTCCTGCCTCCTATTGTTACTACTATTTTTTTTTTTGAGGGGCAGGATATTTGTAACATCTCAGAAATTATATTGGGAACCATACTCTGCTATTAAGAGCTGAGCTTTGACTTTAGAGGAAAAATGTACATCAGGAGCAGCTGGAGATGGGCTTTTCTAAAAGCATCTTTTGTTTTCTGTGTGTATGGCCGTTCTGTAAATATCTGGGGTTTTTCATTTTTTTTTTTTCAAAGTAGACAAAATCTGTTTGTGGGATCCCCCCCTGAAACATTACAAAACTGTTTATTTACATGCAAATAAATTTCTTTGACATAAAAAGTAATATGACCACGTGTAATGAAATTTTAACTTTTAGATAGTTTTTGTGTTCAACTTGAAGAAGAAAAAGTAAATGTCTCTCCTGAGTACTTGAAATGGGTACAGTGGAATGGAAAACTGATAGACCTGTGCAAGAATTTTCTTATTTTGGTATGGCAGTTACTGCCAAAGTTGGCAGTTCTTTGGAAAGGAGACTGAAGTAAAGCAAAATAGTGAAAATATCTGGGACAGAAGAATAACATCTAGACCCGGTTTTGTGGGCCTGAGTGGGTTTTCTGGAGCCAGGTTCTTAGGGAGTACACTCTAGGATTTAAAAAGGAAAAAAAAAAAGTGTTTTAAGGGTTGAGATTTCCAGTCAAAGCAATGCTTTTCTTAAAGTATCTGGAGCACACTCTTAAATACAGTTGAATTCTCACATTCGCAACAAGCCATTCACTAAAACTATTAAAGTGGGTGTGAAGACATACAATTAGAAGCAGTCCTGGTACCATGACAGCTTGAATTTATGATGCAGTTTTCCTGTTTGGAATATGATTATGTACTCTTGCTGCTCTTTGAAGGGACAACTCTGGATTATTCCTTAACTCTTTGAGGCCTAAGCTCTGGGGCCTTGAAGGCCAGGAGTTGTCAAATTATAGTACGATGACACAGAGGCCCAAACAGAAGAACGTCACAGTTTCCACTGGGCTGATTACCCCCCCCTCCCCGCCTACTCACACATGCTCGTTTCTCCCGCCAAAGTGGCGTCAGGGTCAGGTTCTCACCAACGGACGCCCTGATTGGAGGCCCTGCGAGCATTTCAGCCCATTGGGTGCCCGCGGCGGCAGAGGGGCGGGGGAAGCCACAGGCCCTTCTGCCGCGCCCGCCCCCAACCCACGCCACGCACCCCTCCCCGGGCCAAAGGAACGGGTGCCCGGCTCCAGCACCGCACCCCCTGACCCCAAGGTGCGGCGTTGCCGTCATCCCCGGAGTGGAGCGCTCGGCCTTCCCCATCCGCGCAACTAGCCCCTGCCCTCCCGAGCCATGCACGAGACACACGTCCCGCAGCGGCCCCCCAGACCCGCCTGCGGCACCCCGTAATGCAATCCACCGGGGCGGGGGAGGCGACGGCGACGGCTACAGCGGCGGCGGCGTTGGCAACAACAGCACTGCCCTAATCTAGAGTCATCCCGAAAGAGGAGGAAAATGGCTCCGAGCAGGGACCGCCTGCTGCACTTTGGGTTTAAGGCGACAGTGAGTGCTAGGGGAAGGGAGCTGGGTGGCCAGAAAGGACGTACGTGCCGGCAAGGCTCCTGGGGAAGAGTAGTGACAAGACTTGGGTTTGGGGGGTGTGTGTGGAGGTGGGGGGCGGAGGGGACTAGGCAGGGAGCTGAGATCCTGTGGGTTGGTGCGTGCTTGTTTGTTCGCGGAAGGGAGGCCAGAAGGCACAAGAGGGGCTCCCGCGCACTGTGCTGTCCTGCTCGGCTCGTCCCTCCGTGGTCCGCGAGCACGCGCGCACTCGCCTCACAGCCCGCACTGCCCCCCGACCCCGACCCGCCAACTCCACCTCCCCACCCTGCACAAACACACACAGAGCCACTTCCCTGCCTCTCCGTCTCCCGGTGGGCTCGCCTGCCTCGGGGGCCGGAGGGGCGCCCGTGCCGCCGCGCTCCGGCTGCTCCCGGGCGCTCCGTCAGGGGCTGCGCCCGGCATGGGGGAGGGGTGGTCCCGCGCCGCCGCCGCCGCCGCCGCCGCGCGCTCCTCCTCCTCCCCCCGGCGTTCCGAGGCCAGGGCGGCGGTGCCCAATGAGGAGCGGCGTTGCTGGCAGGTGGGGAGTGTTTTTGTTTTGGGTTGAAGTTGAGGTTGAGGAGAGGCGAGCTAGCGACGAGCCCGTCGTCGCGGCCGCGGGCGCCGCGGGGCCGAGGTGGAGGCCCTGTTGGAGCCGAGAGGTGTCTCTTCCCCGTCCGACGGCCCGGGCCCTGTCCTTCGCTGGCCTCTTCCTCCTCCTCGACCCGGAACTCCCGGGCCTGCCCTAGGCCCCCTGTCTTTTGCACGCCGCAGCGCCCAGCCCGGGCCGCACCCGCCGGCCTCATGAGGAGGGACGTGAACGGAGTGACCAAGAGCAGGTTTGAGGTGTGAGCTCGGGGGGTGTGGGAGGGGATAGGGTGTGGGGCTCCGGCGGCGTGAGAGGAAGGCCAGCCCCGCTGTTACCCCGTAGCACGGGCTCCACACGGAGCCTCCTCCCTGGCTGGGCGCCGCCACCCACCCGCCGATGGGGCTGCGGGGACCTCTGCCTCCCTGTCCCCGTTCTGCGACCTGTGAGCCCAGGGCCGGCTCGGGCCTCTGCCCACCGAGGGAGGATTAGCTCTGGCGCCCTAATTCCAGCCCCCCTCCCCCCGAATCGCTCTGCTTTTCCACGCTTTACACAAACCGTTGGCTTGCTTGCTTTCACCCGGCGGCAGCCACAGGAGGGCTCCGACCCGGCAAAGCTTGCTGTCCCCCCCCCCCTTTTTTTTTCCTGCCACGAGCTTCTTCTTGTTTTCTCTAGAGGGACGAGATGGGGTTTAGGGTTGGGCATTTCTCCGAGTTGAAGTGCGCGGAGACTCCGAGTTTTCGGATCTGCTCGGTTTGGGTATTGTTCTGGGAACTTCCTCTTCTTTCCCGTTTGGTCTGCGCTCTTGTAGCTCATTGTGTTTTTTTGGGGGGGGGGAAGGGGGGGAACCCATAGATGGGGACCGAGAGGTCTGTGAGAGGTTGGAAAATCCGCTCTGGGCTGTTTATCTCTCACTTTGTCCCTTCTAGCGGGACACGTTCATAGTCGTGGACCTGAGGAAGGGGCACCGTGTGGCACTGTGTGGGAGCTGCAACAGAGCAATTCTCCTGGGAAGCCAAGTGTTTTTAACCGTTAGTGAATTACAGTCGGACACATCTATCCCGGAAGATTCATGAAAAGATAAGGAAGAAGCTGACACAGTGGGAGTCAGTGTTACCTGGCCTTGTCTGGCGCACAGTCAGGCTGACCTGGGATCACTCACACCCAGAGACACCTCTGGTCTTCGTCCTTTCCGTTGGAAAGTCTAAAGTGAAAGAAAGTTGCAGAAAACTCTCACTTCTGCGTGCAGGAGTTTAAAAAAAAGTTGGCCTCAGGGTCTTCAGGTTAATCTCTTCTTGGTTTTGGTTTTATGCCTGGGGAGATAATACTCCCCCAGGGGTCAAAAAGTGTTTGGGGGGCAGTTTAAAATCAGAGGTACAGTATCAAGTTGCAGATAAGAGAGTAGAGAAAATCAATAGGAAGAAAGTAGATATTTGCTGTTTATTTAGTAAGACATTGTGTTCTGTAGAGTGTCCCAGTTAGGTTAATGTATGGAGGTTTCGGATTGAGTACTACTGTAGAAGACCAGCATGTTGAAAAGATTACTGATTGGAAGGTTTAGCTGTTAATACGACTACTGACCCTGTGGGCAGGGTGGTCTTTTCCTGCTAGGGTTAGCTCTGTATCATTTTTCTATTCACTCTGGGTTGCATCATTGTTGCAAAAAAATTCTCTTGTAGTATTTGCTTTAAAATTATTGCCCCTTTTTCTCATTGTGTTACATTTTAATCCAGTCTGTAGAGGTGAAGCAACAGAAGTTTTATTGCTTCATTAACTGTATCCATTTACTTTGATTATTTAGGTGACTAGCAACTAACACTTGCTAAATATGATTTGAGAAGGTAGAAAAAGAGTAAGAACAGATATAAAGCTGTGATTACAGTAAGCTAGGAGCTGTTTTTTCTGTGATATTTTTTTTAAAATGCCAAGTGAAAATGGTTAGAAGTGATAAGTTAATGAGTATCTCTAAGTGTTTCTTAGAACCATTTACCTCTTTATTGACCTAATTTAAGTAGTACGACAATTAGTAACATGGTCTTTTATGAAACAATAAACTTACTGTTTGTTGAAAAATCATTTGAAATATTTACGTTCTATAAACAGGTAAATAAAGCCAGTTTTTCCTATAAAACGTGTTAAATGACATATTCTCAAAATTACAGAATATGTTTTAAAAACCTGTTAATTTTCCTGTTGTAGCCACGTGGTTGATCTCTAGATGAGTGCAAGAAGTCTTTGTGGAAGATAATAGCTAATTTCAAACTGTGGTTATGGCTAATAGAGAAAGTACTAGATGTTCTTTTCTTGGGGATAACTGAAGCTCCTGGACCATTCATGATTGGTTCATTAAAGTCTTACAAGAATGTTTTGTTTAATAAGCTATTGGGTGTTCTAACTGGAAGCAACGTACGTTAAAGCTTATTCCCAGGTGTTGAGCATTAAGGAAAGAAAGAAGAAAAACAAAAAACTAGAGTACCTGTTGAATTTGTTTAACAGTCATAGTGGATGAATGGTGGGTGAAGTTAGAGTCTGGAGATGGGAACTTTCTTGTTTCTTGCTCTGTCAGCTACGTTACATCTAGATAATAGTGACCCTTTACATTAGCATTTGTATGTTGAATTGTGTTAATCACTTCATTGAAAGTCATGCTACTAATAGCAAATGTTGCTTTGTGGCAAGTTTTGATAACTTTCTTTCAAATTTAATGATGGTCTTTGAGTGATCCTTACAGTCCAGGCACCAAGCTAGGTGTTTAACATTGGTTGTTTCTAAGTCTCATTCTGTTTTACAATTGAGGAATGTGAGGGCCTGAGAGGTTAATTAAACAGGAGTTCAGTTTACACAGCCACAAAGTGAATGAACCATGATTCCTAGCTACATTTTTTTTTTTTACTGTACTCTGTATTTAGCATAACTTTGCCAAAATGTGTGAAAAGGAGCTTTTCTTAAATTCTGCATCCAGTGTTTTATTTCGTATCTGCTATCAGATATGAATGAGTGCAACCTTCATTTTAGGTACTATATGTTAATATTCAGATTAATGACAAACGTGTTTACTTATCCAGGCTAGCTCTTGGATCCAGTGTAAATATATTTTTTTCATTTAAGCTCTTGCCCTCTCTTGTATTCTTGGTAGCTCCATTGGGAAGCTGTACCAGACCCAGTGCTCACACTGTTGTTAAAATACCACTTCACACTTGGGGCAGTGTCTGGAAGTTTTATGGTTCACTAAAGTTTGGAAGTGATACACTTCAAATATTTTTGAATCCATATTTGTTGTATTTATATTTATGGTATTACACACATCTTGTCACACTAGATGATAATATTTTGCCTGTTGGTCCTATTTCATCAATTTATTCTAAATAATAAGGGTTAAGTATGACATGACAGAAAACATTCTACATTGGGAGTTAAGAGACCTGAGTGTTAGTGAAGCTTTTTTTTTTTTTTAAACAAATTATAATTGATAATTTCCTTTTCATTTCTTGGGCTTGGTGATTTTTTCTTTGGAAAACAAAGGAGTTAGAATCAATCATTAAAGTGTCATTTGTTCCAGAATCCCCTAAATCTATGATTTACATTTTTTTTTCTTTTTTAAGATTTATTTATTTTTATTACAAAGTCAGATATACAGAGAGGAGGAGAGATAGAGAGGAAGATCTTCCATCTGATGATTCACTCCTCAAGTGAGCGCAATGGCTGATGCTATGCCAATTCGAAGCCAGAATCCAGGAACTTCTTCCGGGTCTTCCACATGGGTGCAGGGTCCCAAAGCTTTGGGCTGTCCTCAACTGCTTTCCCCGGGCCACAAGCAGGGAGGTGGATGGGTAGAGGAGCTGCCGGGATTAGAACCGGCGACCATATGGGATCCTGGCGCGTTCAAGGCAAGGACTTTAGCTGTTAGGCCACACTGCCAGGCCCAAGTTTTGTTGTTAATTAAAAGCTGAGGGCTATATTTCTCCTTTGGCTTTTTTTTTTTTTTTCAGAAAAAGTGATTCCAATGTTTTGTTTCATCATCTTGCTGAGGATTTAGTAAAGACCTCTTACCCTTTAATTGAAGAACATTCTACATAAGAAATAACCATATTTTCCAAATTGGTGCATGTGAAGATTGCTGTGTATTTTTCCAATGTAGTCATTTGTTTCACTTTTTGAAAAGACTTTTGAAAAGTAGTGATAGAATTGACAACACTTAATTGTCTAATATACCTAATATATCTAACATCCTATGTTCAAAAGGTACAGTGATCCGTGATGATATCATCACAGTTGGTGCTGTATCACAGAAGAGTAGTCCTTATGGGTGTTGCATGAAGTCCCATCTTCTCCATTTACTATCTGGCTCCCTGTTGATGTGTCTGTGAAAACAGTGCAAGATGGCCAACTCACCTGTGTTGCCTTCCCCTTGTGGGAGACCCTGAGTAAGCGCTGGCTTGGAATCAGCTTAGCTCTGGCATTTTGAAGAATGAACCAGCAGATGGAAGACATTTCTCTATCTTCTTTCTTTAACTCTGCTTTTCAAATTAAAAAAAAAAATCCTTAAAATTATGGAATCAATACTAATATATAAAGTAATTTAAATTGGAATATCCATTACTTAAAAATCAACATGTGCATGAAAACCAGATAAATCATTACATAATGAAAATTACTGTGTTTTGTTTACATTGAGATATTAAAATTATGGGTTCACTTTTTATAAAATTTTGGGGGGTATTTAAGTTCTATAATTCTTAGGGCTTAATCAATTTTTATATTAAAGGTTTTGCGTTCATTCATTGAATAGATTTATTGTTTTAAAAATTCATGTTTTTAAGGTGTTGTTTCATGTTTTTAGGTCATTTGTTGGAATTGGTGATGCGTTTAACTTAAAAAGATGTTTATATTTTAGTTGCCAAAGTTGTGTATTTTCACATCTTGGCATCATTTTTCTTGCAAATCAATAGGTATTTTTGTGAAAGAGCAAAGATTCCATTCCTATCCTGTAGATTATTGTTTCCTGCCTGGTTCCAGATTGGAAACTGAATTAGAAGTTTCAGTAGTTTAACTAGTATACTTCTGTGGTTTTGGAAGGGTATTTTTAGATGTTCAAAATAAAATATTCCATGACACTAGGAAAATCCAAGGGAGGGAGAGAGGAGAAAGAATGCCCTTAAACTGACCAACTGGAGCTGCTTGTGCATAGTTGTCTTACACTGTTTCTCTGTTTGATTTTCCAGATTTATTGAATTCTTGGATTAGATCCCAATGCAAAAAT